TTGAGCTATGGTGGCGGATCTATCGGCGGTGTATTCTAGAAAAATGTATGCAAAATAGAGACTGAAAAATGTCTGATATCCCTTGTGGTTTCGTAATAGATGTAACATCATAATGGAGGATGGCGCGTTCTTAATGTGCGTACGTGTGTTTAAGTAGTGTGAAATATTAGCATCGTATTTCAGATTAATATCGCGTTACGTACATGACACTATGTCCGCGAAAAGTATCATTGGGTAGCAAACAATGTTGTCGCTTCGGTGACTGTATTCATTAATAAGGTTAAGAACACACAAGAAGATAATTATATGTTCTCGTGATGTTATTGATCAATAATGGTTTTAAAGAGAAATCGTATTTGACATTTTAATGTTCGAATGATTTTATTTGTTTTAATAGTAGCTTGTCTATTGATGATCTTTGGTTCAGACGTTTGAACTTTAATGCATTAATCCTTATATTTTCCATTTCGTTCTTGAATACTTGCTACTTTCTTTGATGAAATTTACAAAATTTATACTTAAGCTAAACTTCTTTTTTAGCTTTAATGATTTTGATATGAATGGTATATTGATATCAAGGTAGAAATATTATACTATATTTTCTATTTTATTATGTTTTACACACTAATAATTGATATAAACATTATTATCCTACGTTTTATATAGATGTATCACTGGTACACAATTTTAGAACATTCATCGTTGTTCATTAAACTTGAATAAAATTTTTGTTTTAAATAAATACACTATAATTCTGTGGTTTACTTCAAGTAAATGAATCCAGTATTGGTGCATTATTATTACAGAATAGATTCAACGAGACATTTATTTATTTAACAATCATTTAATTCGCTTTAAAATCATAAAATATTCCACACTTTAATATGATAGCGCATGTATAGTTTATATTCACCTTATTGTAGTATTTTATATTCGAGATTCGAATAAACTATGATTCTCAGTGTGCACGGATAAGTACAAATTGCAGAAGTGCTGTTGCATCACGTGGAAGATTGCATGATACTTGATCAGGGGATGATATTCGTTCGGTCAATAGATCAATATAAATATTTAACACTATTCAGAATGCGTCTATAACTACGATTACGCGTTACATCCATGTTTCGTATCGTCGCAATCTTTTCTTGCGACCGGTTGCTCGGTATGTTCTCTTTTTCCTCTCGTAGCGGGGACTAACCACGTTGTATCGTCGAATCGTCGCTTCTGGGTTTCGTTCAACGCTGCCCGGCATTAGAACTAGACGATGCCATTAATTTTCGATATTATTCAACTGTATCTATGGTTCACATTCTCAACAGTACGGAAGTAATAAATTGTAACAGGAAATACAAGTTACGATAAAAATATTTGAAGTATCGAAATAATGGAACTTAACTTTATAATTCATGCCATTTTCTTCATAGAATACGGTAAATGAATCGAAGGTAAAACTCTGTTCTAGACAAATTTTATGAAACTTGTAAATAATGAGTTGCTAGTAGTATATACCTCTACTTCTCATAGGAAATATAAATAAGTAGCACACTAATGTTTTATTTTAATAAATTGTACAGCATATTCAAAATCCTTTTTATTCTGATTCTGTAACTATTGAACTGTAATTAAAACATGCAAATTGAATAAGAATTCTTAATTTTTTAAACTGAACTCTTTTTATTTTATTATTCCATCTAAATATCTGCAAATTCACAGCAAAAAGTAAACAATATAATCAATACAATAACATCATAATCGATCTCTTTCTATTTCCTTTTAAATCTTACTTAATACAAACAAAATCATGGATTTTCTCTTTCGCGACCTGCACCATAAAAAACTGGTTCCTTCGGGAACCTCGTTCCGTTCCGTAAACAAAGGAAAAAAAATACTGGGCGGTGGAATATTCATTATCGACACTGTTCATTAAAACTCATAGTTAATTAGCTGCCGACGAACAATCGGTATGCGATGAAAAGGAATCGTTCCGCGAATATATTTGTCGACGTATGCAAACAAGCCGATAAAGTGTACTTCGACGTTCCAGAATTCTCCTGAACGGGACAACACTGTCCGTACATTTGGTTTCAGTGATGCGTGCGTTTTAGTGGGTTCTGGATTATGAGCCTAAAATTAGTTAACCCTCCGGTTACCACCTAACCGCGAGTTTACAAAAAAGCTATCGCGAGAAAACGGTACAAACAAGCCTGTTAGAGCGACCGTGCATCCGCGTAAGCTCCTTTCGCGATAAACAACCATTATGAGGATCACTTAATACTCGGCTACTTTTACTCCTCGATCCTTGCGTGAAATTGTCGCCGATGTTTCAGCGTCCATTATCGGGAAAAAAATACACGTAGAAAGGAGAAACACTGTTCTTACTCTTTATCCGTGGAAAAAAAATTCCAGCCGTAGGAGGTTAATCGTTCAAGTCCATTTTTAGAATTGACAAACTGTCCTTTGTACGGATAGTTTGTAGAGAATAATGTTTCTCCGCAAGTCAAAGGAACTCAGTTGAATTTTATAGTTTATCGCAACTTTTCTGTTTTATTCTTCGACAGAACGTGATGTAAAAGTTCGGTACCGAGTAATTTTTATTTTCTTTTACTTTATGTTTTATCTTGGTTAAAGTCACTTCGCAATTAACATTCGTGTTCCGGTCATATGATCTTATATTTGTACTTTTACTACGGAACTGTCAACATTAAAATCGCATTAACGAAATACGACATAACTGTACCGAAATATGTTCAAAGTAATATATATATATTATTTATTCATGCATTTGTAAGTGTAAGGTGAAGATATATCAGATGTTAAGTGCGTATTTCAAGTTTAATTGATTCGACGGTGTAAAAGAGTTAATATTAATGTATTGCGTACTTTTAATCGTTATTAAAGTTAATTAAATATCAAACTTATTTGATTAGGTACTATTTAGTAATTCTTAATAGTTATCAAGGATGTTGCTCATACTTTATCTAAATATTGTTTACTGTCTATATCACAATGAAGTTACTAATGTACTTAATAATGCTGATACCGATACTCTCTGTATTGTTGAAAAAAATTAAGCTACTAGTTTGGTGAGTAATGAACATATTTCATTTCAGAAATACGAATAACACAACAATTATAAATTAATTAACTATGTCGCATTTTCTTTAATCGACGAATATTCGACGATTGAATATTTATGAGCAGCAGCGTACATGCATATTTAGTTCTAGTTATCTCTAGTTCTAGTCCTATTACACTCCAATAAACACGTGTAAGGATGCTGTTGCTAGAATTGAAATGCATTTTTTTTCTGATTTTCTAAAGAACAGAAAAGATAATGTACCTTATCAGTTCGTTATTCTGTATTTTTAGAGAATGAAATAAACTATTTTGTTCCTTAGAACATTCATTCTTAACAAATGGACAGGTGAGTTACATTTACGCGAATCTTTAAATGATCTAATGGCTTTGATAGGACCGAAACTGTTTGAAAATCAAAAGAATCAGATGGGAAAGAGCAACGATAAGACACGATGTTGAAAACATCTCGTTGTCAGGTGATACACGAAGCTGGAGTTTCCTAAAGCTTCGCTCATAGAGCGCGCGAGACACGAGGCTGTATAAAGTCGATCCTCCACCGACGGGAGCCGTCAGTTCGGCACGACACCTCTGTATAGTACGACAGAGGATCTCGCCTCTCGGTTTTCTGTAACACTCATCATGCCACCGCATAATTGCATCTTCATCACTTAAAAAACAAACTAAATAAACCAGTGAAAACGGTGAACGATTAAATAAACCCGATAACTTTGTACTTCAGCTACAGTGAACTGTTTGTACACACGAAGATTGAGTGTCCGATGAATTAAGACGAACAGTAACTAAGTGCAGGATAATCAATTGAAAATTCTCAGAAACTTGAAATTTTATGCTTGAATCAGTTTCTTTCATGGTATAGGAATTAATTGCAGGTGGTATTATGTGACACTGTGTTAACTACACGTAACTTTGATATTGATATTGTTACATTCTTGTCTATCTATGGAAGTGTATATCCAGTAAATAATAAGAGTAGGTGGTTCATTATATTTACCGATTCAAAAAATTAATAAAAATTTTGGTAATGTTGAATGTGCATTTAGAAATTCGCATTTGTATATAAGTTTATGGAGTAACTTTTTCAAGCTTAGACTAGCTGCCACCGGTTGCTTTGTTAGTACAAGTAGAGTATGAAATGTAAATGAGAAACTGTACGAAGCAATTTTAAATACTGTGAAATATTAATATTGAATAACAATTTTTGTCATGAATAAGTATAAATTCTAATTTTTTTTATTGAACGTTCGCTGCTTGTTGAAATCAAACTGTTCGAAATAATTATATAAAAGTTTTACTAAATTTTTTAAAGAATCATTCAAAACTATGTTTCATTCTAATATTATTAGTTTAGAGGTTTTTACTATTTCTTCTACTTATGCTCCACCACATTCATATTATTAAAATTTATTGATCGTAAGTACTATTGTATATGTATCAATTAATATAATTTTAAAATTGGTTTCAATAGTTTTTCCATAATTTTAGTGTATATTTATTTATTACATATTTACTGTATAAAATATTGTGTCCGGAATTTCAACTGAAGCGCTAGTACCGGAGTAATATTTTACGATAATACCATAATATCATGATATAACACTAAACTAAATCCATAAAATACCGTATTTAGCATTTTATGCTTTTATCTCTACTATCTTATACTCAGGCACACATAAAATTCGCGATTCAATCTTTCAACATAAAAATGGGAGAAAGTGACGAGATAACCCGTGCAAATTTTATTTTCAATCTAATTCTACCACGTCTCTCGTGACTCACGTCGCAATTTTAATTTTGCCTGTAACAATCGAGCCGCCGGTGACATAAACGGTATCGTAGGTACGTATATAAACGATCGTTCCGATAGATCGATCAGATGTCTTAATCTTTTTGTTTCTACAACGCGGTCGAATGGGTCCGATGCATCAACAGTTCGTGCTAGATTCTATGTTGGGAGACCTGACACCTTTTTTCTAACCTTTTTTTAAGTAGCCTGAATGTCTCGTTTGTCAACAGCAACAACTAATTAATAGTCGACGAGAGGCGCCCAGAGATTTCGGTGCATATATATCGTATATATTCTGTCGTCATTCAAATGATATGCTAAAAAATTCAGCATGAAATTAAGATATGCGTGGAATGTGTCTGCCGGTATGATCACTCGGGAGCTAGACGCTTCTGAAAATCGTGCCAGACCGGGAACGCGATAGAGACTTCTATGTCCGCCCAACTATGATGTGAACCTCTTTACTCTGCCAGACAGCTATAACCTTCCTTTTCCTCTTGATCACCGCACGAAAGCTCTCCTTTTTTCTATCGGGATCCACGCGGAATAGCTGAAAGCTATCTGTATCGCGCAAATCTAAATTTGTATTCCCTTTGGTGAGATCCACTTCTATTTTCGTGCTTGAATGCAAGCGGCCTTGACTTTGTGCCCTTCTTGACACTTGAATTCCTTGTTCTTGTACTCCGCGAAGAATCGAATTGGCTCGCGAAATTCTGATTCGTCATAGATGGCACTTTTCCTGTAAGATTGTACAAAGAGAATTGTATCGACGACGTTTCTCTGATATTCCGTAATGTTAGATTAGCCGAAGTGAATTAATAATTATAAACGATTACAATTCATTTTGTTGATAAGTCTGGAAGAGGTTATTCAATTTTTCTAAATCTCTTTGTCTAGTAGCCGTCTTATAAATATGTAATTAATCAGAATTCCTTGGAGAAACTGGTCACGAAAAAATACGAGAATAAACGTGAAGCGAATGTAATTTTTTAATAAATGTACAATCACGGGGAATGGAATGTGAAGTATGATGTTATATAATACAATAAAACGTTGGATATGTTTGCCAATTAATATAAGAAAACAAAAATGAATGGAATTTAACGGATTTAGTAATAAGTATTACTTTTCAGTTAGCTTTTAAAGCTAACAATTGTCTTTTCCATATAAATGCTCCTTTAAAGCTAACAGTTGACTTTTTCATTTGAACGCCCTTTTAGGACTGACAATTACTTTTGCAATGAATAATGTTAAAATCGGAATTGATCGCGGAAGTGGCAGGGCGAGAACTATAAACCTGACCGAAACGATGATCGGTAGCCACTTGACGAGCGACTTATTCATCGAATCCGCGGGGAAAATCGCCTCTTCGCCGGCTGGTCCTTTTGCAAACGCGTATTAATAGTAAGCGATCTCGGCAGGTCGATAATCGTAAAAATAAACGGTATCATACTTTATACCGGGACTTGCGTAAGTATAGATCCTTTCGAGTGGTTTCATTCTTTCCGGTCTGTTTTCGTTACAATAAAGTAACCCAGTTCCGAGAACGTTAATAAAGAAACAAAAAATAGATCGCGCAACTATCCGCTAGAGCTTTAACGAAAACTTTGGTGAGCTTGTTTGCCCTGTCAAAGTGTGAATTAGTGAATTCAGTGACGCCATTGTGAACCGCAGTTACATAAACGAAGCTTGCATCGTAAGTAGGCTGCACATATTATGCATTCATAGTAGAAAATGAACTTGGTACAGTTAAAACGTCGTCTGTTTTGTAATTTCAATCTCGCAATCGAAGAGTGTGACTCGCATAATGTTCATTCTCGTATTACCAGGGATCGATTTCTCATTATAATGGATATCGATTTTTGTTCTTTATCTTTAAAGATTACTTAATCAGTTAAATAGAGTTTAGAAAGATGAGAAAATGTTTGAAGACTAGAAGGAGTATATTTAAAAAAATATTTTTAACCATAGTAAAATTATTTCGGTTTCTTTTTTATTAATATATTTCAACGATGATGAAAGATCAGGAAATCTATATCAGACAGGCAATCATTGAAATTTCTGATCGATACTAGTTCTTTCACGTTTGAACATAAAAAGGTGAATTTACGTAAATATGTTTGGTTCAATGAAATAAATGAAGATTAAAATTTAATTAAGCTTAGACTTGGACAGTAATAGCGACGAAAAAGGTATTGAAAGTATTTTCTGCTTTTATGTATAATGGTTTGTCACCAAGTTTGAACGCTGATTAATTAGTACACAGAACGAGACTTGAAATATTACGCTATTAATGTATTCTGTAATGTCTCGTATTCGAACAACATGGGAATAGTAACCAAACAGACATCGCATAATTCATACAAGCGTATATACGACTACTTATCACGCTCTTACGGTACACTTAGCGAGTAATATTTATACGACGATAACGTGTAATTAATATGCACATATGCCGGTACTTAAACTAATAAATAATCAAGGAATAATTTAATTACGCCCGCATCGCTGGATAACAGGCTGCGAATCTGACAAAGCGTGTTTTCTGGATCGTTGAATGTTCCATGGGGGAATTCAGAATTATGGGAAGAAACTTAACTCATAGTGAAAGGTAAAATTATCTTTGGGAAAACAACAGTTTTATAGTGAGCATTTGTGTCGATGCAATTCGGTTTAATTGAATAATTATAATTAAATGAAAGTTAACTTTAATATCGTTTATATATTACTAACAAAAGAAATAGTTTCTAATTCATTAAAACATTAGAAGAAACAATAAGACAAGAAAGATTATACTTATTAGGTGTAGTAATGATTAATTCATAATCTTTAGAGAACCTCAATTCGAAATATTTTGTATTTAATCATGAAAAGTAAAGACTCGAAAGTATTTAAAAAATCTAGAGTAATATCTAAATCTCGATTAATTTAATATATTCAAACAACAAAGAAAATATATACCTTCAACAAGTCGAAAAATATTGTTAAACGGCTTGATTTCAGGAATGTTCGTAACATGAGAACGTATGACATTCTGTATTGTTTTTTTCCTTAGACGTTAATTTATATTAACCTGAAAATGGGCCTAAGAAACAAGAACTTAGAAGCCATATATTTTCGGTTACAAGTAATTACAGTTCCAACACATTTGTACTACAAATTGCGCTTGTTCAGAAACAAGTTTGCAGTGCCTTTTCACCCAACCTTTCTTCAAACTTCTGTGCGCAGTTGCGCAATAATAATTTAAAGTAACCCAATGATTACGTTTAATTAAGTCCGCAATGATCTCGTTTTCTTATTACTCTCCTGCTTCATAAAGACGCCATTACGTTCGTTCGCTACGTTCGCAAACGTATAATCGCATTCCAGCCGATTTCAGTTCTACAAAATGCACGTGAACTAATCTTTTGCGTATAAGTTGGCTACATATTATTATTCAGCTTTTACTGTGTCGTAAAACGGTAGCAAAACAACTCATAAATAATTGAATAAAGCGGGAGGAATTTGTAATACGTAATTGAAATCGATCTCGTGGAACATTAAACGTGGCGCCACGGATGGAAATGACTAATTATCAAGGCGGTGAATAATTAAGAACATTCAACACCTTCGATTATATGTATACTGTGGATTACTGTGCGCATGAAAAGATTGAATGCCACTTTAATTAACAAGCGCATTGTTAACTAATTTTATGCATAATATAATCGATGATATGAAACTCTACAACTTTACTGTCAATGATAATTAATCTTTATTTAACGGCAATCAATTAATTATACGAGAAACGTACCATACGAGCAAGTTGTAAATATAACAAATATTTTCAAATAGCAATTATTCATTACTACATTTTTATTTCATAACAATGTCGAATTTTAAATAAACAACAAAATTGAACAGTGCAATTTAGATATTAATTTAAGTATTTAGAACAATTTTCTTTTAAGTGCACAAATCTCAAAACATTCGATAGTGTATACCTATAGAAAGTAAAAACTTGATTTCGTTATTAAAATTCCTATCAGACCTTCAATAAATGAAAAATATTATTTCGTTTCTTCATTAAATAGAAAGTTTCCTTTCTTTGAAATTATTTTAATAGTTGTTTCTTACAAATCTGAATCCGTTTAACGCGCACAAATTCCTGGTGCCGATTCCACATTGCTAAAGATCACATTCCAGACGATTTCGATACCATGAAATGCGTGGGAGTGAATCTTTCACTGGAAAAGTAGTCTGATAATTTATTCAATTCCCGCCGCGGTACGGGACACAGCGAAAAACCGGGTGGATAAACAATAGATTAAAGCATAGATAAGGTAACATTTGTAATTGAGATCGATCTAGTGGAACCATCGACCCGGCGCCACCGTGGAAAATCATTGGCCACGATTTCCAGCGGCACTTTCAATCACCGCGTAATTCAGAATTAAGAACGGCCACGGAATGCGCCGGCGACGATGGAAGAAAACGTTCTTCGCCGCGCTTTCAGCGAATAATTCTATGCAGCAACGATTACGTTCGACAGGTCGACGCACGGCTAATATCGATCCTCGTGTAACACTCACTAACAACTGGAGCATGAAAGCATTATATGCGTGAGTATACTTACACCAGCCCGATGACTCCAGTAATATCTAATTTCCTTCTTGTCATATTATAAGCCCTTTCTCACGGTGTTAACTATTCTCATCGATCGTTCATCCGAAAGCGAGCATTATCAGGATACGTTCTGTTATATTAACAATAAAATGTGAATACAAACATATTTTATAATAAGATTCTTTTACCGTTAGATCGTTGAAAATAAATTATTCAGTTGTATGTTTGAAACATAAGAATTGAACGGAAAAAATAACCGATAAGATACTTTCACTTTTGCAGTATGTACTGTTTTAAATTTCCTTTGTGTGTGGTGAAAATATCTTCTTCGTTGTGTTTTTTTTAAAGAAAGCTTTCTTAAAGAGTTTCTATTTCAAGTCGAATAACACTCATATTTTACTTCAACACAATGGCTGTCGACGTATTTAAAATGGAAACGTAAACACGATAAATAAATTGAAAATGTTTGTTTTGCAAAGATCAAAGTAAGAGGTGTAATAAAGATTTTGTGGTTCAAACGGCTTTGGTCTCTTTTAAGTTAAACTTTATTTAGGTATAACGCCCGGCTAATGATAAAAGGAAACGACTGTTTCCGAGATTGAAAGTAATTTATTAAATTCTTAAAGTAAACAAGTTTTTATTCGTGTGGAATGAAATCGTGGATACTTGGAAAGAAAGAGAAGACTGTAGTTCACTGATAGTGCAGACTGTAGCTGCGTTCAGAAAAATGGGGACAAGATTTAAAAATAGTGGGCGATACGACTCCTACCTTGAGAGGCATTGAAAATATTATCCAAACCCCAGAGTATATTTTCGCATCGAAGTGCATTCTCACAAGAGGCTGTAACAGTAGATCTTTAAAAGAGTCCCAAAAATATCAGACCACTTTATAAGAATCTCTTGTTATATCCACACGTTAAATGTCACAGTATTGATTTATTATATCGTATATACATTACTCGTTAACGAAAGTACACAGTTCACTGACGTTTATAGAAAATGTTAGTTTAATCAAAATGAAGCTAGATCTTTATTGACCGGCACAGACAATTTTCTGTCAACTTCACAGACTTGAACTTTCATTTTTTATGAAAATGATAGTGCTACTTAATCTTATCTTCCACTAGAAACAAATTAGTATTGAAACTTTTAAGTGACAGATATATTACGTTCTCAGACAATCACATGCTTACACAATCATTAAACCTCAGCATAAAATTGATAGCTAAGATACTAGGAAATAAATCTTTGTCTGTGGTTATTCTTTGTAACGGCATTATTCTTTTTGTAATTTAATTGCATCCGTTTCTATTACTATTGCAGAGTTTCTGTCGTAATTTACATAAATGGCTATGAATTGTGAAAACATATGTTACAACGGCTATTACTAAGACAGCCCAATTCGTATACGACATAACGAGGCATGAATTAAAAAATAACAGTGCACATGTGTTCTGTAGTAATTCGATTTGCTCATGCTATCATCAATCACTCAGAAATTTTTCATTGGATAAGTATTGCAGGAAACAATATGTCACAAGTTACCCCGCGAACAACATTTCCCTTTGAGGCAGGGATTGGCTAATCTCTTTGGGAAACTGGTGCTCACTGCTCGTGCTTATTTCGTTGAAAGTAGACTGTAATTTGTGCTAAACGTATCGATCATTCTTGTCGACACCCAGCCTCATTGACCAATTTCAGTGAAAGAAACCTGCCCCTCGCGTTCATCGTGGAAAGTGTGCTACCTGGACCGCGAATTAGACCGAGAAAATTTAGTAAACGTAGCTAATCCAGCTGTATGACATATTAAAGGTGCGCAAACCGCACTATACGTGAAACAGATCAAAACAGAATAAAAATATTTTTTTAATTGCGACACATTTTGTAATATTTTGTGTATTAGTAATATTGTGGGTTTTGATTTATTACTTTAATAATAAAGATCTAAGTGTATTTGGTTTATAAAAGCATTTTAGTAAAAATAGTACTTTGAGGTACTTTTAGGACGTAAAAGGTTTAGACATTCCAAGAAATTTTGCGCAATTTCAGTCACTTTCTATTCCACTAATTTTAATTTACGTTGTCGTCGTATTGAAGAAGTATAGAATTACTCATCGGCAAACTCAAGGATTACAAAAACTGTGCCTCGCTCCAATGTTTCTCCAGCTTTTTATCTTGAGGTCGCCTCGCCGTCACCGGGCCCGTGTAAATAATTTCCTTACCTTCTCTATCCTTTTACTCGGGCCTAGTACGAACTTTAATCACAATTTAGATATCGTGTGGAAAATTCTTTCAAGTTGGTGTTACGAACAAGATAACGCGCAGAGCAATAAATAATAATGTGAATACCATATGAAAAGTACAAAAAAATATTCTTAGATAAGAAATAGAATCTTTTACTTCATTTCACATTCTGGTAAATAGTAGAAACCCTAAAATACGATATAACAAAGCGTAAATTAAAAATAATTCCACAAGTGTGTTCTTCAAATAAATCCAAAAATTTGAAATAAACCAATTATGACAATAATATTAATAATTGGATATAAAGATTGAGATTTCAATTACAATAAAACTTACAGCGTAGAACGAAAACCAAATAAGATAATTAGGAAATAATTGAAAAAAATTTTCATTTTATTTGAAGATATAATATTCCGAAGAAGACGCGAGTGCCCCGAAATTCGGGAAATGGACGACTGGAGGCGGCAAAGAGCGACGAAGAAAAAAGTGTGAGTGAAATGTGGAATGGTGATTTCGATGACAGTGGAAGGAACTGAAATAGAACTGGAGAGATCGTGGTGCAGTGGAAAAAACGATTACACAGGTTCGAAAGAGACGATGAAGAATATTTCGCGAACTGGTCACGAAGTTCATCACGAGGAAGACAACTGAAGATGACCCCTTTACTTTGAACCAGGATGCCAACGTTCTCCAAAATGGATCGAGCAATCATGTTCGTTCTATTGATAACTTTAACGGTAAGATTGCAGCATTAAAATTAAAACATTCGCCCACGCTTTTGCTGGTGGTGTCGTGACACTTCTGGTCAGGCTCCAATTCGACTTGAACTTCAATGCCAACTCGTAGATCAAATTAATGTGCAGTCATACGCGCGCGTTGTGTACGCGACCGAAGGGAAAAAATTAGTAACCGTAAAGCGGTTCCCTTTGAAGCTGGATTCAAAGGACACACTTCTTTAAAGCGAATACGTCATCGATTTTCTAAAGAACTTTTGTACTCGCGCGGCTCGAAACTCGGGAATAATTAGTCACGTTGAACGCTTTAAATTGGCGAAATGTATGTCGCGTTTGGATTCGGATTCATGGTAATATTATGTGTCGATGACTTTCCATCCTGCTCAATTATTTATCGTTTATGTACTGTTCCTGTGTTAATAATTCATCGAATCTAGACTTGTGACAAATGCTTATAATATTTTCAAATGATTACTCATTAAGTGCCTACCTTGAAAATACATTTGGACATGTTTAAAAGATTCGTTTCGACTATATGATATCGATTAAACTATGTGGAGTTGTAAGCAAAATTTATTTCCTCCTTATAAGAAATCGAATCTTCACAAAAAATTCAATGCACACAGAAAATTCTAACTGATTTAATAAATCCCAATACGTCTTGAAAGTTATCTCTTTGAAAACATTGAAATCATTTGTCTCGAAAGTGCATTTCTTCAAATGTAGAACATAGTTTCTGCAAACAGATTCGAAACATCGATCTAAAACATTCGTGCCACGTTCTTACAACGATCCTCTATCTCCCAAACTACAGCAACGCGTAAAAAAGCATATTTCAACAAAACCGCGTTGAATGTACGAACCATCTGTTAAATAATCTCACCGGGCAACAAAACCCTCGATTCGGCGATCCCGAGGAGAAACGTTTGTAAAAGGACAGAAGCAACGGTGGCTATCGTCCGCGTCGCGTCGTCCAGGAATATTGTAATTTATACGGCCCACGAAAATCGTCGTGCCGCGTCGTCATCCAAAGTGATTCGTTGAAAGACAAATTACAGGATATCTGGCGCCTCGTGCTTCAAGCCCGCCCGTTCTTAGCACATGCTGAAAACCACGAACACGGGGAGCTCTCTTCTTTTTTTCCTGGTTCCCCCTTTCTCCTCCTCTTTTTCGATCTTCCCTTTTTTGTTCTTCGCTTTCCTCCTTTTTTTTCTCACTCCGTCCGTCGCTCGCTCTCTCTTCGTCTCGTTTCTTTCGCCGTCTGTTCTCGGTGGAAACCGAGAGAGCCGTGAAGTGTCTCGCTGCCGGCAGCTTACCACCACGGGCCAATAAAAAGTGTTACACGGCCGTGTCTCCTGCGCGTCACGATGATAAGAGACTCTTTTTGGGAGCATCCCTTTATCCGTGCGCGCATCACTGAAATTCGTCGGGGGATCTGTGTACCACGTATTTTTTCCTGACACCATGTCGAACCAGCCTCGCGTGGGAGTTCCCCGAAGATTCCCCCGGCGCGGCGCACTTCGAACGGATTCCTGAGGCTTGTTCTACTTGTAAATGAATTTCCCGAGCAATAAAACGTCGGCCGTTCGTTGCCTGTCTAATTTATCGTTCTTCTCCGATAGTCTCGTATCAACGAAGAAACGGTGTGACTATTAGTTTAAGCTACAGGCTTCTTCGATAAACCGTGCTTGGGAACGCGCCGTGCGATAGAGCGTATTGCGTTCTGATACATTCGAGTAATTAGTGAGAATTATGTGCTGTAGAATGTAGGATTAATGAAATCTTGTAGTACGCTTCATTGAAATGTAATATTTGTACAGTTTTTATATCATTGGAACTTTTAATATTCTGTTACTTGTGTATATACATATATATTCATTATTAACTTTCTTAGGAATGTTTAAGTGATTTTGAAAATCTTTATTTGGAAAATGTAAAGTATACCGTAGTGAAAAAGAATAAAAATGACTTTTACCGTTGTCCTTCATCATTTATACTTAATTCGGCTCTTGTGGTTAATTTATTATTCGCGGTTAATACAAGAATTCCTTAAAAAATACTTTCGAATGAATATTTTTCCAGGATAAATTATATTATATTTGTTATTCACGGAATAATTTAAACGAGCATGCCTTTTAAAGGATATCGTACGTTCACTCGTATGCGAAAGCACATTCCTGTTTCCAGGCAACTCGAATTGTCAGAGGTACGTTTCTGAACGAATTGATCTAATACTTCAAACGATAATGGAACGCATTCCGCGCATTTCCAACAAGCTCGAAGTGGCGCGGAACGCGTTCAAGGAATCGGCGCCGCGTGTTCCGTAAATTCAGCCATGTTTACGCGTCAACCAGTTAATGAATCGTCGCGGGTATTCGTCATTACGTTAATCAGCGTTATTATTACCATTTGCAACGGCCTAACGAGGGGGTCACGTTGTCGCCGCAAGAAGGTAAATAGTCCTCGCGCATTCCTTAATGAACGCCTGTATTTTAAAATTACGTCGGGTGAACACCGGGGCTCGCGACCGTCTCGTTTAAACCGGTTTTTTCGTGTCCATTAGGAACTATGACGAATAAAATGACGATCGTGAAACGTTCCTCTCCTCGGAGTGTCTGCTTTTCTCGTAAAACACAGATAAATCCTACGCAACAAAGTAGTCTAAGGCAGAAATGGTCCGACGTTCATGGTACGCGTAAAAAAAAGAACGAAAAAGAATTCCTCCGATAAAATTGAAATAAAAAAAGTCTTTGCATACCGTCTGACGTAGTTCCAATGAGAATCAAACGCTTCGAGGATATCGCAACACTTTAAAGTACTTTAGAATGAAATCGTTATAGAGCATGACCAAAAATGGCGACATACTCATTAATGCGGAATGTTACTTGTGCCTTTACCATTTCTTCATTCATTATCTTGGGTAATAAATTATATCGTAAATGTGTAATGGCTTTTTTCAGTAAACTCTGTTCACAGGGTCGATGTGTCCGTACTAAACGTTGTGTGTCAATCGCCGGTTCTCTTATTTCTATGCGTGTGATTATTATCGAATTTTTCAGTTTCCAGTGAATCCATTCGACATTCGCAATTGTGCAAAACTTACCGCAGCGCAATATTTAATGAAGATTTAATGCAGTTTTTATGTTACGCGAAACCAGATAAAATCCTTAGCTTGTACCTGTTTCCAGTTTTCACGAATTAGGCCACAAAAATCGATATTTGCATAAACATCCACGAGTCTAATCACTTACGACGTTTATGCCCTGTGACACATAGGTAGCATTTAACAAGCAGTTCGATCAATTCCACTATTTTTACGGCGGATCTAATGTACATTGACTTTAATAGATGTAGAAACGGATTATGCGAACAGTATTTTACTCAAAGACCGTGTTACTTGTAATTCTATAAAAGTGTGAATGTGGACTTTTCAAACCACTTTCATAATAATTTACCGAGATACTTCGACTGAAACTTTGTGTAATCTCAACACATGTACGTACACTTAACATACTTAATACCAACGATAATAAAAAACACTTAAATATCAATAAAGTACACGAATACCTATATTACACAGACTTTTTCAAATACAAAGATTACTACTTAGTAATACCTGTAACAACGTAATAATGCTACAGTTTCAAACAAAAAAATTCTAAAATGATTCAAATTTGAGTCAAATTTGAGTCAAATCTACTGTTCATTTAGAAAAAAAAATGAAATCTATTAATCGATATTATATTGTGCCGCGAAGAAAATATGAATGTTTAAAGTCCGCAGGGATGCCTTAACGATTACCCTCCGTTGTCACATAAATCATAGTAATCGCGAAGATCGGATTCAGCCGTCCGTGTTCATTCCTGGTGAAAATATCGCGATACTCCTAACGATCGATTACAAAAACAGCACGGTGCTGGCCGCTCTTTGACGAACAAAGAAGGCGTTTTATTAGCATGCTAGAAATGTCGCTCGTAAATTATCCGCGGGTTTAATTACTCGACGTCGGACGACGCCGATTTTTTCTCCCCTTTTCTTCTTTTCCGCGGATGAGCGGAAACCCGTCCACGGTGTCCAAGGTCTGCCTAGGAAGTTCCACATTGCGCGCGGGACGCATTCCTACCGTTAAATGTTGCGGGTGACGCGTATTCTTAGACCGGTCAGATAGCACATTAGAACAGATTCATGCCGCGTACAAGATCCCCGCCGGGTTTTAAGTGTTGCAGGAAGCAGACACGGCTCCGGACTTTATCCTTGATCCAAATCCACCGGTGCCGAGCCGCGTTCCCGTGACTTTCTTTCACAGAGCTGTTCATTAATCATAGGAATTGATATCTATTATAATATTGTTCGCGTTAGTGCTCGCGCATGTACCGTTGATTAATACAAAAGGTATACACAATGGGGTAGGAGAATTTTAAGACCGGCAACTGGTCGTGGGTAAAGGTCAAGGGAAGTTGAAGCTGTATGGCAACTTCTTTTGCTGAGGGATTTGTATTTTTACAATGACGGAGTGAGTATTGGTTCTGTTATTAGAGGCAATGATAAATACATGCATTTTTTTCTGAAAATTGAAATCTAATTGTGTGGATGGAATCGTGGTTTTACTCAGCTCTTTGAGGGGTGAAAAAGTTATTCTTTGAATAGATTGTTTCTAATATTTGAAATAAAGATTGATGTTGTTGTAATTGGTGTAATTATATTAGTAATTGTGGTATGTGAATTAGAGGTAGTTTTATACTTTTGATATTTAAATCTATATTAATGTTATTTTCATTATTAACCATGAAATGAGTTTCATTATTTTTAAGATTTTTTAAAATAACTGTATTTTATTGTTGTTTACAGTGACCTACTTTTAATTATTCATCACACATAATCTGAATATCTGTATCAAAATACAGAAAAATATACTATTGAAATATTAATTGTATTGAATACAGAACACTCCACTTAACCATTAAAAACGTTGGTATGTAAATATTGTCTAAGATATGTTCAAGATACCGTCAGTTAAAGTATTAAATCGATGAACACCACGAGAAATCGTTCTGAATAATGAATCATATTTTTAAAGTCTCGTTGCGAATGTTATGAGTCTGCGAATAATATTTAACAGGAGAAATCGGTAACCACTAAAACCCATTACCAGCTATCAGAATAGGTGATTCCGTTGTGGTATTTAAAACAGATAAGTTGTAAGAATACATCCGCGGAACATACATAGTGGCCGTGTATGACTTGAAAGTTTGATAGATCGAATGAAAAATTCGAACGTATCTCCCAGCTAAGATAAGTTGCGCGTGACCCATCCAGGAAGTAAAGTTTGTTACGGTGTTTCCTCGTTTGCGTGTCACGAGCGTGCCGCGTACGCTCTCCATGCCGGGGCATTGTAATAAATCGCGAATGTTTTGTAGCTTCCTGTAAATACATTGCTCATGACAACTCCTTTATCATTATAAATAAACCTTCTGTCGCGACAAACGTCTTTATAGTTCTCTAACGAGGTAAACGTGTGCGTCGTGAATTGTAATTGTTGGAGGACGTTACTTTCGCGCGGCAGACAAGTGTCCTTAACCCTTGTGCATTGTTCGACTAACCATTACGTTAATACTTTGCACTAAGATGCACTGAAAGTGACGACCGATTGAGAAGACTCTATGATTGTATAATTGAATTGTAATAAATACAAATCGGTAGTATCAAATTAATGACATTCATTTGCACGAATGTTTCTATGAAGACAAATTTTTCATTTGAACAGTACATCAAATTCGGATATTAAAATTAAGATGAGACATGAATTGATATAAACATCACATATGATTTTCCTGCAGGTTGTTCAGTTTCTTTCAAGAGTACAATCAATTTTTATTTGTCCTTTACTGTTATTAACTTTCACGTACTGAAATTTCATTCGGCACTGACAAAAACTATAGTTCCCCGGTTCTTTGATCTCTCGCGAGGTGTACGATGTCTCGATTAAATTTTCTTACCCGTTACATAATCAATTTGCTTTTATGTTCGCTTACTCGACTGACAGTAGGAAGATACTTCTTCATGGACCATCAGTTTCGTGTCTCGTTTCTTCGCCAACGTTATGACACGCGGTTAGTGCAGGGTCATGATCACGCAGGTTGCAGTCACTCGACTTTCATTGCTCGTCAAGCTGGTGTCGCATGCTGTTTAAATCTCTGTCTACGGCTTTCTCTCGGGTAGGCCATCGTAGTCACCCTTGCGCAATATCGATTTTACTCTCAATTGCTTTATTAACTGTAAGCCACATTCAGTTATTAAACCCTTTATCTTACTGTATCTTATCTTCAAATTCGTTAATTAAATGTTTTGAAAATAAACGAATTAGATTTTATGAAAGCTACATCAACAACCAATTCGTAAAAATATGATTTGAAGTTAGATCTAATACTATCCGCTGATATAAAATTTATCGATAATTCTGTTACCATTTCGTATTCTTCCTCGTAACTTTATATATTTAATTAATGCTACAAAATATTTTAAAAGGACACTGATAATTCCCATAATAATCAATGAAATTTGGAATATATTCACAAATGTCAAATCTCTAACAATAGGAAACTACTGTTAATTACTTTCTTACTACTATCGCAATCGGTTGATTATTCCGATATATCCCGTCGAAAGGAAACTTAAACGAAATGACGATATCCTGCGTGAAATGGACGTCCAAGCTGTAGCGAACATTTAAAAAACCATTTCATGGTTACGCGGAATTCTTTCTCCTTTTTCACGCCTGGCAACGTATTCCCCAGCGCTGGATGTGATTGACTTCCACGCATGTAAGACCGGATTCCGTGTCGTCGAATTCGAAATGCTTTTTCACGGTGATTCGGCGGGATGGAGCGCGTCCAACTTGCGTCTCCCCGCCGATCTTGCACGACGCGGACCGCAACCTGCTCGCCGCGCGGCGCCGGTTACGCGTGTACGCTTTGGTAATGCGCCGCGACGAAGAAAGGGATGAGTAGCGAAAGCAGAACCGATAGCCCGCGAATAAGCGCGGTCACGTGCACCGTCATCGAGGAACTCCGTCGTTGGTGTTCGAGACACAGAACGTCCGATGAGCGACTGTAATTTACAAACGGTTGGAATCGGAACGTTGCGTTGCGTTGACGGGTTCCGTTGGTTCCACAGGAATCGACGAGTGAGACTGAGATGTAAACACTATCGACGGATCCGATCTATTCGAGAGATATTTAACACGTTCCATGTTATTTACATTGTTCGGGCTACGTGTCGATGGTGACCTTTAGAGTGGGAACCTTATGGCATTTGTTAGTCTTAATTATGATGTGTATGATTCCTCGGGGTATGAGAAAATGGTAGTTTAGATTTGCTATGTTGCGAGTGTTGCCTGTTTTTTTAATCTTTTAGCAAATGGAAATTTAATTCTTGTTATTCCTCTGTCTCATAGGTGAATGTTGATTTTGCTTTGTTCATTTGGCTTTTCAAATTTCGAAATTGTAGGAATGGAAAGTGAAGGTTAAGAGAAGATATAAATTTATATATATTGGTAAATTCTGAAATGAATGTAATTCTACTGAAATATTCGTCGTTTAAAGTCACTTTTAAGAAAGAAGAATTACATAAATATAACGAAGACAAATATTTACAGTAAACACATGGAAAATAAATGTCGTTTTGATTATTCTGTTGATAAAATGGCCAATAAAGTTTCGAAATTGTCATAAGTATTCGGGATCTATATAGGTACGATACATTTCATCACGGATGTAGAAACATATATTTAGAATTCTTATTCGAACAGATCTAACGAACAGAAACGATTTAAATTTGTCACTCAAAGCCAGACAGCTCCCACCGAATACAGACGAATGAGTCAGATTTACATGCCACTCTGACGACGCGACACCGTCACAGGCATCGAGGAGATCCTCTTGATAACACGAATCGAGTTCGACGTTCACTCGTGTTGCGTTATTTTTGTGGTCACTAGAGCCGTTTAATCCCCGATGTCGAGAATTCGGAGCGCAGCGTCGCATCTGCGGCGTTCCTTATGGGTCTGTGATGATTCATTCGACCCTTCCGAAGCCGATTATTAATTAGCCGCTTACCTTAATGACTTCGCGCGACTTTCTTTCCTTTTACTTTCGCACGTTCATGTTGTTGCAATGAAAACAGGCTTAGTGGAAAGGAAGTGATATAGATCAACGCGGACACCTTAGAATTTGAACATTAAGATTGTGGGGGTTGCCGCGGGACCGGAAGTAGATGTAAGAGGGAGCATAGAAGAAACAGCACGAACTGATGTCTTACGTAAATTTCCTTTTTCTTGGAGAGGAAAATAGTCTTGAAAAATAATAACATGCGTTTTGATCTCGTTTTTGAGAAATGAATCGTTAAATGTATGAAACTGTTGATAGTTGAGTGTGAATCATGAGAACTTGAAATTTTATCTGGTTTACTCCATTATTGAAAAATATGTTCCATGTGATATTTGTATTATATACCATTTTTAACATATATTGAATTTCTCTGTATAATTACATAAAAATTTCTACACAACTTTGATTTAAAATAAATTCTATAGGTAAAATTATTGAATACATTCTCTCTGCGCAGACTCAGTGAAACTCTTGCGACGAATGGAGATGCGTTCTAGTCTCCAAATATGGCGTCTATACATACAGGCATGGTTAACCCCCTGCCTCATAATATCGTGTCAGACTCGTGGCGAAGATTTCAAACTGTATTCAATGAGCATATGTATTTCCCAATTCTTTTAAATTCAAATGAAACATTATTCTTCTGTTATCAATGATTATATATTAGAGCAAACATAGACATGGAGTATGCCTAGAATTTGTCTCCTTTTTTCAATGAACTATTAATAAAAGAGTAGCTGTATCGATTGTAATTCAGAAAGTCATTTTTCTCAAGAGGCAAGGGGTTAACCATATTTCTAGTCGGTCTATTTCCATGAGCTCACGGTGTTTCCTCATTCGGTCACGGGATTCCGCGCGATACGTTTGTTATCAATGCCCCCGGTGTATTATCCAGGCCGTCCGGAAGGCGGTTTCCACTGGAATCACCTACACACGTGGCCCCAAAGTGAACACGTACATAGGCACGCAGGTTGTTTTATCGCAGTGTAAACACCTGACGTGTGCTCGCGCGGGCTCACTTGTAAACGTAGCCGGTAGAATTATAACTCGGTTATTACAGGTTAACACGTACAACGTAATTTAATGCACTTTAACGCATTCACGGATTTATGATGCACGATGTACAGTTATGACGCATTATTATATTTTAGAAAAATCCCACTTCTTGTTTATTCCGCCCATTACCGAGTCAATAAATCCTTTCAACACGCTTTTGTTTACGCGATCGTTCCCCCATAGACATTTAGCGTCGGCGTGGTTATTCGATTTATTCACAATGTACGAATCTGGAATGGGATTAGATGATTTTACATAACGCACGGACGTGGACACAAGATCTAGTGGGTATTTCATGTTAAAGTGTGTTGACTCATTTATTGACACAAGACATTCTGAAGCATAACTCCCACTAAATCCTGTTCTCACATTTATCTGTCGTAAAAAGTTAATTAAACTCACCCTTGTTCCGAATTTCTTGAATGTAGAATGAAGAATTATTTATTAAAAGTCTATGAAAGTGACGTTGCTATTGTATTGAAGATGCTGGTTTTGTTTGGTTTTTTGTTTAATGAAATGAAATTTCGAAGAGTTACGATTCAGTAGAACATTTATTCTTCTGGTTATTTTAAATTGTTTATAAGTAAATCTCGATTTCGGTTATATCGGTAGGAGGGACGAGACAAACTGAAATTTCCGATTGAAATGTTGTGCTTATTATTGTGAGCTTCCTAGACATCGGATTTTCAGCAATAAATAATCTCTTGAAGATAAATGATGTCAAGCTGTCCAGAAACTTTGGTTGATGATGCGCTGAAGTCGAATTAGTGGAGATGAAATGAGATGGTTATGGCGATTAACGATTAGCTGTGCTGGATGCCAATAAGCACTACAAATATACCTTAAAAAATGTATGTTCCTATTATTATCTTCTAAACCTCGCTAATTATTTATCACAATTCCGCAGAGAAGTGCTTAATAAAGTGTGAAAACAGTTTATTTAAGAGATAATCAGAAATAAAACTAATAATATAGGACGGAAAGGGTTGATTTACTCAAAATTAATATTCCGATACACATCCACAATTTAAACCACACCTGCCGTACGATCTTATATTTCTATTGAAACTTTTGTTTCTCGTTGTATGTATACAAAAGATATTAAATAAATGAAAATTTACACGTGTCATTGTTATAATGCGCAAGTGCGACTACGAACTCCAGTTCTATATTTGATGTCCACCGTGAAACCGTTTGGGTTGACCAGGCCTGATCTAAACCATATAAAATCTATGAACAATACACAATACACAAGTAAACAAAATTACGATATTTTCAACTTGTACTATAATGTATCACAATACGAATAAAATTTCAAATACCACCATCGAATCATTTTCTACGACCCAAAAATTACAATATACTGTAGACCGATGAAACACGACTGACGCGCCGGCAGGCGCCGCGATGTTTCTAAAAGGAAATACGTGTCTAGATGCTAGGGGTAGTTACGTTACATTTATTTACATATCTCCGGAGAAAATTGCCCGATCGACGGTGCCCTTTAAGTAAATTATTATCCGTAGGTTTTCGTACCGAATCGTTACGTAATTAAGATATTCCATAAATTTCTTTGTAATTATAATCCACGGTGGACGCTTCTAAATCACCGTCGGCATCGTAAATATAAATCCTAGATAGCCATCGATGCAAGATAATGTTAACGTCCGGTGCTCCGTATGATACCGCCGACCCTCGTCGTTAATGTCGATCGATCGACAGAGGGTTGGGGGACCTGTTTCACGTCGTTTGACATTATCGAACAGTAATCGAGAGACCCGCGGCCGAGTCCTCATTGTTCCCCTCGGGTCGATTTATAAATTCGCTCATGCGATATTCATACAATTAACATCGATCGCGTCGAGCAACAAGCGACTTGACATTCATCCGGGGTTAATCCAATCAGAGTGAGGAGAGTCACTTTGGGCGCGGCTTTATATGCACGTTTACTGATTACCTTTTTACCGGCAAAAAAGAAGTGTCGCGGGCATACGGAACACAACCATCGGCTGCGTTTCAGCTTTGGTAGATATCAAGGACAATAGTGGATGTTATTTGACGTCGAATCGAACTTTGCGCTCGCTATAGCTGGTTGCATCAAACGGGTTTATCGCGATTGGCTTGAGAGCATGGTCTGTGTATTAACCCTTGCACGGAGTTCAAGAAACTGTTACGGTAATACCCGAATTAAATTAAACGGAGGTTGATATTGGGTTAAGCAAACGGGTTTCCTTAGATTTTTGTTAACAAACTTTTATTTGTTGGATAGGTAGAAATTAGGTTTGACTTGAGCTAGAAATTAGAGGTTCATTGCGTACTATATCAGCGAGTACTGATAGATGTAAGAAATTTAATAATTTTGTTAAATGTGACTGATCCTCACATTTACATGTGGTTAATAGTGATTTCATTTGTGAGCTACTTTCTTTTTCTGACGAGAGAAGAGTATGGGTTTTTTAATTGTGTGATAAAAGTTATGATATACCACGTGGTAAGCTATTAGTGTAAAAATATTTTTAATGGTATTCTTAAATGTAATTAAAACGATTACTAAGTACTAATATAATAAATTGTGACGTAAGATGCGAGAAATTCAATAGGAAGACACTGTTTTAATTAATCGAAAAGGGTTCACCTTCTGACATAATAACATCAGTTCCCATGCATCATTTCAGACCAAACGGAAGACGGAAGAGATAAACTGCGAAGCTCCCTCCTAAGATCCATCTGTATGAAACTACCATACATTCCTATGTTTACGTAATAATTTAAGTAACGAAAATTCTCTCTCTTCCCTAACTGAAAATCACCTATCTTCGCAACTTTAAAAAAAAGCTGCACCATTTCTATTTCAAGTAATAATAATTGTCCAAAAAATCAATGTTCGAATTGTTCAGAAATATCTAATAATCGTTTAATAAATCAATTTCTATTGGCACACTTTCAGTAACCTTGATCAATTTATGGAATACTTGTGCAAGGGACAAAATAAATGCGTTGACGTCACGGTGACCATGATGCATCCCCGAATTGCGAAACCGCGCGGCTAAAATAGACCGGAACATTCAAGAAAGCCATCAGTGATTAATCACCCAATCAAACGGTAGTAATAGATACGAAGTTCCAGATCCGACTTGAATCACCATCGAGGCACTCGCCGCTACGAGCCATGTGGTCTTCCCTATAATTTATACTCGTCTTTCGCGTCCTATATACCGATTCCACGCCCATGTAACGCTAACCCACGTACTACAGCGCTGCGCAATTTAACATACAATTTCTCGTCATCTTAAATCTTGTTCAACTTCATCAGCCGCAGCAACACGAAACTCCAAACATCGCGACAGCGTTACAATATCCCTCAAGCTTCTTTTTTCATAACATCATTTCCAGATTGAAAGCATCTGCACGAATGTAAATCCGAGATCCGATTTGCATACCCACTAATCACAAAGTATCTTCCAACGTGAGACAAAGAGTCTCTTTCTAGGAAACAATCGCAATGTCTTTTTATGTTCTCGATTAAAATCGCAAATAACCGCGTAGACGCTGCCCGCGGAATGCTAATCACACCGTCATTCCGGAGTGATTAATATCAAACAGCTATTTCATGCAAATAGAAGCTGCGAAACGCGTGTCGGTCCTTGATGGAGGCACGCAGAACGAAATTCTTGAGAGACTCGCTCGAAGTGCCATGAGTGGCTCTCGATCGAACCATCGATGTTGAATCGTTACTCAGGAGTTCCTCGACTTCCGGTGCACTCCGGTAGCTGTCGCGATTCGGCGCCGCGCCGCGCCGGGACGACAGAACGCAGCCGAGCCGAAGAGGGCCGCGATGATGGGGCTAAATCTGCGAGCCGTCACAGGCATAATTTTCGCCGCGGTTTCGCGCGTCCAAACACGCGTCACGCGACACGTGTTGTGACTCGGTAATTCGCGTCGCGGGGCCCCCGCCGCGTTCAAATCTGACTTGATTCAATAACGCTGCCGGCCTGTTTGCACAGACGCGGCTAAGCAGCCACGTGTGTAAACACCACTTCTGTTTTGACTAATTATTCCGCGGAAATAGCCGGCGATACTGAATGACGCGATGAGTGGAATCCCGAGTGAGATTCGCGTGTTTCCGAGCCCCGCGATGCCGTAATGACTCTTAGGGGACTGTGTGTACCATGCGATTTTTCATTCGAGTGTTTGCCTCTTCGGATTTTCGTCGGATTATTTTGGGACGTCTACGGTTTCCAGCGTTGGTTTTTCATTGTTTTGTATACTGAAATGTCGAATCGTTGGATTCGTTGATTAGGTTGATTAGGATGTTTATACATTGGTTGTTTTATATTTTGTAAGAATTGTTTTTACTTGTTTATAGTAGTTCAGTTTGAAAAATAAAGGGAAATTGGAAAGCGTGTTGATATTAGCAATTATGTGATGTTTTTGATGATAATTGTTACTTTTGAAGTGTTGACTGAGCAATTCACTTGAAACGTTTGTGCCAACATATTCATTTCTTAGATTAACAAGCTGGATGCAATAAAAACTGCATTGAATTTATGATGAATATGACAATGAAATTGTTAGCTTTCAGCAGGAAAACAAAGGATTACGACATTGCTAAAAGTGATTAGACTAGTCACCTACTCGAATAAGTATGACACAATAAAGTATCGATTGGCTAGAAACCTGATCTCTTAATAAAAGCTTAAAGCAACGTACTTTTTTGAAATCTGTTTCACCATCATGTTGAAAGATAGATTTGACTATAATAGATAAGTAGATGTTGTATCCAATTTTATATGAAAACCTTAAATCCTCAGTATTTATTTGAAAATTCCATTTATATATAAAAATCCTTCTACTCTTCACAGATTTAAAGTTTCATAACATTAACATACAAACATTTCGTTATTTACAAAGAAACATGCGTATCTCTCGAAAATTGTTAAAACGATATCTTACAAAACAAGAATAATAAAGGTGCGAGAGAATGTAGCACGTATCAGGAGGGAAAAAATATATGCACTTAACGAGCCACTGTTTTATCGGATATTTAATTATTGCAGTAGATTAGAATTTTAAAGTGCTGAATAATTTATTGACGCTAATACGCCCCAACCATTTAATCCTTTAATTACTCCACGTTACGCGCACGTCATAATACATGCAGGATCCGCGATCCGAAACAGCTTAAGATACGTGAAACTTTTCTTAATCAGCTGAAAAATTCGATGAATACATGTATAATGAATTAACGTTGTGCTAATTCTGGTTACAGAGTTTCTCGGGCTATTGCAGCGGGCACTTGATCGATGGGATTTTCACGGAACCGACCTTGGAGCTGGGTTACAATCTAGTGGCCACAGTTCCAAGAGGTGCTCTGGCTCTGAACGTGACACAATTGCGACAGACGGAGAATTATTTAGGTAAGGGAGTGACATTGTATATTTAGCGTCATTGTAAATTTAGCAGGAGCAAAATGCAGTGACACTTTTCGTACATGAATATTTATTATTCCAATACTTTTTCCTCTATTCAACGTTTATGTATCCGTACGAAAGTAAATTCTGAAACATGCTCGCAATATAAGGTAAGAATAAGTGGGAACTTGTTTAAAGATTTCTTAGGGAGAACTAAAAAAGATTGAAACAAATATTACTGTGATATGTCTGGATTCGTAAGTTCCCTTTTTGGTAATTAACCTACTTGTGAGTCCAAGGAAATTATATGCACGCTGGTCTGATAATTAATATATTGAAATTTTTAATTGACACATCGATGATTATTCAGCGGTATCAGATAGGAATTTGTAACATGTAAATATTCGAGATTCGTGTCAATTAGAATTCTGAGTGAACAACTTTGATTACATTCCACATATGCTAATCTGTTTGACGTATGATTCTGATGAAGTTACTTGCACTGTTGTTTAGGAAATGTTATAATCTTCATTAAGCTTATAATCTATACATTCGGATTATTTAAAAAGATAAATATTTCATAATCTGAAAATTCCTTATTGAAACAGTAGTTCACGACTAAATCATTACTTCTAAAAATGCCACAATATCAAAACACTTCCTTAAAATTCATTTCAATTATAAAATACTTAAAACAGGGTAGCTAGTTTAAAGAAGAATGAAATACCTTAGCAACTGTTGCAGACAAAAAATATCAATTCTATATCCAAAGTAATGAAAACTTTCATTTTACTACGTCCCATTCAATACTCCTCACCGCAAACCCACGAAGACCTCCCATCTATCTCACAAATAGTACTTATCCTTTTAACCTTATCGAATCCCGTGCGCCCCAATCGAATTCATTCAACATAACGCCGTGCCATAAAGATTCATTTGTAACATCGACCTAAAAATCGTGCCACCCACATACGAACAAGGCATCGGCAAGAGTGTTTAATTTGAATATCGAAGATCCTCAAGTGTACCTGAATGACATCATCATTAGACGAAAATGGCCGGAGTTGAACGAACGGTACGGCGGAAAGTACGAGATTTATGGAATCATAAATACGTTCGATAACAAAGGCGTGAAAGTGGCGTGGGGATAATAAAGCGGAACACGAACGAGCGCATAACGAATGAAGAGAAATGGGATCAACGAAGGTTGCCCGCCACTATTGAATCAAGCTGATACGCGCGAGTCCTGTTCGGGGCCGCGACAAACTGATTTTAATGAACTGTGCCAGTAAGCAAATCGTCGCCATGATTGTTCACGATTGTAAGCAATCAGCTGCGCCCGTTCGCGATCCCCGTTTATTATCAACGCGGGATCTCCTATCGTCAGAATCTGTACGCCGAAGGAGTCGTCGTGCTCCCAGCATCAACCCTCTCATAATCCAATCTCCTGTTGCGTGCTAAGTGGGACGTGGAGCGCCGTCTCTTGCAAATGCGGCGCAACAGCTGTTGATAGGCACGTCACACACTTCGTTGCGCTTTCAGCATCTGGTTTCTGGAATTTCTCCATATTTTCCGATGTTCGCTGACCGGGGAAACGATAAAGATAAACCTTTGTTTATACGGTTGCTGTGTTCGTTTATTGTTGAGCACTTAATACTTTCTGACATGTGGAAATAGAATAAGCTATATACTATAGGGTATACGATCCGCTGAAGAAAGTAAGAGTAGAATAACTTGAATGAACATGCTACAAAATACGTGATTATTGTATGAAATGAATAGTTGAATATTTTAGAATTAGTTTGTATTTATTGTAAATATTGTTGGACAGCTAAAAGCATTTGTGTATGTTTCGCATTTTATTCGATGAATTCTCGTTTCTCTAAAGCGATTCAGAAAATGTAACGTTTGAATAAATATCTGTAACCTGGTGCTTACCATTAATATTTTCTTCGGGTTCTTTAACTTATACTTGATGTGATACGTATTTTAAATAGGAAAAAATGACAGTACATTGATGTTTTATGTATAGAACGAAAGATTGAAAACTTATTAACAGAGCATAAATTTGAGAAACGTATATTTATTATAACGAGTTCTGAAGTATTCAGGCTAGAACAAGTCATTCTGAAATTTTATCGCGGCGCACACTTTACAGCATGTTGTGCGAGAAACTATGTTATAAATGCATCAGGTTCCACAGTTTGATTATTACCTGTCAGTTTCTGTAGCCATGTTACGCTACCTTACGAAATTCGAAAAAGTGTTACCATGAATACGAAGTGTGCCGTTTCCTGGAACGTATTTATCTCGGATCGCGTGAATCGATCGGTCATAAAATCCGCTGCCACTAGCGCCCCTTACAAGAAGGGTTATAATTCTTGGCTAAACGATCGCGATTGGGATTTTTACGGCGGTCAATTGACGTGTCATAGATCGGCAAGGAGATTAAATGGTGTATGGAATGTTTTTGAAGCGTGGCTATTCTTTGGATCTGAAAGGAACTTAAGTAGGTAGGTGTGAAATAATGTGAAACGGTCGGAACCATTTAGCGGAGTCATCAATTTCACCGTTAATACGAGATCGTGACACTCGTTTCACATATCAATATTAAATTTATAACACAATGAAAGGTCTTATTAGCATGCCCTTACAGTTGTGTCGCCGGTTCGCTGTAAAATATCGAATTTATGTCGCGTATTGAGACTCTTGAATAAGCTGTATTAATGGAAGGAAACATGTCGTTTATAATGCTTTCTAATGCCGTATACAATGATCTATCATTCAATAGTGTCGTTCGACAACAAGGAAGCGATTACTCAATGACATTCAATGTCTTATCAGTGTTTCGTTCTATTTTAAATGAATATTTTGAAGAAGTATTTATGTAACAGTACATATTATAATACTTACAATAATTGCAATTTATTAGATATATGATACATAGCTGTCACAGTAAAGAAGAAGTAAATGAAAAATATGAATAAATAAATGAAAAACTTTAATTATTGATAATGAACAAATAAATAGTGTAAAGTTTCAGATAAATATTTGATTAAGTTTAATCCTTTTAGTAAATTTCATACCAGTTCTACCAATCATGATCAAACTTTTCTAAACATTTTTTTTAGAAACTGGTTATAGTATAGCACATACGTGCATTACATTACAAAGATTGATGTATATAGTAATTATCCATAAGATGTTGTTTATACTTACGATGCATGATAAAAGGGGTACGTTTCTTGCTCCAGGCAAATGGACTCTCTAATGGGTGCTAATATCAATCTAATGTTTCGTTCAACTACGCTCGTAGAAAGATGAAAGACATCTAGCGGGTAATCGACGTGCGTCATTTACTAAATGATGTGTCTATATTTCTAATGTATCATATCGCGTATACTGCACCGACAGAGTCCGCAATTCCCATATTCAAGTTCCGTGAATGACTATGCGTTTCATTAGACGACTGATTATGCGATTTTCATCTGAATGCATGACACGAGCGTGAAATAATTAGCAACGGGGGCTGTTAAGTTTATCGACAGCGATCTGTCTAATACTCTAATGCGTCTTCTAAATGTCTTACTCCTACATCATAAAATATACATTATAAAACGTGATTTTCTCACATACTGAGAATATTATTTAAAAGCAGGCTAATGAGGAAAAGTTTTATCGGTTTTTAAGGAATACTTTAATTACAATTAAGCAATGAAGCACATTTTATATTTACAATTATAATGATTAAGAAATTGCTTCTTATTGAAGTGATGATAGAAATATATTCACGAAAATGACCTAATTGCCACGAAAATAATAAAACTTTCTTTTAAGTATATGTTCCTATTTTATCAAATAATTTTAAATTAAAGAGTTTCGTGTTTTATGTGAAAATGTAGGAAATTGTATTTTAATAGAAGATTAATATGTAATAATAAAACTGTAACGTGAATTAATTTTTTCAGCGATCAAATTGCAAAATGGTACCTTTTTATTAAATGGAAATTACAACATCAATTTGTCCGGCAAATACCAGGCGGCTGGAACAACTTTTGTTTATCTCCGTCAAGGACCGCAACATTTGGAAAGTTTCTCCGCTACTGGTCCGTTGCAAGAACCAATCGATGTTATGGTGAATATTATATTATTTTAAACAATTTTTATTTTAAACTTTTATATCCATAGAATATTTTCTATCCTTTTTAAATGTTTCGGTTTATAAAATTTCTGCATGAAAGAATTCTTAAGTCCATAATTTTGAAATACACTTCAAACAATTTATAAAGTATATCTTGTTATTATTAGGAGGATATTAAGAGTAATATAAAGTGGATTCAATCTTTTAATTAAATAATCTTTTAATTTCAATTAGGTTCTGTATCAAGAGCCAAATCCGGGTATTGTTTATCGATATATCATTCCTGGAAATCCGAACGTCCCTACGAACACTCACTTTGGACATAAAATAGGTGAACATACGGTACATTATAATATTAATTGGAATTAACTTATCATTCATTAAAATAATATTTATAGTTTCGAGTAAAGCTGCAGAACCTGTTCCACCGACTACTCCACAAAGAAGGTAAAAAATATTAATCTCTATCTAATAACATTTAATACACCCAGGCATTTTTCTGATCTTTAATTGAAAGAAGATATTTAATTAAAAGTTATTTATTATCTTTTTAGAGTAGAAAGTAGTTCTTCAATCAACGATGGAGCATTGACGCCATACCTATCAAAGCGATTCAAGAAAAGGAAATTCGTTTGGAAAGCAAACGGTTACACCGAATGCAGTCGAACTTGTGGCGGAGGTGAATCAGCATCAGCATTAATTAAATTACAATATTTTCAAAACGTGGAAGAATAAAATTATTTAATTTCACTTATTTTTTTTAATAAAGGTTTTCAAATGCTAAAGTATATGTGTATACGGGAACACACGCAAACACAAGTGCCTGAAAAAAGATGTCACGCGATAGAAAAGCCGCGCGAAGTACAATTACGGTGCAGCACTACACCCTGCCCACCTAAGTAAGTAGAATAATAAACAAAATTTGTATATTTATGCGATTCAGATATTTTTTTACCTTGTAATTAATTTATCAAATAAACACGAAATCTCCGGACGTTCTAATATAACTAGCAGTAATATTAAAATAACGTAATAATCAAATATTAAGTCTTATTGGGTAAGTACAAATGTGGTTTTCTGTATACAAAATAATAAATCAATTACGTCGCTTACATACTGAGTACATACAAAGTGTTAAAAAAACTATTTCAACAATGTAATAATGTTTTGTATAACTTTTGGAGACATTCATTACCAATTTTAAGTGTGTTAAGAGTTTTGTGTAATTCAGATAAAAGTATTAAATTTATTTTAAAGGTTCATTTCAAGGGATGAATTAAAAAGTTATTCGATTTTCTAAAGATGGAGAACTGGTCCTTGGAGCGACTGTTCAGTGACTTGTGGCACGGGGACTCGTGTGCGGGAATTAGAATGCGTGCAAGAAATAAAACCGTCGCTGATAATGAGAATATCCGATGGTGCCTGTATGGAGCCGAAAATTCTTCCTACGACTGAAACTTGTGAAATGCCAACGTGTGAATACGACGCTAAAATAACGCCAACGACAATACCGCCTCCGCAGTGGAACGTGGGCACATGGTCTTCGGTATTAATCTTATCTTATTACATATTACACATCCCGTACACCTTATTTGGGTGTAAAAGTTCATAAATCTGGCGTCGTTATGGGCAATAAATAATTATCACCTACATAGGCAATCTAAACATTTCCTAGAATTCAACGGATTTATGTAGTGAACGACACATAATTCTAATTTCTTAGACAGAATACTTTGGTACATGAAAGCATTCATTCTTTCTACTTGTAAAGTAGCAGTGAAAAATTAGTGAATTTTTTAAATACCAGAAACCATTTTCAAGGAAAACCGTTGCTTTTTTATTTTTTGGCATACTTTTATTATAGTCATATTTATGCAATGTCTAAAGAAGCCAAACACTTTGCATATAAAAAGAATAATTATTATTTTCGATTCTAGTGTTAAAATAAATAAACTGTGGACATAGATTCTTAACAAATTCAGGGATGTATATAATTAGACTTGCAATAAAATCGGGTGTCAGTCTTCTGATAAATTAGCGAATTGCAGCAACTGCATAATTAAAACGCAGAAGCTATCAGAATTAACACGTAGTCTAATTGCTTCCTTTCCCATTGAAGTGCTCCACATCTTGCGGACCAGGTAAAAGGACCAGAGCGGTAACTTGCGTCACACAAGGCCCTCCTTGCAATCACGAGACGAAGCCTATTACTCAAGAAGCTTGCGACTATGGACCTTGTACAACTAAACTGCCATCGTTGAACGTTGTCTCTACAAGACTTCAGAGTCCACAGTGGTTGTACACTGAATGGTCCGAAGGGGTAAAAATTACTTTATTTCATAAGTATGTAATTGCAACCAATACTGTACAAATATCATAAAAAGAGGCAATATGATCATCAACTAAACACAACTCAATTATATTTCAGCTTTTAAATAAAATAAAACTTGCCAAAAGTACATATATATCAATGAAGAACCAATGCGAAAAAATAAGTACAATATATCAAAGAAAATGATTAATATATTACTCAGGATAAAAATTATAAACACACTGTGAACATTTTTTAGCGTGAACCTTTTTCGAAAGGTCGAAGATTGTTTCAATTTTCTGAATGCAGTGAATATAAGATAATCTTAATTTTATAGTGTTCCTCCGAATGCGGAACTGGCGTGCAAACAAGAAAAGTTTTCTGCGATAGCAGTCCAGGGGAGGAAATCTGCGATGATTCAACTCGACCCGAAACTACAAGGACCTGCTCCAGTAACAAGACCTGTAGCGGACAATGGTTCACAGGACCTTGGTCAGAGGTCCGTTTTCTTATTGTTTTATAGTAGAAACAAGATTGATAGAAGTTGAAAAGAAATCTTTTGCCACAAATATAATAAATAAATTGAACTCGTGCATTTTTTCAGTTTAATAATTCAATAGATACTAACGTGATCGAAATATTCAGTATCAAAATGAATTTCCAGTTTTAATAAGCCGTTGCAAATCTAATGCAAAAATAAATAAAAATATTCATTTAATAATACATCAAGTCAATTTTCTATTCTTCGTGAAAGTAATTTATATTTTCGGTTAATTTTAAATATAAAGTATTTTACTTTCATTTGTTTCAGTGCTCCACCGAATGTGATTCAGGTGAACAAGTCAGAGAAGCAGTCTGCGTCACCACTCTTCGAGGATCTCTTCGACTGGTGCTGGACATGAACTGTCCAGCGAATAAACCGGAAACGAGAAGACCTTGCAATGGTCCACCATGCGCGTCTACGTGGTTCATATCGGATTGGACAGAAGTAATTTCATCAAACACATTCTTGCATTTACACTGAAAATTCAAATATCATGAAAATTACGAAGAATATATTTTTCTTCATTAAATTCATTTTTAAATGTATTTTGAAATGATTTCAGTGCTCTCGATCATGCGGAAAAGGTATTCAAAAGAGAGAAGTAAGGTGCTTGAACAGAGACGGTCAACCTCCTGAACTTCACGAGCTCCACTGCAAGGAAAAGGACAAACCTATATCCAGACGAACCTGCAATGACTATCCTTGCAAAGACGACTTGCACATATCCGAGAACCATCATAGAGTTTTACAAGTTCAGGATGATCCAGAAATCTCAAACGGTATTTTATAAACCATCATTTTTCTCTTCTAATCTTCATTTCATTTATACATATAAACGAACAGACCTTGCAAGTAAATACAGAATTAAAAAGATAGAATTAGAAGCTCGTAAAAAGTGTACGATAAAAGAATTCCTTTTTTTTTAAAGTTTTGTTTAAAAATTTTTTTTTAATTTACAATATCAATTTTGCTTTCAGTTCTGGACGAAAATCCTCATTGCAAGGACACTGTATCGAACTGCAATTTAGTGTCACAAGCTCGACTCTGCAAATACCAGTTCTACCAACAGCTTTGCTGCCTTTCGTGTTCTAGAGCGAAACAAGACCTGGAGTAAATTCTAACCGATCGAGCATGTTTTCAGTGTAAATGTAACGTTTCGGTAATTAGCTACACTCGCGACTGAATTACGGTAAGTGTTATATGTGTAGATGTACTTACCTTCACACTGCCTAATCAAATTTTTGGATGTCGATGTTTGTACAGGGCGTTTCAGAATTATAAATGCAATTTAACTAATTAATTAGACGCATAACATAGTATTATTTCTGTAACAAAATTATATCATTTTTATATTTGATTAGACAAATTTTATTTTAGACATATAACAAAGTTATTTTATATTTAACTACATATGTTCATCTGTGTATTTAAAATTCTGAGTTTAAATAATTCGTAACAGTGTAAATTTATTTTTTAATTTTACACGATATCTCTTATTTATTAATTTTTATCTATAATTCTAAAACACTCTGCAAAATTGTATGTTTTACATTAAGTTTACACATTAACATCCCGATGCGTCCTGTTTTACGAATCTAATCGACCTGCGCTTTCGTAATTAGTAGTAAATTATAACATTTATAACGTTTTGTACTTTTTAGAAAACAAATTATTTATCAAGTCACGATAATAGTAGATATTCTAGAACGTACTAACTGTTTAAGTTATCAAGGACCGAATCGCGTAGAAAAATTGCGTCTTCGGTGTCATTAAATTTCAAGAAATGATTTGAACGAAATCATCGACGAAAAAATGTATACTACAGTTTTATGGATTGTGTAAATCGTAATAAGGCATTATTGGTATTTCATTTGTATTATTTTCCGTTACCTTTACCCGTTATAATAAATGTTACTTTATGCTTTCTACCTTAATTATGCTCCCTTTCAATGAAATAAAATTATCATTAATTTCAATACAAGTCGAGAGTTTTGAATATCACATCAACTTTCAAGGTAAGTATACAATGGAGGAATTAATTCACCATTATGGAAAATAGAATTATTATTAAACAAGCCACATCAACGAAGAAACCAACATAAAACTATTTACAGTCGTTATTGTAAAAATTATTTACTACAAATGCTACGTTCTAACGCAATAAATTATATATACATACTTTGTGTGTTTACTATTTTTACAGTGTTTATTATTTTTGGTAGACTCTGAAATTTTAGCAATAACGTGCGAAATATTGAAAGATTTGTTCAAATCAAATTTGTATCGCATTTTTAGTTTAACAGATCTCTTAAATATCAAAATTAATTGTTTTCATTTCTAATTCTTCACCAATTTTGAAGAAGTAAATTACAAATGGTCATTCGCATAAATATCCCAGGTCTACCTGCTTATTCAAGAAGAAATTATTACACTGCGAAACGAAAATCTATCAAATTACACATTTTGTTTTATTCGCTCAATAAAATAGTTCCTTGTAATCCATTATTTCCCACAAAAAACATAAAACTTCATTAATTCATTTATAAATAAGTCTTCACTGGCACATACAGCAATTCAATGTTACAGCGAATAAGAAACTTTAGATTATTTGAGACTCAATGGATTAGAAGAACGTTAATTGGTAATCGTAGAACCGATTAAAATTTAATAATAAATGCTCGACTATGCAGTAAAGGTGGGCAGTTTATTTACTCGAGGTATTATCGATGTCTGAACCCTCTTCAGCATTGGTTGTACTATTGTCATGGTTTTTATACGCCGAGAAGAACGCGAGAGCTTTCATCAGCTGATAGCTTTTGCTAATTGGAATATTGCTATCGTACAGACTTTTCGAAGATTTACAGTCGACATAGAACCACCAATTGCACTTAAGAATCGTCTGGTCGAACAACGTTGATTCAGGACACAGGAAGCTTTTCATGATCAGCCCATCGTCTGTTAGCGCGCAGACGTGAAATACCTGAGTACAAAAATTTGTTACATCAAAATATTATGATTTAATGTCTAAAGTTTGTTTCATCATATTAACAGTTTCAATAATCGTGTATACTTCATTCGTACTTTTAAGTCATCAATAGTATATTTATATATGAAACCAGAATATATCTCATACTTTTAATTGAAATATTAATTTTGTCATTAATGCTTATAATGTTAAAGTTATTCTATTATTGCATTGATCAAAGAACTGTCAATTACCTGTTAATACAATAATCATTTTTACAATGGACAGATATGACAAATTAAATTTATAATATCATGTTAATGCTGTCTATAACAGCTAACGCTGAATATTATAATCTTTAATTGAAATGAAATTCTATATTATTTTTTGGATTTATAAAAAAAGTATTTTACCATGCATCCAAGGTCTTCATCAGCATACAATCCCGGAAAATGTTTTTGATCACCGCAGTAAAAGCTTGTGTCCGGAAGATCAACGCGACTAGCGAAATTATCATCGAAGTTCTTGTCATAACCCAATGGATAGTACTCACGGGGTGCATTCATCACTTTCGTGGCTCCAGAATTATATTTACTGAAAGGATGAAATATTTAGTAATCTCTATTTAATCAAAAAATCATCGAAGTTCAGGAATATTTCAAGAATTACTTTTAACTACTTTACCTAAGTATTATTATTTAATATTTAATGAAATATATTTAATATAATTAGATTTTTGAAAAATAGATAATTTATCTACGAAATATTACGTCATACCATAAGTAATGGCGTATCTTATCTACTTTGTAAGATATTTTTTAAGACAATTTAAAAATTAATCGAAAAATGGGGAAAGCTTATTCACAACGATGGCCAATACGTTGAAGATTTAAAAAAACGTAAGTATTAAGTTTTCACCCTAGAAGTTAACATAAATAAAACGATATTGTTTATGGGATGATCTAATTACAACAATGAGCACTATATAAAACCAAGACAAATTTATATTACTTTTTGGGAGGAGGCATTGTTGTGGTGGTCGTAGTCGTACTCGTAGGTCCCTGTTGCTTGCGCAGAAGCTGCTGCTGTCGAAGCAAAATGGCCGCCTCTAGAGCTTCAAGTGTAATATTGCTAGCTTCCGCGAGAGCTTTCAACGACGTTTCCATTCCCTGAATAGGGGCTAACGATGGCAAAGACGATGGCAACGATTGTCTTTTATCAGTTTGTTGTTGAGGCGATGATTGGCTGCTTTCTGGAGAAATAGGTTGGAAAGAAAGTAATGTCATTTCGTTTATGGAGGAAGCTACATCGTCTCCAGGTAATGGGAGCTGAAAATTAATAAAAGATATAAAATAATAATAAAGAATATTTTTAGGATCTTTTAAGACAAATTCAAACATTCAAATTTAGATTTTTCAATTGATTGTGGAAAGTGAAAGAATTACCTGATTGAGATCGTCTTTTGATACTTCGTTGTCAGCGTCTTCTAAGATAGTAGGACTATTGCTAATTCGATCGGTCAACTGTGACGACGATTGTGGCATCGAGATGAACGGTGGTAAACCTGCACTTCCAACTATCGGTTTCGATGCAGGCTCGGTTTCTATTATGCTCCCAGCTGGAGGAATTGCAGCGACGATGTTAGGCAGTTTTCCTGGCATTGCGGCTGCAACTGCGAGTATCTGCGGTGTCTATCAATTTGAAGAGAAAAATATAAATTGTTTCATAAGATTTGAGTAATAAAAATTTTAAAGGTTGACCATAACAAAATAGCTTTGAACAATTTGGAAAATATTGTTTATAGAATAATTTTTCAAAGATTGAAATAATAATATGTATATTTCTTTAACTTTGCTTTATTCTTATAAACATTTCTCAAAAAGTAGTAATTTCTCAATATTTACCATTTTCCAAAAGAATAATCACAAATAGTATAAATTGACAGGAGAAAATGTAAGAAATATGATAAAGAAGCAGTATTACCTGATCCCTTTTCACTTGCATTGAAATCGCCTGTTGATGCCTTTTCTGCTGTTGCGCTGCCAATTGTTGTTGCTTCTGCTGTTGTTGGAGCTTCTGCAACTGTTGCTGCCTCATAGCTTCTTGTTGCTGTCTCATAGCTTCCTGTTGCTGTAATCGTTGCTGCTTCAACACCTGCAGCGCGAAAGCTTCCTGCTGTAACCTCTGCTGCTGTTTCTGTTTTGTTTCCTGCTGAAGTAGCTGTTGTTGCTGCCTCAACATATCCTGTTGCGTCACCGACAGAGCAGGCGCTGGGACAGTTCTCAAGACCGTTGCATTCTGCTGGACAACCAACTTCTGTCGTTCCGGTTGCTGAGCAATCGGTCGAGCAACACCAGATGGCAATGGTTTGAAAGGAGGCACTACTTGCCTAGTGTTTTGCGCATGCTGCCTGACTTCGTCCCGATTAGTAGCCTTGAAAATAGAATTAATGAATTTTTTCTATGCTTCTGGTTTAATCATTGAATTCGAAGAAAAGGTTTTTTATTTGAAATGTAATTGCCAAGGGGATCTTGCGATCGGAGTTGATACATTTTCAATTTGTAGAATGAAATGATATTCGTTAGCAGCGGAATATGCTTCTTATGTATCAACGTGAAAGTATTCTTGATTGAAATTCCTTCTAAGATTAAGATTCTGATGAGAATAGAAATCTGTGGGTAATTTAGCGACAATTGATTCTCTGATGAAAATCATTTTTTCTTTCGGAAGTGTATAAATAAAATATACAATTTAGTTGATCGTATCAAACAAAATTAATTATATTAGTTATTTTCATGGTACATTGGATTAATTATAAAAAGAAGTAAAATGCAAATAATATAAAATAGTTCATTAAAATCGAGGGATATTTATTTTTCAGAACACGATAATTACTAATAAAAGAACCTAAAATCCTTTACACATGAAAGTCAACTATCAATATTAAATGGAAGAAAAAAGATAGTTCGCAAGATTGAAATCTCATTATTGGAGCGTCGCAAACAATAGTTTGCACTTCGACCTAATGGAGCCTTGGGATACAGAAGAAATTCCGCTGCCTTGTCCTGATTTGTCCGTCCTTCTATTTTTTTTATTGCACTTTAATAGGTACCTATTATTTGTATCAATGTGTGTTCGCGTGGACATGAACCTTGTACTAGACCGTGCCGTTCCTGCAGAAAGTTGTGCACGGAAAGAGCTGTATCGACATTCATGCGCTAATTACGACAAGGTCGAAGTTGTGCTTCCAGCTTGCTTCGAGATCGCGTTACGGTTAAAGGAAACTGACTTGTTTGACCCAAGAGAAAATATACAACTTATAAGTTGTAAAATGGAAAGTGTGCGTGTCCCTTAAGGTATTACGAAACGTTAAACATGAAAATCACATTATCGAACAAAAATTTCGAAACGTTTGCTCATTTCAAATTTTTTTTAACAATTATTCAAACACCTTGCTTTATGTTTCATAAATTAACACAATTGTTTGTAATTACTTAAATTCCTGCAACGTAACCCTGTTTTTATTACATAAAAAATTATTTTAATGGATTCTAGGAATGGTAAATTGTTTCAAACATAAAATATTTACCGTATTAGTATACGATGGCACATTTCCCCTAGTAGACACGCTTCTTCTTTTAGCAGCTTCTACATTAGACAGCGACTGAGAAAAGCCCAACTCGTCGCCGACAGAAAAGCCTGAAAATAACATTGCACATTGATAAGTAATTGAATTTATTATACATTTTCAAATATTTGACAATATATTATTGGATTAATGACACACTGCATTTGAAATACTTCGACAATCTTTATGTTATCGTACAACACATGCTACGAAATTATAGGACACAAACATAACGATTACAGAACAAAAATCAATAGTAATTATATACAATAATATGATATATAAATATATAGTCATTCTATAAATTGAAATTACATAATTAAAAGAATTAAGTTTTCTACTACTTACGTATATTCACCATTATACAAAATTCAGCATTAATTCGACTGAAAATTATTGATTAAATTTTAATTCAAAGAAGGTTATTAATTATTATCAGAAATAAATTTTTATCCGATTCGTAAAATTGTTTCACTTGCTTATAATAATATTCGCAATATTTTTCTATCTCTACGAAAATTTCACTTTTCTAAAAATCTACTTTCATTACACATAAAGCACGTGTCGTTGCTCGGAAAGGGTTAGAAACCAGCACAAACCTGCTAGAAGAAGAAACCTCGAAGAAAGTTAAGCAATCATCTGTTACGCAAGAGTCGACACCACTTTTTGCGCGTCCATAGACGCGCAAATAACCGTTTTTTTTTTAATGGGAGGATCCTTTTGATCTTTATGGCGGGTTCTTCGCCACTAATGCAAATTACGTTTTCTTTTAAGGTGTCATATTTTACGATAGTACACACCTTCGTAGAAGATCCAGGCCAGGTCAAGGTAGCGAACTTTTCTCCTCAATCAACATCGAATTGACAAAAGCGCGATAGAAGTAGGTTAGGCTAAAATACATGCTTCCATGCGAAAGTCATTAATATCATGCATGACTTATATGACTACATAATTGTGATTTACATGCCACGCTTCTTCATTTCCTGATTTTCTGCATCATTTCTTAGAGTACTGGATAATCATCATTTAAGTGTGTGAAATACGTGGCATGATTACGGATGCATAGTGTTTTTAATATTACTGAATCAACGAAGATCGTATTAACATATTCTAATAAGAATAGTAAATTTCGAAATTACCATCTTCTTTTTTTTCATCACTTTATGAATTCTAATGTTCTTCATTTTTATGCAAATATAAATATTTCAACAGTATTTTATGGAAGTGAAAGCTGAACAGACGTACGTTTTTTTCTGCTAAGAGTTTCGAGAAGATAAACCGAAATAAAAATTGATTTCTGTTTTTATCCAGTTGTGACAAATAACGGTAATACAATTTAGTGAAATGATTTCATTGTTTTCACTTTCATGAAATTAGTAGGTAATACAAAAACCACGTTTCTCAGTTTTATTTCTGAAACGTTCATAATTAATAAACTATTGATTACTTCATAAGGATTCACGATAATATATAATTTTCAAATCGCACGCACGCTTACGTGCTAAGTAGCATAAAAATCGTTTTCATTCTTTCACTCATAATTACACGTTTGTAGAATACTTCCAGTGTATGTATTAACTCGAATCTTATATAAGAATCAGGAGCATGGAATGACACGAAGCATTTATTTTTTTCTGGCTTGATGTGACAGTATATCATTTCGTCGATGGTAAAATGATATACGAAACAGAATGCGTTATTAAAATTAGAAAGTGCATTATTAATTTTCATCTATTATTCCAATGTAAAGTGGAGTTATAAGCAGTTTGCATAATAATAGAAATAAACCAACCAATTTCGTTAAAATTATTCATTAAATAGAATGTTAGAAAAAGCAGTTGAACTTGAAGCGTATCTAAGCAGAAAAATGCAGAACCTCCACCGCAATACATATTTTTTATACGCGATTCCTAGCGATTTCTCGAGAACTATGTTACATAAAAGTTAAACAGTTATTATTAAGAATCCCCATTGGAAAAAATGGTGTCTCATGTAGTCCGATGTACTTTATAATTTCATAAGGTTCCATTAAAGTCAGAACGGTCGTGTATTTATAAATATTTACAATATAGACAACTACTAATATACAAAACATACAAAATAATAAATTACAGGGACTCGATTCGTGTCTTCATTGTTTTAATCAAATTCCAAGATCCTCTATCATATATTTTATTGAAAATTTCATGTTCTTTTGTGAAAGCACGTAACAAGGATAATACGGTGCAACGTCTCCGGGTTTATGTTATCATTCCATCGGCACCTGTGCTTGTTTCGACTCACCCAGGCCGACGTAGCCTTTGACACCTCCAAGATTTCGTACTCGAAAGAGGCCGGACTTTTTGAAGGCGCAGTTAAGCACAAAACCAAAGTCCGATTGAAACACGCATGTCCCTAGCGTCTCCCGCCACGTGCAGCCTGCAACCAAACGGGAAGAAAAGAACACCATGGATCCCTGTTCCGATCCAACTTCGTCGTGTTGTTTAGAAGTGAACTCGATGAAGCGTTTGAACGTGTCATCTCGATTTCAGAATCAAAGGGGATGAAATCTTAACAGCATATAGATCCATGAATCTTTCTCTGAAGTGCTGTGTCTTTTAATCATTATCATTTGTAACATAATAAATTATACAGTGAGGAATGCAAGTGATTGTACAGCAAAATTTTTATTCAGAAACATCTATGTTTTGCAGATTATTTAATTATATTCGAATATGTACTTTTTAATTTAATATAACAGATGGAAAATAAAGTGATATGAGCATTTATTTTCTCATTGGATTACTAACGGAGTATACGATTTAACAAAAATAATATTTATGTAATTTTTAGCTTATAAAACCTGGAATTACTGCAATATATTTTTTTTAATTAGCGTGAATATTGGTTTTTTTTTAATAACCGTACAATAATTATTGAATACAATTCCAAGCAGAAAATATAGAAGATTTGTGGACCTGTATCTAGCAAGATTTTTTTCTTAATTCTGGGGGTACAGAATATGCTTGCACATTTTTTTATTCGTATATTCGAAATGTCCTGTATATTCCATCGTAATTTCTGGAATACATTTACAGAAAAATTCTTCTCTTATGAAAGTTTTACTCGAAAAATAAGGCTTGTACCTTACAAAGTATAAATGAAACGTGATTTGAATCATTCATTCAATTTCGTGCGAAGTATCATAGTAAGAATCATAGTGTATACTTAAGAATGATAAAATACTGTTGGAGAAAGTCTACGTTTTGGAAACCGGATATTTAGCATAAAAATGTGTACTTCATTCTACGGGTACGTTATTACGATGGAAAGTTGCGGATTCTTGTCACTTTGAGTTAGATCAATTAGCAGGTGTTTAATCGTTTCCGATGCTGACTCAAGTTATTGACACGAGAAATTTGGAAGTGAATGGAACACCGTTTTTAACGTGATCTATATTCACATGGGCCTCAATCCGTTATGTTTAATCTGTGCTATTGATCCTTTATAGTTGATGAACATGTTGGAATTAAGGAATCAGGGACGAATGTTCGATGAAATATGATGATACTGACAACACACAAACTCGAAAATTTATGAAATATTGTTCGATGGAATTATGATTTTGTTGGAACTCTTTTATTCGAAGTTACTTATCAGAATGTTTCATTAAAATATAAAATAATTAGAAATCGTGAAATTAAAATTCCTTTGCTGCCAACTTTAAACTGTATTTTTTATAAGATCTCTAGTATCCTTTCCTTCAAGAACAGTTTGTATAAGAATCTCGTGTGTTGTGTAGATGGGAAATTGTAGTCATTTTCAATGAACGTTTATGGTTCGTATGCATTGTAATAGCTTAATATGTTCATGAAAACGTTTCCTTTTCGTGAAAGCAATCTTCCAGTGAAATCAGCCATCAGGCGTTATATATTCTATTGTCAACCATAATCAAGGAACGATGAAGACAGGTTTCTAACACTCTTTCAAAATTGTCCCTAGGTGTCAAGAATAATGACATTTTCTTGTAGGAAACGTCAATCAATCGTATATTTGCGGTTCTTTGGAAGAAACATGTTATAACGACAAAGAGAGTGTAAACGAACACTATGAGCAATGTAATGCGTATATTCTGAAATTGAAATTGCTAAAGAATTGAAGGTTCCCCTTTTCCAAATGTTATTATCATACTGCACTCCTTATAGAATTCTTAATGAAATGCAACAATACATACATGGATACAGTTACTTTTACTTCTACAATAATTCGACGAATCACCGAAATTCCCTTGATACTAATACACAATATAGTTCAATATTCCCTGTATTCGTGAGCAACTTTAGTCGTTAATTAATAATATGTTTACACAATTTTTCAATTAACAATTCCTCTGTTAATTTTAATTGTTAATCTTCTTTGTTAGCTCATACTTTCGAAGTTTTATTTAGAATGAACAGGTAAATGAGATTTGATAGAGACTAATCTAATACAAAATTAATCACGTCATGTGGAAATTGAACTCAATCGGAATTTCCGTGGAATACCTATATGTAAAATTTCTAGGGAATGTCCTAAAGTTTGTGAAAGGTACGCCCGGAATTCTCGTTCGAAAACAGATTTGCCGGATCTCAGACGTGCCGTTGGGCCACAGCCTACTGACCCACTTGGACAGTCGACTCATCTTTTGACCGTGTTCCACGACCAAGGTAAGTAGTTCCTCATACACTAAAATCAGTTCCGCATCCCGAAAATAATTTCCCTCTTCTACTGGAAAAGAGGAAAAGTCAAGACGTCACTGGACAAGTTTACGAGCGGCGGAAACAAAGCCACTCGTTTATGTCGTTTCATTTCGTTTCAATTTTCTCAGCAATTTTCCTTCACGCTCTGAATAGTAGGCCGGTTAGTATTATCGTATTGCTAGGTACAGGTCTTCGTTAAATTACACAACAAAATTGTGAGATGAAATGATGAAACAAAGTAGCGAAAATTAATTGTATAAGAGGCAATAATGGCGTCATTGGGAGTAATCCCGACACACGTTACACTACCGTCAGAAGATTACAGTAATATAAATTGCGGTTTTATGTAATGAACGAAGTTTTACTTCTTTTCCACGTGACCTAACCAAGACTTACATAAACATACATTTATATCAATTAAATTTTAAAAGAAGAAATTAAATTGATTGTTAATCACATGTTTCAAAAACTTTATATACTACTACTAAATTGCGAATAATTATATAGACGCCATTTTTTATCTAATATTGTATAAAACCTAGAATTCAGAAAGAATTGTTTCTTCTGATACGAGTTTTGTTAATTGAAGAATAAAATAAACACTTGCTAATATTTGCTATTATGGATTAATAAGAAAATTGTTCAATTCAATTTAGATATCCTTTGCGTTGCAATTTTTAATCTTTACAATAATTGTCAACTTATTCGATATTCCAATACCGTGACAAATGTGTCAACGTTTGAAGCAGATCGTACTCTTATGTAACATTTCATAATAACCAGGAGACGAGTGGTCCAATAGTTATAAAATCGTCTGGGCAGAATTACGAAATCTATCTGAAAATCTGTATATCACTGTCTGGTGATTAAAGTGTGCAAAATCGAAGAAATGAACTGCGAAGAGTGCTAACAATCTGATGACATGACAGACGTCGTCGTCTGTAGAAATTTTATAGCTGTCGTTTGAACATGGTGAAATTTTCGAACGAGAAAGCTTAACATGGACGAGTACAATGAGAAGCCATTGGTTGACCGAGTTATGAAGGAAGAGAATTTCAAGCAGACACTTGAGAGTTTATGGAGCATTTTCTTACACGATGTATAACTTCGTTTTGAAGTTCATTAGAGTTTTATTGCTTATGTTATCTGATTTTTATTAATATACAATAAAAGTGAACAGAAAATCAAATTGATACAGTCATACACGGAATTTTTAATTGAAACACTTCGGGTTCGAAGATGTGGATATGCAATGACATCAAACATTTTTGTATTGTGTGGTTATCAATTTATTTAGGATGAATTATTAAGGATAAATTAGTATCGTCAACTGTGAGTAACTTCTCTTTTACTGTTAACAGATGTATAAAAAGTTCGATATTTTAAAGTATACAAAATTTTGATAATATATCAGGTTTCATCATAATGCATTGCTACTAAAGAGAAATCGATTAAAAATCCATTACTGCCTTACACCGTTATTAATTTCTGGTATTTATGTTCTACAGGATATGCTTTACAAGCGGGAGGTATAATTTTGTTATGGTACCACTCATGTTTTATTCTTGTCATTAGAATCACTTTGTGCCGACTTTTTCGAAACTTCATCTATAATAACAGTTTGCGTGTATGTCGATCAGAGAGTTCACATGCGGGGCAAGTGAAACGACTACAAATGATGATTAGATAAAGAGAAATTTCCTGAGAAAACTATTAGATGTCTAAAATAATTTAAAAAACTAAGAAAGGCGAGTAACAAAAATGTTTCTCGTAACGAATAAAAATTCTGTTCCCATTTGTTAACAACCTGAATTTGATACTAGACATATTTATATAAAATCCGTATTTACTGTTTTTTACTATAACTTAAAAGAAGTTTTTTACTATAACTTATTTACTATACCTTATTATCAATTTTACTAAAATCAGATAATATTTTTTAACACTTGATAACATCTTTAACATGTCCTATGAAGCTTTAAAACAGATTCGTCTAAATAAATCTGCATTTACGTAATCATCCATAATCAACTACTACCCGTGTTGTTTCGTGTAAGTAATTATGCGCTATTGAATTGTAATTAGCATTCTTTTGACGCAATAACAAGGAAAAGAAATTTCTTTCCTTTTACAGTACCCTTTCGCCTCGGGAAATGAATCTTCATTTAGACAACATGACTAACCAGAGATTCAAATCTAAACTACGATCGAGGACGATGACATTTGCGGTGCGAATCTCAAGGATACTTTCACTGTTCATCTTGGAATTGACCTAGCGTAAGCGAGTCATGATATAATTAAAGAAGTAATACGAATCTTATGAATGGAGATAAAAATTCACTTTTCTTTATTTAGAGATTCCCATGATTAACGTTATAGGAAGTAATGATGCCTATATGCGAGGAAACCTGCGCAACTCTTTCCCACGAATGGCCTTTACCTTTACCTTGAAACCGACACACCTTCAGAGTCGCTCTGTGTTGTTCGTAAGTAAATGACATGTAACCAGTGGCCATTTTTAATTTCTTATTATCATCAAATAACTATTAGATTCTTCCTTCAAATCAAATTATAATCATAGACATCTAATTGCAGATTAAGTAACTTTTTGTAATTTAAATAATTCTTATATATCTAACAATTCTAATATAAAAAATATAAATATAAAAAAATCTAATACAAAAAATAATTCTTTTATTTTATTTATACCATTTATTGGTTCGATTCATATTATTAAATAAGAATGCCTTTCTGAGCATTCAAGTGAATCGTTGTGTAATAAATAAACTCAGTTTAGTAATTGAAACATCGAAAGGTTACTTCGAATTTAAATTAGGTATATTGATATCTGATTGAAAAAATATTTAACTACTGCTTTACCCACTCGAGACATTCTACTTGGTTGTGTAAGATATCGGGCCTGTGATTTTCTGAATTTTAAAATGGCATCGAAATATAATTAACCAATCAATTGTTGAAGATCAGATATCGTGGGACCTCTAAAGGAACGCCACGACTGGACAGAAGTGGGTAGAAAGTAACCATTCAGAAATAAAGCGTTCACATAGACCCGTTGCTGACCCGGTTCCCCAAATAACCTTAGCGTCGAAATCCTAGTGAAATCATTATGGTAATTTACGAGTCATCAATTAAAGAATCTTTTCATTTAACTTTTATAGCAGTATTCTCTTAATGTCATACATTTTTTAATTGATCCGATACTATTAAGGGTACAAGGTAACATTTCATGTTAATTGATTTCTATCAAATTGTATAAAAATAAAAACTTGCGATGAAAAAATGAGAATGAAAATTCAAAAAACATTTGATTTACGCGAAATAGTTTCTTACATTAATAACGGCAATATTTTTTCAACTATTTAATAAACTTGCTAATGAGTAATCCGCTGCTTTCTTAGTAATATGATAATATAGTTTAAGTTTACGACATCATTTCGTCCTTGAGCTCAATAAAAATGGCGTAGGATGATAAAGAAATATTGCCAGTTACTTATAAAAATAAAAGTATTCAAGTATTTCCAATTTCCTTGGACATAAATATCGAATTAACACAAAAGTTGCGAATTCTTTTTTAATTATCTGTTTTCTAATCGGAGAAAATCATTAATTAATGTTTTTCAGAGACTTATCGACGTGTTTTTTCCGGTACATATCTAATCTATAATTTATTCGCTCATTTTTTTAGGACATACGCAAAGAACCCTCTATTGGCGCGTGACAGTGTCCATTTACGATATATAATTTCTGCGACAAATCAGGTAATTAATAAGTGAAAGTTATTGTTTCGTTAAATACAGGGAAAGTTTCTCCTAGATCACCGGCGCATTACGATCGAATTGACAGGATAATAGTGAATATGTTACATCCTGCAAGTCACCGTGTCGCGAGACACCTCGTTCCTTTGGCCTATATTCGATCACACACGTGTATTACACGAGTGTTGCCTCAAACCTCGAAAATATGTAATTACCATCGATTTCGAACTCCTTTCTCGATCGTACCCGCAATCGTGGAATCAACAGCAATTGCTTACTTTCGTCGGCGATCTGTTCTATTTCCTTTTGTTTTCTCGGTTCCAGTATTTTCAACGACAAATGCCGACATTTTTGCACTTTCTAGTCTTCGCCGATGCGTACGATTGATTTTACTGTTACTCTTCAGCGCGTGATGAGTCCAGTTCTTGTAAGGATAGAAAGGATACTTCATTGCATCCTTGTATTATGGACTGCACCATCAGGGACAGTGTTTTATGAAACACACTTATTAAGAAGGAAACGTGAACGTCGGAGATGAGTTCCGATGCAGAAGAAAAAAGTGAAATTTCTATTCAAACATCTTGTGACCTCTCCAATACCACGTGGTCAACACTTACGGCTGCATTAAAATTAATCTTATAGGCGGCACTTGTTTCAAATCGACCGACTCGATTGGAAATTCAATTTCTATAATTTGCATATCTACAGAAGCGAGATAAGTTCATAATATTACACGCAATTAGAAATGTTGTAATATCTATTACTCAGTCACTTATTTACATATTTATTTACACTTTGAACAAATAAAATGAAGTATCAAATACATCGATAAATGTTTATAATGTAAGATGAAATTTTAATATATTCCACATTTTATTATATCACCAACATTAGATGCAGTGTGTAATAATTAGACTGCGGATCTTTATGCAAATTCAAATTTTCAAGAATGTAATTAGAAAAGCAGAATTAAAATGGAAAATGATTTTTCCTAACACATCTCATGAAAAACACTAAACTTTAAATATTTTATATATTCTTTTGCGTTATATACATTCTGTGCAATTTTACACTTCCAAATTTCCCATAAATGCATAAAAATCCGTAGTCTAGTAATCATTTATGGTATTAATTGACAATTATCCACAACATAATTTAGTTTTTTTCTTTCTTCTTTTATTATTTTATGCTACAATTATTTTTTAGTTCTTGTAAGATTTATTAAAATAATCTTTTATATTTTTCTTTAACAATTTTTATACGGAAACAATATCAACACGAAGACTAAAATGTTTTATACAATATTCATGTTTTATTCGTTTATATAATTTATATAATTGTCTACGTTATAAGAAACAATTCCAACTATAATATTACGATTACCGTGCAACAGGTCACGGATACGTCGTCGCGAAGAAAACCGTAAAATGATTGAAGATTACTTTTACTGTTCCACGAGGACGCATGGAACTACATAAGAGATCAAAACGTAACCTCATTTTACAATATTTCGTATGCAAGATCGTATTTACAAAGAGATCTGCGTTCAAGTGAGAAAGTTGCAGCGGCCACTCTGTAGAAGGACTACGCTATTAGTATCGCAAGAAAAAGAGGCAAGAATTATTGGAAGATCACGTATGTTATGTCCGATAGTAATAAGATCGAGTGATAGGGTAGTTTGAGTGGTGAGATCAAGTAGACAGTGCAGTCAGTCGAGATAAATAAGGGCTCAATAGCACAGAGTATAAATAATATGCTTTAATACAAGGCGTAAATTATGGAAAAGACCCGAAACATAACCCAAGAAATATAAATACTTCGGAAACCAGTTCCCAATAATAGAGTACTAAAAAGAAAATAACAAAAAGTGAATCAACAATTCCCTTTTCGGCAAAGAAAGTATTAGGAACTGGTAACTGAATGTTTAAATAAATATAATAATAGTAAAGTCCGTGGAAAGAACTCTATCAGAAATTTGTTTCACTTATAAATTGATTGTCAAGTTTATTTTCTTCATTGCAAATTTTAATAAATATCAAATAAAATGAAGATTTAATGTAAACTAAAATTAGGATTAAAATTTTTTGATGCAGTAAGTTTTACATGGCAATATTAACAATGAATTTGTTAAATCTACAATATATTCACGATTCAGAAGAAAATAAACTAATTAGATTTGTAATAATAAGGCAATCGTTTGTGCGAAATGAAAAAATCCTTTGGTGGAAAAATGTTAAGAGATTTTTAGATTAACACTTCGATATTCCTGTGACAACAAACGGAAAAGATATTTGGTATGTAATTGCAGATGCATTAATGGTTACACATGAATATCAAGATGTTAACAATGCATTTGGTAACACAGCTTCTAGCTTGTATATCCGAGGAATTATAAAAGGAAGCAGCAAGTCAAAAACTCAATCAATTACACGGATAATGATCTCTTGAAACAATGACGTGCTCATACGTTCACGGTTGCACGCAAAATCATTACGAAACGAGCAGACTGTAATGTATCTCCAAAAAGACAATCCTTTAGGAGAATGTAAAACAGGGTTGATTTACAGAAAATAATTTATTTAACTAAATAATATTTTAAACGCAAAGAAAATCGATTAAATTCGTTTGGATCTTTTCTCGCATGTGCTCACATTTCCAAACACAATTACTTTTATTTTTTCAAATAATGCCAATATACTTCAAGCTTCATTAATTAGTGCATAAATTTATAGTACACAATAAAATAAAAAATGAAAGTATAATTTATCAAACATTCTAAATACAATACTTTAAATTCAATATTTGCAATTTAACAATCATTACAAATAATTTAACTATCATATCACAATGTAATTTAGCAATGAATAAAAACATACATTTACATGAAAACGTTCTTGATTTATTTATCAATAATAGAATTACTGTATCATAAATGATCTACCCAATATAGAAAACATCTGTTTTAAAATAAATATTATAAACATTGCTCAAAGAATTTTAATGTACATTTGAACGAAGTTCAATAAGAAAAACAATCAATATAGCATACAGGACGCATTCAATTTCAGAGAAATTTTGAAGAAAGAACCAACAGTTCTATGAATGAAAATTTACTTTCGTATAATTAATAATTACAGATAAGGATACTTAAGCTAGAAGCTGCGTTTTCACGAAGAAAGAATAGATCGTACATACCGACAACTACGAAAAGGAACAAGGTCGTGGCGATCTTCATACTGGTCGATCCAGTTTTGATTGTCGCAAAAGAGCTTAGAAAGTTGATGATCCTGGATGTTTCCTTTTCGTCGGAAATCGATTCGCGCTCGGAACAACTCGAAAACAACTCGGAGAGTGTGTCTTGTTGCACGATGATCAAAAACGTCACCTGCTAGAGAGGTGTCCAAACGAACCGCTGGTGAACGTGATACTCGACGATTCAGAGATAAAGAGGTGCGACGGGTTACCCGTTCCCGTGAACACTAATACTGCATGAATATGTTCTTCGAAGGCGAGCACGCGGGGCACTTTCAGACCCCATCTGGTTTCCAGGGACGGCTGAAACTTGGCTCCACTTTCATGACCCCCACTATTCACTCGGGCAAGTATTGCAAACGTTTTATTAGTTCATATTATATATATGCGATTGTTAATTGCAAACATTACAGTAAACATGCAAGTCTAATAGAGTTATTTACATTTTTTTTTCAGCCAACGTTAGATATTTCTAAGTATACAGAAACGTTCGTACTTCACTCAAGTCCAACACTAAAAATATTGTCAATGAATTGATGAAAAGTAAAATACAGTTTATTATGAAAAAAGTTTTTAAACTTGTGGGTCGTTGGATGATAAAATTCTTTTTGGCGTGTATATGCATATTTGGTCAATTTTATTGAATGAATCACTCTTTTAGTTCCTCTAAAATACAAATTTATTTATTGATACTCCGGTATGAAATGGTTTAAATAATTTGATGTTCTATCGGTTTTATGAGATTACTAATTTTTTAAATGAATACGCGTTGAAAGGATCACGAATAAAAAGGATTTTCTATGTTTCTTTGTAAAAGAACGTGAGACGGTCCTGTTCAGCCCCTCCAAGCTCCACGAAGAACGGTCTGTTCATAGCACAGGTTCGATACGTGTACATCGAAGCGGCTATGAGTAAAATCCTATGTCGAAGTGTCGGTGACCCACTCGGACCAAACGATAACGGGATCGTCGTGCGTTCATTCAGAGTCCAGCGAATTGATCGGACTGTAAGGAAGATCGACTAGTTTTTTTCAAGTAGGTCTGTAAATGGTTCAATAAATAACGTAATTTTGAGGAACAACTCCCTTCCTCCAAAACTTAATATCTTAAAAGTATTTATAAAACTGTGGTAAATAAGGATAATTATTTTTAGGCACATGCAAAAGAAAATGCTAATTTTAAAAGTGTACTGCATCTTTACTTCTCTATATAATTATACAATACACGATAACATTTTGTCCATGTTTTTTACTTTAATTGGGATTATATTTCCTTCAGTTTTAGTTAAAACGGTGTTTATAAAAATTAGAAGGTGCAAAACTAAATACTGTTTCATGAAAAATTTACTAAATAAAATAAGTAAGTGTGGAAATAAAAGATTGAAATAAATTTTTTCTAGTATTTTCGATAAACATAATTCTATTATATGCCGCTAATACAATCTAATATAATAATACAATACAATCAATAATTAAATAATAATTAATAATTCGCTAATATAATCTTAGTAATGAAATGAAGGAATTATTGTAAAATAGAATTGTTTTATGGATAATTTGTTTAATTAAAAAATTACTTAATATTTATATATTTATTTAAATTTCTTATATATCGTAAGTGTATAATTGTAGTCAGCCAAAGCGTTTATAGTTGTTGCCATCAGTATGAGTTCTAAGCAAGAATTGAGTGACGTAATAGTGCATTCCGCTGCACCGATTTTAAAGTGAAATCGTGCCTTTTACTTTGCAAAGTGTATTAAATGTAATAGTGTTATTTTTAATTTACCCGAATTGTGAGTGTCATTGTATTAATGTTTTGCATCGATATAAATATAAGATACAATCACTTTCATTTAAATGGATGGGTAGTCTGATTCTAGAAGATGCTATTATGCACTTGACCATGCCAACATTGGGTGTAGGTCAAGGCTTACCGAATGTCTGTATTTCCTCGTGAATACCTATACACAATTGTCAATTCTCCTAATTTCCTTAAATGGTATTGTGCTTACTATAACTATAACTTTTAATTTGAATCTCTAATTTCATATTTATCTATTTCAGATAACTTATGCTGTTTTTCAATTTTCATGGATTAATGGACTGAAAGTGACATGAGATTCGAAACATCGATGTTTGGTAGGACATTACGTCATTTCTTCTGAGCTGATTTATATTGTAATTTTATTTAAAACCCTGCAGAATAATCAGATTTATATATAAATTTTGTACTTCCATAAAATAAATTTTCCTTTCGATTTTTTCGAAATGTTAATATTGTTTTGAATGTAGGGAGAATTAAAAATAAGTTTCACCACGACTACTGTGTAAAATATTTACAAATAAAATAAATGTGATACGTTTATATTTATTAATGTTTCAGTAGTAAGTACCCATTATTCGTAGTTGGCATCGTTTATTGAAGAAAATATTTATATATGATTATCTATATTTTATTTTGATCTAAATTTATTGTACAAATTTTTTGAATTGATTTTTTTTATAGTATTTATAACTTATCCAACATTTACAACCTTTTTTCAAAATGATCCTTATGGCATCTCTTATTTATTTGTCACCAAAAATTTGATGCGATGTTATATTTATTCTTTCACATTTTTATTTCCATAAACTAGAGTCCTTTAAAGGATATTACGTAGTATCATCAATGATTCTGCAAACTTCACACAACCAAAGTAAAATCTAGTACCCTAAATTAATGTAAAAAATAATATTAATCAATACCAAAATGATTTTGTAATTAAATGCTTTATATACCTTCAATAACAGAAGGAACAGATCTTCGCAGCATCGTATGAAGTCAGCCGTTGTATGTTCTTTTCTTTTTATACATCATTCTGGAAATAATTATAATAATTTATTATATTTTATTATAAGAAATTTAATTGTAACTTCTTTTAATCTTCTTACTTGTCAATTTTTGTATATGAAAGTTATTCAAACATATCCAATAATAACACAAAGTGACCGGTGTTTGATTACGTCTGCCTTATATTGCCATACTTTTTGTATTTTTTTCATAATTTTGTCATTATTATTAACATTATAATTTTTCTTAAAAAGAAAAATTTATTTTATACACTCCCTGAGAGCTGCACCATATATTTTTTTATCCTTTCTCCATTCCATTAGTCATTTCAATCTGAAATAGAAACATTAATAAATACAATTTTTTTAATAATTTTAAAATTCGTACAATGAGAAAATTTTAAACTTATTTGAAAATATCAGAAATACTTCATTTAGTATTATTGCATACATAGCTTATAATTTAAGTTAGATATTAGAGGTTAGGTTTACTTAAATCTAGGTTAGATGTTGTAAACGAAAAATTAAACGTTTTGATTTTTCTTACCTTTCTTTTCAATTTTATTTCAGTTACCACAATTTTCATGTTACTGCATACATTTTTTTCCAGTATTAAACTTGTTATTAACAACAATCATTATCAACCACCATTACAAGATCCGCCATTGTAAGTAAACATGAAGGAATTCAATCTTATCATAAACGTTATAATATATATGTGTATATACGCACACATGCACATACATATGTGTACGAATTTTAAATTATTTAAATACTATTGTTACAAAGAAATGTTCTATTTTTATATCCTATAATTATATGTTGGTAAAAATGTTTAATTTAAACGATAAATTTACCAAAATGATCGAAAATTTTATTTTTCTGATAGAGAGAATTAGTAACAAAATCGTTCCTTTATATAGGATATGACAGGATAAATTTATTGAAAAAATAAAACCAATATTTATTTAACACTTCGTTGATGTTCTTTATGTTAAGAGTGTGAAATAATTTATCTGCACTCAGAAATTCAGAGGTCGCTGCAGTAAAACCCTTTTCACAGTGAATTTCAAACAGTTTCTATTTTTCGGAATTAAAACTTTATTGTTTTACTTCCACAACTAAGTTATGATACAATTTAAAATTTAGAATTTTCTAATGTCAGTGAAATTACCACGAAATATTACAGCAATTAATCTTAATAGTAATGATGCATATGAATTATCATAGACTATAATGAGAAACGAAGGTTATTTATTATTGAATTTAACACTAATAACAAAATTAAGTCAAACCTCAGGGACTTTAATAAATATTAATATTAATAACATTGTCCGGTATGTGTTTATCAATAATTAAACATCTAATACAAAGCTCTGATATAGCTATATCGAATTCATAGCACGCGTCGCAGATACTATAATCGTTATGCGAAAATGGCGGCCATCGGGCTCGCTTGATTTAAATGAATTTCCACATTAATTTCCGTATTACCCATTGTATGTTTATAGGTTGCCATTTATAGACGAACCATCGTTATAAGTGCCGCATTCGTATGTCTGCGTGTTTCGCATTCGCAAAAGATGATCTCGGACGATCGATGCACTTTAAAAATAGCAGCTAACGATTCGAGGGATGCAATTTGGGGTCCCCATTAATTCCGTTGCCGGTACAATAGTCCAAATTATGGGAAATGTTCATCGTGGCGCAGCAGGGTTTCTACAAGCGCAATAATTCTATCAATTGAACTGACGAGTTCTGGTGAACCACTAAAAAAATATTGATATGCTTCAACCGTAAATTACAAATTGCTCTACAAATTGTTTCTGGCTTCCTTTTTGGGCATATTTGCGTCACTATATCAAACGCATAATAATATTTTACTTGTTCGAATTTGATTCAACACATTGGAATTTCATATTGTCTTTGGCTTGCGCGCACGTGTGATTTTTCGAGCTGTTATTTGTATTAGCAGGCGCCAAATTATATTCTTGGGACAAATGAAACTAGATGTCGTTCGAAACAATTTTAAGGATCAGTCCGTCATATTAATCGTATAAATAACGCACATATTTACTATTATATAATGGTTGTAAAAAGGGTAAATAAAATATTAGGAAATAGATACACTTGGAAACAAAAGCATTAATTTAATTATTAATAAATAAAAAATTATCAGTTTCAAAGCCGAGAGCTCATTTATTGAACAACTCTTTGTTAAATACGAATCATACTCATATCAGTGAAATGAAACGTGCATCGTATCAATGTGGTTAGCCACGGATTTCTGAAATCAGAGATATTTAAAATCGTGGATAGTGAGTCAACGGATGTAAATGACTGTTCTCTTTAAAAGATATATATTACATTATTATAAAATTTATCAGTTGACTTTATTTTATGTTTTTTATAGACCCTAGGTCCAACTAGATACATTCAGTAATATTTTCAAGATTGATTATACTGGAGTCTAAAATAATGGTTAATTGATTATTCTAGAATGTAGACCATTATACTTTTTGAAACAGTGGCTTGAACATTTAAACATAAAAGTTCCTTTAACATATCATTGGTATATTTATTAAATTTATTAATATTTTTACAATTTTCGAGTTCAAAAGACCGTTCAATCGTTTGTTAAAGGTAATTTCTATCATTTCGAATCTGACTTTAAATCCATTTCAAACAGTTCCCTCAGCTTAACGATTTAACGTGCTCAATTTAATTGCTGTAATTGCTTTGCATAACACTCGAGCCAGTTTCCAAGAGGCCGCGATTGCAATTCATGACTGCTGGCGGTCTCCGTTGATACGGCGAGAAAGAAACTCCTCGTTAATGATTATAACACTACCTCCTCTGTTCATCGTTTCATTAATACCGTCTTGATACTGGGAGCCCAGAGCATCCCTCATTAAGATGTGAAAAATTGATCGCAGAATACTTTTCCCAGAAATTAATTATAATTCTTCTTTGACGGTGTAAAAGGAAAATTTGTTTAATTTTAAATGTTTCTCGTGACATTGAGAGATAATCACGTTCATGGATTTCGAATGAGTTATATGTTAAGATAGATATATTTGGTACACGTGGTATATAGTAATACTTGTCTCAGTATAGTGTGCGGCACCCGCTTAGTAAATTGGATAAAAAAGACATCAATTATTGGTCGTCTCGCAGGCACATAATAGTTCATTCACCTCGAGACAATTCAATGAAACACGTGGTGACCTCCATGCAACGACTGAAAGTGCATATGACCTGCTTTCTATTAAAATTTTTTCTTCGTCCTTAACGCTATCTGTTTGTTTTAAAGTGCAATAACATGTACCTATAACAGTGTGTAAAAATCATACAAATTTAAAATGATTGGGACGAAAGAAAACATAAAATTTTCTTTAATTCTAATTTGTACAGAATTGAATCTACATAAATTGGTATAAACATTTGCTGTTCTGTAACAGAATCAATTCAGTTTATGCTTTAACAAGTTTATTGACATATTATCGTGTCAAGTTCAGCATTAGTTGACATTAATTGTGCTTATTTTTTTAAGGTAATGCAATTGGAAGTGGTACATTGATTAAAATATAAAAAATAAAGTGATACTATGAAAGAAAAAATAATTAAGCAGATAAACATTTCGAAAGTAAACATTGATAGTTATCGGTCGTACTTGTCACCACTTTCGCTGGACTGATTCCAAGGCTTGGCCAATCTGTGGAAGATCGCCGCCATTTGTAGGCAACATCTCTGCCCAGTGTATCCTGCATCCTTGAGGAGGATCGTGTTTACTCAGCACACGCAGCGAACCTTTATCGTGCCGTGCCTGAAATTATTTATCAATGTGAATGGCGAATGTACCGCGTTGTATACGAAAAGTATCTGTATGATGCATTATTTATCACTATCGGCATACCGACGAAATACTGGCGTGTTTAACGTCAAGCTTTCGCTCCCGCGGTTAACAATTATTTTTTATATTCTGACCTTATTAGTCAACTTTGAAATTTATGTTAATTAATTATCAACTTTGTGCTTAAATAGTATGTAAATTTTTTGTGACGTTAATAATAAATAAACCAACGTGTCATACTAATATAATATTTTTATTTAATATTAATAATAACAACATCTTCAATCGAAATATTAAAATATAATCGAGAAACAAATTTTTACCTTATTCTCTCCATGCAGTGAATTATTTATGTTTCATAAGTACAATTTATAAGTCCAATATGATAACAATAGAAGGAAACAGCATTTTATTGAATAAATCAAAGAATAGGCTGTAGCTTTCAATATTAATATAAAAATTAAGTACAATTATTAAATCGAGAAAATATCTTAACAAATTTACTCTTGTATATTTTCCAAAAAGTTAAGGACTAATTACTCTTTCACTATCTGTTGCGTTGAGCATTAAATTAAGTCTCCAAACTTTCGTCAGCAAGCTACGAAAAAATTCTTCCGCGGGGGTGTCACGGAAATATGGCGCCAAGGTGGCGTCAACTTCAAAATCGGGCGCAAGCGCATTGACGGGGGTCCCGTCGATTGTAAACAAAACCGGAGGCGACCGCGTGGTTTGGATCAGTGAGCCGACGACTCTCGTGGTCGAAGGAGTCAGTGGAATTGTATTTCTACTTCCTTTCGCATCCTCAAGCTCGATCGGACGTTTCGCAGGTTCGCATCGTTAATTCTCCGGCGATATTTCCCGACGAGAAGAACGGGTCGAGTGATCGACAGGAACGGCGATTCCGATCGGGGGACAGTGATCGAGGTCCGAAGAAAAGAAAGTATTTCGTTGACAGTCGATTCATTTCGTCCACCTAGATACTGGATCCACAAACTAACATCAAGCACCATCGAACAAAAATTTTCTCCTGAATCAGAAAAGAAAAGAAAGCATAAATAACAAGAATCTTAGAGAAGATACCATCAGAAAACCTACAAAGTGCAATTGACGCGTTTAATAGGATAAACTAGCCAATACCTTCAACTTTGTTACTCAACTGGAAAAATTCGGCAAGAAGAAGACAGGTTTCCCGTTACCGGTCTTGCAGGCCGTTCTTTCGGTTTTGTATTTCGATCGATAAAGACAAGTGGATTCGTTGCGCTGGCTGCGTCCCGGCGTACATGCAAGCTGCCTCGAATAAGGGCCTCAGGACTGCAGGTAGTCTTACAAAAGGGTCCACTCCCAGCGTTGTCACGTTTCTTGGGAAAGTCGACGCAACTGGCGAGGTCTGCCAACAGCAACAGCGCTGAAGCCGAGGAAAGCGATAATAAAGTACCAAAGGTACATGATAACTGGCGACGATACACGCTCTAAATCTTCGAGCGTTGCTTCGGGAAACTGTACGGGGAAATAATAATGATCTCCAACAGGAAAATCGGTAGCCAGCTCTTTTCAACGGTGTTTACGTAGCAGAGACAATAGATAGCGGGGATTCGGAGATAATTTAGAATTGCTTAAGATCAACGATATCGAGGCGAAGGTGAACGGACTTTATAAATATTGGGGTCTCTGAATCATTGCATCGCCGATTAAGCTTGCTTGGGCGTCTGTGAATCTGTACGAAGACAACCGGGTGAAATTACATTTTCGTGCACGGGCGATATCGATCGATCATCTTTGGCTTCTACCATTATTACGAGACCTGTAAAAAATGTCGCTCACCTCGACAGAGGATTGGAACGAGACCTTGTCACTGGTAGGATTGAACGCGACCACGATGGTACCGAACATTGTTTTGAACCCGTCAAAAAGGCACGTGACGTTCGCGTCTCAAATGGTGCTCACCCTTGTGTACATAACCGGTGTGATCGGCAACGTGTCTGCTTTAGTCATTCTTTTCCATCGTGATAAGGTAATTGATTCCTTTCGAGTTGGTAACTGATACTTCCTTAATTAGTTAAGTTATGGATTGGTTTGGACGTCCTGTTGTTAATTTCTGCTAGTTTTTAATTAGTTAATTTATGGAGAAGTTTGAATGTTGGCAATTTCTTAGAAATGATGCTTATAGTGTTCCGTAATTATTGTTGTTCAGATAGGCGTAGGTAAATTTTTGGAGCAAAATCTTGAAAAATTGGAAGATAGTTTTAAACATATTTAACGAAAATGTTAGATTTAATTATTGCTTATGTTACCTATGTAAGTTTTATTAAGATTATAAAAATATATGATGTAAATGTCAATTTCTTGTTACAGTTATTCAAAGAATTGTTGTCAATATACAATTACTGTATATAAATATAATTTCTAGATTATACTTTCATATATCACATTACAACTATTTTCGATTTTACACATAAAGTTACAAAAACGTTCATATTTTACACATTTTATTATACACCGACAAAGTGAAAAAGGCAAATTGTTATTGTCTTTCCATACGAACCTATTACAATTACAATTGTTATCGAAATGAAAGAGTTCAAGTGTCAGTCAACGTGTAATAAATGGGCGATACGTCTTTTTACAGAGGAGAAATCGAAAGCACTTGCTGATGTTGCGCTGTTTGGCAACAAACGACCTCGTTGCTCTATTGGGGATGCTGGTACAGATGTACATCACAATATACGTGGGCAGCGTGATATCCACAAGGGGGTTTTGCTCCCTTCGTGTCGTTTGGAGACTATTTGGTCTATTTAGCGGTTGCGTAGCTATAGTAATGGCTGCAGAAAGATGGCTGGCCTTGACAAGACCCTTCGTGTATCAAAAGGTAAGTCAAGATCCTCGATAACTTTTTTCTTGGTAGGTTCTTAGGGTAGGTTTAGTTTTCAGACCTGAGGGAAAACTTATTGACCTCTTTTTCCGCGGTATATCCATATAAAATGTTTACATGTCTAACAGCCTTAAATAATATAAAATAAATTGAAACAACATTTGATTAAGAAAGTTCCTTATTATATAAATTTGTGTAAACTAATTTTCGAAACATGGAATATCAATGTTTTTCGTCTTTCAGTCAAATGATTTACTTTATTTTATTTTATATATTTGCGAACTTGTTTGTTTATATTGATTTCTTATCTCGTGTAACGAATACGTAAGAAAGTTTAGAAAGTCCATCGTTTCAAGATTAATATGTCTCTTATCGTATTTAAATGACGTCAATTATTTTGATGAATTAACAATTTTGAAAATTGTATCGTAAGTTGCGTCGTAAAAAACAGAAAACATAACGTCTCTTATTGGTCAAATAAGCTCATACAGATAAATGGGAGAGCATGAGGATGTTTCTCCGGTCCAACAATCTTACATGGGATTTATCTGAATATGATAAGGGTCGTATTACGTAGGTCGCTCTTTACGCATGGAACTGACCCATTTTTTAACCGTTGACAGCGACTTCGATTGGTGCCAACACTAACGAAAGCGACAAAGACCACTTAGCGACTTATTGACATTGGTGTAGTTCTTCAGTTAACTGAAGAGATCGTTTGCATACAGACGCATCAATGATAACAACATTAAATCATTTTTAATGCTAATTCTTATCGAGGCTCAACAATAGTTGTATTAATATTAATAGGAAGTAGTATTTGAGTTAATATTCATTAATTCTGATGATTTAATTCAACCTCTTACATATCGGATATTAAATCAATAGTTTTCTTTGTCAAGTACTGAATGAAGGGGTTCTTATTTGACTTCAGGAGGAGGTATAAATAGATTACCGTTATTTATGAAAATTTTGGTGGCAACAAATTATCTTATTATGACTAATAAATAATAGAATTAATAGGGTTTATTAACACGAAAGATAAAGAGAACGGAGTTTATCAATATTAAATCTCTTGCTTAATTTAATTTATATCCACGCATTATTTCATACATATTTTGACTTTTCACCATAAAATGAACTCGTTTTATTTTTTGTTGTACAATGTTGACAGTGGACTAAAATTAAAACCATGAAGTAGTTTAGATTAACTTTCAAAAGATATGAAATTACCTCTTCTTAGATCTCTGGTTAAGGGTTAATTAGATAAATCATCCATAATTATTTCGCAGAATAAAACAATCTTTTTCCTTAACATAACAGAGCATGTACTGAACTTGAAATATTGATTTACGTACATCGTTATTTGAATATTTCTTTATTAAAGAACTTCGATGAAATGGCGTCAAGCTGAAACTAAAGATATACTTACTAAGAATGTCGAAAGAGGAGACACGTATCTATAATTCTTTCATTAAGTTAAACGACTTTCTCTTATCGGAATAAAAAAATTCAAGAGCAGTTCAATGTATCAATTTTCTCAAGGATAATGACATCATTAGCTTGCGTAGCGTACTATCGATCGTTTACGCTACCCATCGTTCCGCTAACAGAATCTGTGATGGCGGAGACATCGCATTGACATTCTCCGGATTCCGCAGGTGTTGTACCTATACTATCGGATGGACAACGCGCGAATATTAACTCCGTGATTCGACCGGTAATGCGTTTGTATCAATTTGCGTCCTTTTAAGACGCGACGGAAATAATTATTTAAACCGACTCCGAAACAGCGAACGGTGTAATAGAATTTGACTGCCGAAACTGTTCACTTCCGTTTCGCCTTCGGTCTGATTACGGTACTTAGATAATTAGAGAACAGCACTGCGAATTGGCAATTACGCGACGCACATTAAAATTGTTAATCCACACTTCGGTTGTATTATTTTATACATAGACCTAATATAAAACCTTAAAATTGGTGATTAATTCTTGGTTTCGTTATACAGAAACTAGTTAATTTGAAGATATTTATAACGAATTATTTTTGTTGATATTTTTATGAACGTAGGACATTGCATTCAAATTTTAATTTGCAAGATATACATTTTTCTGATCTACAAAGATTTTCAGGATTAGATATACAGGCCTCATGACACGCTCCAACCAAATGTTATGGGATCATGAATTTGAACCGCGTTGCATTTAAAATGACAGAATAATGCCTGTGGTTATATTTAGCACTTCGTTGGACTTTCCTTCTAAACCCAAACGTTCTAACACGATCAAGGCAATATGAGAATTATCTAATAATTGTTATTGCGATCTGCAAAAAACTAATCAAATTCTTCTATTGCTTTTTAAATTCGGATGAAAGGATCAATTATATTAATTTTGTTTACTAATATCGTGATATGAATTAATCTTTAATTAAGTCACTCATCGAGATTAATCATGTTGTACCTTGTCTTGTATTACAAGAAATAAAGAGATAAACTGAAGATTTAATTTATGCTCTCAATTATCAAAATAGTTAACGGATTTGAGAAACTTCGAAATTCAAGGAACAAACGACAGATAATGTTTTATTTTCATTTGTAAGATTTTGGAACGGATATAGGCACTTTTTTAACAGATTCGGGGAATAACGATTAAGGAAGGTCATGGGTCACCGAAACTCGCGCGTGTATACCTCGTCATTCTTGCGATAATGATAACCAGTGATAGCTCCCAGACGTCCTAAACTATTTCTGAGAAAAAAAGAAGCTACGTGATCGCGAGCATAAGCGCTTAATTATTTCGAATACTGGAATGCGATTAACAGGCAAGTTTCTAGTCCTGTCTTGCGTCTTGTTTGATATGGGATCGCGGTATATGATTATAACTGACACTGATACTGATTACAATTGAACTCGTCACGTTACAAAAGAGAACTCATGGGCCATACTGTGACCCAAATATGACTCCCAGTTACACCTACACTCTTTTGAGTAACTACGCTCAATCTTCTTTACCAAACAGCGTTGAAAGTTTAATGGATTCTCGATTTTTCGACTTCTCGATTTCTCAATTCAATTGTTCTCAATCCATAGAATAAGAAAACGAATGTTGATAGTTACATCAAAGATTTATGGAACTTAATTTCTTACAAAATGATTCTTTACATTTTTGGAGTGTTCAGCTTTGAAATAAAATAAAAATATGAATGAAGCGTATTAAATATCGTGTTCTGTTATATTTCTTTATTTTCAAGTTTTCGCTAAATGAACAATCCACGTGACATTAAATGTCACGTGTAATTTTTGTTTTGAATCTTTTTTATTTTTAAAAAATGAGGACAAGGTAAACTTCATGTCAGAATTGTTAGTACAATTGAATAGTCTTTTGGGTAGCAAACTAAACACTTACTCTAGAGTTTCAAGATATCCAACATGTACCCTGACTTTTGACAGACATCTGGCGAAGGTCAGTGAAATTAATGTGCTCGTTGAGCAGATGTGAGTGAAACCATGAAGGATTTTTACTTTTTCTTATGGTACGTGTATCCTCGCACGTACAATCTTCTCATTACACACTGAACCATGACGCTTTGACGTTCGATGAAACACTGTCCTCTGTTGACTTACAGTTTCACTGGCACAAACTGTCCCGTAACATGAGATTATCACTGGTTATCAAACTCTTCATAATGACTTTTATGAATGTACTTCCATCAACATTTCAAGTTACAAATACAAATACAATACAAACGATTTTAGTATTTTAATTGTATAGAAGTTAAATAACATACCCTTCTTAATAACCACCAACTTCTCATAAATAACCTTCTTTTCTATTCTGTTTGAAATTAATATTTCTCTTTGAATTATTATATTGATTCTTTAAACAGAATTATCATTATTTTTCTATTAAAACAATTCTATTGTCTTTTTTCTTTGAAATGAATATTATTATGGATCATTAAGACATAAGGAATAAATATAAATCATATTTAATTTAATAAATTTACGTTTTAATATCTGTTACATACTAGAGTGTGTTTCATCATTCACATATATTGTGCTTCCGCCCTGAAAAAAAATATCTGGAAAAATAGGCCACGAGCAGGCCACTAATTCGGAATAAATTGGAAAGCGAACGATCCTCAAAAATCTGAGCTTCTTATTAGTATCACCTTAGGGACCATGGCGAATACTATAAAATTTGCAATACGATACAAATCATCCTTTTTAGTGGACGTGAGGGTAGAATGAGCAATAAAATACAGTCAAATGAAAATCACAAGCCTGAACTAACTAGGAGCAGCGAAGCATTTCAATTTCACGTAATTTCGATGACAACGTGTTTAGTGAAAAAACAGTGACACGTGAGCAAAGTAAACCAGGCCATCGATTCGGCAACATATGAAATTATTTTTGTATGATTTTATATAAAGTGCATACTAGTGATGAAAACAAATGCAAGTTGCACATGTGCATCTATTCACGGACAAAGTTATTGACAAATACCTTTGATTTTGTAATTTTTATGAAAGCATACTCGAACCTTTCTCTTTCATTGATCAGTTTTATTTCTCTGTGTTATCGTCTTCGTCTATGAACTGTCTTTTCATTAATACACAACATTTTGGAAGCCACCATGAAGGAATTCATCAAATTGCACCTGAAAGGTGAATATGATTGACAAAATTATTGAAATTCATATCTTACTACAGATCCTTCAATACCTTTGCATTGGTTCCTCATATTTTTCAAATATAGTTAAAAAATAGTTGAATATTCGTCGTTGATATATTTAATAGACCACTCGCCTGACTATTAATCGAACCCAATGAAAGGAATAGTATTTTATTGATGGATATTAACGAGTAAATAACTCGAACTTGATCTCGCCACTAGTGCGTGCTGTTTATCAACAGAAGTGCTGGTTGGCTTTCTGCTTTGTTCGTGACGAGACCGTGAAAAAAGTGTACTCAAATTGGCGACGACTGATTCACGACGTGAGAATGCAGTTTCATAAATAACTAAAACTAATATTTTACTTGAGATTAATCTCGCCAATGATTGAGTGTAGGATTCTGAGTAAATAGAATAGAAAACACATATTTTGTAGATGATCATAAATCTAAAAAACAAGATTATATAATTAGATAAGAATTTCAAGTTTGTTGCGCACGTTATTACACCAATCTTGCAATTTTCAAATAGTTTCAATGTTTCGTTCTGCAAAACGTTTTTATACGATATTACGCTTGAAGTTCTTTTACATTTAAAACTGGTACTCAAATGTTCTTCCTTTTTTAAACTAATTCTTAAACCTTCTTTTATTGAAAAGAGTAATTTTCGAAATATTTAATTTCATACCATGAGCTAGGTTTTTTAACAAGTTTTGTTTTGGTTAATTATTTGTAATAATTGAAAACTTATCGAAATTTATTAGTCTATAATATTATTGTGCTTTCGAATTGATAAAGATGCCGAACGCAGGACAACGCGTTTGTTCTTAATTAAATGTGATTGATATTGTTAAGTCGATTCGGTGGTCCAATTCTAGTGACGCAAGTGTGGTCAACGTCATCTTTATAACCTTGTTTTATATTTTCCTTGATAATTATAATTGATCGTAGTTTTATCATTTTTATTACTCATTTTTGCCATAGGATCGTCGCGACATTATACTTCCACAGTTTTATAACGCCGGATGAGGTTGTTAACACACAAAAAAAAATATAAAGAAAGTTATCATGGAAAAACGTATTTGTTTCATTTGCGAAATAAATTGTAGGATTATTATAGTTTATTGTTTCTTAACTAATAAAATGTTACTTATGACGTTCAATTTCTTTTTCGATAGTATTCACGATTATAGATTGCAAGATTTTTAATTAAATTGATACGCGCTATCTGACTATCGCCGTCTCAAGTGAAAAAGTGGAAAAATATAGTTACACAAATTATGTTTCGTACGCTATAAAACACGTGTAAACAGTGTTACGTTAATGCTTTCCTTTTAAACTGGTATTCAGGGCAAGCTCTTATCTTATAGTTCTAACATCACCATGAGTCGAAATATTGTAACGATATACTCTATAAATCTATTATTAGTATATCACACTTCTATTTCAACGGTGCACAGTACAAAAAGAAATTTAATACTAGTCACAGTAAAATTAATAAAATGAAGTTAGTAGTCGTATTATTCTACAGTTAATTTTGTATGATACTAAATAGCTTTGATAATATTACTTAGAAGATTTACTTTTTCAATTTTTATTTGTTTGAATAACGTTTATAAGGTAAATCTTTTAGTAGTAACTGTTTGGAAATAGAATAGGTTTAGTGTCTTACAAACTTTCTAAGTAATCGTAAAAGTAATGTTTAAACACAAGTTAAGTTTCCATTTTATATGTATTATATAAGCAAGTTAATCAGTGGCACCTGACTCCAATATTTTTTCAATTAAATGTCTGTAATATGATTTCATCTTTCTTGAAACAATGTTTTCTTTGATGAGACGAACGGAGTTGCTGCCCAACTACTACGCCTCTATATGTTTCTCAAAGCGTCCAATGACGCTCACTTGTAAATATATAAGGCACATCGCGTCAATGGAGACTGACAACGCAGATTCATGATGTTTTTCAAATTTCGGTCGAGTTATTTTCCTAATATAACTTCGCTAAAATACTTGAATCTTTTTTGAACGAAATTTTCAGGAGTTTGTTTATTTTTATTTGAAAATGCCAAATAAATGGGAACAAGGATGTAGGTAATTTTTAAACACATTGCAATCCTAAATTAAGAGAGTGAAAATAAACAGCGAATTGAAATAAAATTTTAACGTTATCAATTTATTAACAAATGGTTAACGTTGAGTTTGCACTAAATTAAAAATTTTGTATTTCGGAAGTGATAATAGAAGAAACATTTCACTTAAACTGACAATGTCTTTTAGTACTGCGAAGGGATTAAAAGTCAGAGTACCAAAAGGACTGCCCAATCTTCATGTAATTGCTACTGTTTCCCCTTCCTCTGTTCTGCTGTCATTCAGGAATCCTTTGGCCGTCCTCTCTAAAAGGGTCTTCTATAATTTTTCCTTGAAAGCACTTGGCCACGTTTGACAGAAAATCGTAAATAAAGATTTCATTCATCCTTTCATTTCTAGAGGAACGTAATTCCAAGATACTGTATTATTCATATATTCTTCTTGTCTATCCATCTGAAAAATGACGTGGTTCTCCCTCTTTGAATTCTTTTCATGGTTTTATAGTCTGTGATAAATCGTTTGATTGAATCTCCTAACATATATTTTAACAACAATTTAAAGCAACATACAGTTATTTAGTCCAATCGTATGAATTAACACTTTTCTTAATTTTTGTAAATATTTATTTACAGAGATTGGGAAAATTAATAGCAATTTACGTTCGAGATATTACATCTGTAAAATTCATTGTTATAAAAAATAAGTCATATCGTTGAAATGCTAAAAATTTAAATTACAATAGCTTATCATTAACAAGACATATTGATACATTGTCGTCACGGAAAACTTAATTGCATATTACTCTGTCTATTTCATTCTTAAAAAATTTAAAACAAGAGACAAGGTCGGCTGTGGAATTGCTAAGTTTAGTGACCTTAGAGGTAAACCTACGCGACCCTTATGATAAATTCATATACTTTAGTATGAGGGTATCCAAGAAGCCTTTTACTTGGCAAACTTGTTCCATTTATTACCCGTAAAAACTAATTTATTTTTTCCGTCAGACCTTGGGCAAATTTGAAGTTCCTTGACTCCATTGTTTTTGTCACTGAGACAATCAACAGGTATACTATCCGAATGCCCATGCTTGAGTTTGCAAAAGCAATGACTTTTTTAAAAACAATAATGAACATCCCCTTCTTAAGGATAGCACAATTATCATTCCACTAGAGTTAAAATGGCGTTCAAGTTGATTATACTCGAATAGTATACTTCATACCGATCCATATATGGAAGATGGGAACGTGAATATACGAACTCATTGTGTTGCCAAGTCACTACTTCTTCATTAATTATTTTGTATCCTTGAAACTTTAATTAATTCTCATATTCTGTTCGTATAACAGTTCCATTCATACATCTTTGTATACAGCAATACTATAATTCAAACCAAATATATGAAAGCGGTAAGTTACATTTAAATTGAAACGTATCAAAATAACGTAAAGTACATTAAAAAATTTTTTCCAAATAACAACGAAAATTGTGGCAGGCCCCGTTGAGTGAGGCTTGAGTTCCCTAATGCTGAGTAAAAAGAGAATGGAAAACAAAGGTCGGGATCTAGTAATACGATCAACCAACATTTTCCTTTCTTCTTCCAGTGACTTCCCCCTCAAGTTCATTTCTTCCGTTTCGTATTTCCTTTCATCCCATTTCTAGGTTTAACGAAAAATCATAATGTTTATGGAAACTGATACCGTTTAATCTGTGACACCTGTGTATTTTCCAGCAGGTGACGTATCCGGTAATTGTACGTTGTATGCTAGCGCTTTGGTTGATTGCCCTAGCCTTGACTAGCCTGCCGGTGTTGGGCTTTGGTTTGTACTACAAGGGCGAGCGGTGCGTACGATATAGGGAAGCCATCGAGCCGGCGGACATCGCGTACGCCTACGTTTGGTTCGTTTTCGGTGAGTACACGGTTACCATTGTAATCGATAAATTCGTCGACGCATTTCGGTTTCGACTTTTTCAATGTGACAGATGTTCAAGCAGCGCCGGTGGCTCGGGTATAAATACAAAAGTCTAAAGAAATATTTTCTGTTCCTTTTGTAATTGTTTTTTGTCTGTGAAGAAGATTAACACTTTGGCAGCCGCTAATGTTGTTTCATGTCATTTTGTATTTACAACGATTTATATACGTTTTACATGTACTTAAGTAATTAGTTACTGTTTGACATATTATTATCATGCACTTAAGTTTGTTGGATACTGTGACAAATTGTTAGTTTATTTTTATACGAAAATTTTAATATTTTTTCGCAACACACGTTTAATCAATCTTGGAAGCTTCTTGAATTTGAATTGTAATTAGATTCTTTTTAATGTTGAACAAGTGGTTGTAGGTATTTATGAAATATTTATTTATTTAATAGATTTTCTTTGTTTTTGTGTTGCAAGCAATGGTAAATAATATTTAGTATGAAAAAGGTGGATTAAGAATGAAAATACTGAAAATTCTAATATGGGCTAAAAGTGATCCAGATATTCTCAGTTAATTTTTCAATGATTCAAGCTTCTCGTGAAACGATAAAGCGAAAACTGAATGTCTATTCTTAATTACAGGTACTGGTCTCTGTTTATCCATAGTCTGGTGCAATTTGGCCGTTTCCAGAGCACTTAGCAGGTTGAGTCGAAAGGCTGGTGCTTTACGACGCGTAACAAGATCCTCTTCGAGAGCGAAACCACTATTGACGGTGACTGGTCCACCGTCAGAAGTCGTCACAACCGCCGAGGAAAGAGCATTTGCGAGGTTGATGGCAGTGCTATCGATATCATTTGTTATTTGTTGGATGCCGCAAATGGTACGTAATTCACTTTTCATTCATTAATTTTAACAGAATACTTCATTGTCAGTTTTCCGATTTTATTGATACAAAACGTTAACTAAAATAGTTGTCACTAAATGAAATGGTTTTAGTATGTTTTTTTCTTTGTACTTCATAGCTTTTGTTAGTGAATTTTTTTACATTTTCTTCTGTACACATACTCCTCTAAGGAATTATTAACGATATGATTATTAACAATTCATTACAACTGCATATTCCTATCTTGTTTTAAAGGGTCAACATTTCTAATTTTTTACTGTTACATTTATTACCCTGCTGTGCTATATATCTCTGTCAGGGATATAGTTATCCTCGAAATATTAACCCTCACTTCTTTCCTCTTCCTTTTGCGGAACCTCTTATCTTGATTGCTTCCGACTGTCACGGAAGTATCTGTTTTTATTACAAATAATTCATACTTTGAAAAATAAGCTTTACCTTAATAAGTCTTCCTTCCAGAATTGTATTTTGTTAGTTAGACAATGTTTGATTTATACACTTTCTGTCACGTTATTTTATTAGAATCTTGATTGTCGTCATTGATGGTAGATTTTGACAATGAACCACAAATAAGCGATCTCTCGAGGAAAAAGAAACTTCCGGTTTCTGTCTTTTATGGGAAGGAATGATGGATACGTGAAGTGCTTGCGAACCACCACTCGATAATATTTACTCTCCTCGTCGAAACGTTGATAAAATTAGCAGTCGTATTGACCGTGACAAGACTCGCGAATTGACGCTTTATGATTACTCGCCATATCGTGTCCATAAATCATAAATATCTACTTAAGTATACTTTCAGCTAGTAATATATAGATTCTGAAAATTCCTGCAACTTTACATTTGTATAGAAAAAATTTAATAAGACAGAAACAATAAACAACGCTCTATACTTAAAGAACCTATGAATAGAAAGTGGTGATAAGTAATCTGTTATAATTACTAAAACTCTTTAATATTTCTTTGTAAAAATCTGACATTTATAAAAAGATGGAGTCAACATTAAGTCACAGAATAAATTGTCGCAAGTGTATTGTAGTAGCTTAAATATAGTAGATTCAGTGTAATGGCAGCAATATTACTGCAGAACAACGGTAACACGGTAAGAAGAATTTATTACTTTTTTCCATATCGTGAAACTGTAACAAATGTGTAGATACGAACTCATGGAGGAAGAGAAATTGTGTTAATTATTGAATTAAGAATGTTCATCATTCTCATAGCCGCATTCTTCGAATTTTCAACGCAGCATAAACGTTGTTCATCCTGTCGCGAAGAATACAATTGCATCGAACAATGCACCCTGTGCCACTTCGATCACATACGCACGAGCTTCCTGCATTTCCATCTTCTTATTCGACCGATTTCTCGTCTCAAGCGCGCCGGAAGTTTTCACTGCACCGGGAACCAATGCTCGAATCAGACAGTCGAACCATGCTTACAAAATTAAACAGAAATATCTCTTACTTAATACTCGGCTGTTTGAAACGTGAAAGTGTTTAGTCTCATAGGCGCGTGTAAAACAGAATTAATGGTAACGATTCGTCCGCGTGAAGTTGCAAAATGTGACGCACTTCCGTCGGCCAGGGTGAAGGTTGAAAACAACGATTTAGTTTAGAATATCTTCACGTACGATCGATCGCGACATCCGCCAACTATCGATGCTGGTAAGCGTGGAACGGTACCGGATGCGGAACGATTTAGAGAAACGGCAGAAAAATTTTCCACCACCGCGTTCCAGCCAAGTCTACGTATTACTGTCGTTGACCCTAAACTAGACACGTGAAGCAAAGAGCATTTCCAAGTTTTCCAACACCTCTAACTCAGTTGATCGTGCCTTACTTTTATTGGATACATTTCTATCAAATGAGAAACAAGAATTTCACCGAAATTCAACGAAGTTTCTGTTTCTTTTTATTGTTATGAGATTAACTAACTATTTGGGTACGTTACATTTTTGCAAACATTAATATAGTAGAAAGAAGATGTTTTATCGATGTCTTTGTATTTGAGTATTTTAGATGTGCTAAAGGTACATGAAAACTATAATGAAATATACACGTATATACTTATTAGGAAATATTTCTTTAGGAACCGTTCTAACAATTTTGTAAAGGTCCACTTTACAGAACTTGTAGCTAGAGGTGTGCTAGAGACTGTAAAGGTTTAAAATGTTAGGGGTATTAATGAATATTTCATTCGATTGCGATTTCTATTTATCCTGCTCAACGTCTCTTGACTTATTGTCGACAGATCTCCATTCCATTGGCACAGTTCGCGCTACAGCTGCCGCAGAAGGCAATATTCGCGCGAAAAGCAATTCGTATGTTCCACGTGGCCGCTGACATCCTTCTTTGTATTCACTTCACCCTGGATCCATATATCTACGTGCTACTGAGGATGCCGAGACCAAGATTCCGTCTTCTGAAACCCCTTTGCAAGATCTGTTGGCCAGGCAGAAGCCGGTCGAGTTCATTCACAGGTAATTGCATTTATATTCAACGCAACACGTTCATCTTCAGGGATGAATTATTTAACAATGACTACGTTCACCTAATTATATTGACAAAAGGAATTAGTGAACTTCAATCTTAGGTAAACAAAACTTTGAAGCTGAACTATTTAGTTATTTGCGCCCAGAATTATTTTCTTTTAATCTCTCTTTAGTAAATAACTTTTTTACTGAATTAAAAGTAATTTTTTAATAGCAATCCCAAAGGAATAAAAATGAATAATTTCTGTTCAGAATCTACGAGGCAAGAAAACAATGTATTAAGAATATTAAAAATATTGAAGTAAATTAAAAATATTTAAGATATTTTGTACAAATATATAATTTTATTTCTTATTTAGATTTCAATGCTGATTGTAAGAGCTATTGCTACAAATAATTCCATTTTAGGAAATTAATAAGATTGTATACTCTATTTAGAAAATTATTATTATCTTGCTGTATTAAAGAAGAAAATTCTCATTAAAAATGTTAATGCACCCATTCACTTCGTCAGGAACTACAGATCACCATGGTAGCAGTGGTGATCCATCGACTCCGATCACCGAGGCACCCTCCACGCCTGTCAGTGAAGAGCACCCACCTTTAGTGGCCATTGCTGTCTGAGACAGGCTACAGCGAATGATCTTCCAGAAGCGACTCAAGAACTACGATGTTAGCTACGTCTGAGTCACTCTTCGAAGCTATCGGGGGATCTTCGCGGAATATTGGAGGATGATATCATGGAGAATTGATATGCTGATGAATTTGATTGGTCGTATTGAAACATGACGACAAACATTTCGAAAGTTCGGATTGTGGAACGAAAAGGCGTACATCCAGAAAGACTTCGAGTTGAAATTTTTCCACCTGCGAAGGAATTTTGAGATCCAATGTTGTAGAGGAACAACTGAGTGTGTTGAAAACAATACCTCGCTGATACTTCGTGTACAATTTACATCAGGTTTTCGTATTGTTTAGAATTTCTGCGTTGCCATATTTGTTTGTTTATATGGTTTATATGCGACAGTTTGCCGACCGCACGAGTAATAATCAGTTAAATGACTTATTGATTTAAATGAATGTGAAGCTGAGTACTAATTCCCGATTTTTTCGTCTCTGATGAGTGTTACTATTATTTTCGAAAGAGTAACACTGAGCATTGTAAATAACTACCGATTTCTTCTGAGCACAAGATGTTCTACGATTGACCTGAATGCATTATGTATACTCAATGACTATTAAGTCGTAGTAATTTTTATTCGATTCAGAAATTTTTGTATTTTTCTGGATACTGATACAGGTTTCATAAAATTGAACATAAAATCACTTGTGCTATTAATTAGTTTTACTTTATTTATTTATCTATGTTATCATTAAAATTTTAACTTTACAATTGAATTACTATTCCAGAACAATATGTCAACTAATTTATTTTGCCAGAATTCACGATTTAAATAATAATGAAGATCGTTTAATGATCTTATAATTCTTCATTACATGAAAGGTAATAGTACTCGACATTTTCTTTAAAGAAAAAATATTGGGATACGTATTTATACATGTATGTACATATATTTTTTTAAACTACTGATGTATAGTGATTAATATTCCAAAATGTCTTCAAGTATATTAATCATTATATTTCTCATTCCGAGAAAATACTCCAATTTGGCGTAAACCTGCATGTATACTCGTTCGGTGGGCAATATGTTAATATTGTTCTTATATCAATAATAATTTCTTCCATCAATACAGCGCTCCAAAGATACATCATCTTTTATTACGAAATTTTAATTAGAATACCTGGTAATATTTTACAAAATGAAGATTTCATTGCTTTATGGTTATTTAGACGAAGTAAATCAATTGGCATCATTCCAAAAGATACTTGTATTTACATCTTACGAATACTTTTCATTAGACAGTGCATTAATTATTAATTTGAATAGTTCGAAATTTTTTGGAATTTATGACTGACATAATGAGAAGAACTCTACTCATTTGTAATTTGCAAGTGAGGATGAGTGCCACTTGTTTGGATAAAATTAGATCAATGTGATCGATGGACTGCGGATGTTTATGAAAATTCCAAATAATAAATTCATTTGCAAAAAAAGTCACATAGAAATTTATTTAGGTTGTATTTAAATTGATTTTGCTCAAATTAAAATTTGAATAATATTATTATATAAGATAGAAAATATTGCGTGTTAAATTTAATTGAAAATTCTAATTCAGCATATTTTATCTAGCAATATTGATTACAGACGCATGAAATCCGCAGTTTAATCGTAAAAAAATGTATGTAAGGATGAAAACGAACTGACGAATTTGATTATCACTAATCACACAAACGCATTGAAGAAAAAACACTGCATCGCAGGTTTCGATACGCACTTTCGTAATATTCGCATAATTGTATGTCTAGTCAATAAAATAATGCAAGCGAGCAATTGAACACAAATGTAAGCACAAAGTGGATGTTTTACCAAAGTATTCAATGTTGAAGCGTATTTAATCGTATAATGTACTTTTCGAAGTAAACTTTAAGAAAATTGCACATATATATATATATATATATATATATATATATATATATATATATATATATATATATATATATATATATATACATACATATATATATTTTTGAACATATACAACGATGGAATTACTTATACACGTATACAGATTACCAACAGTTTTGTAATGTATACTCAATAGTTGTTATTTTGAAAAGTAATTTTACCATGTCTGCCGGTGTTATTCAAAGTCGTATATATTTTACGATATTCTACAGTGTTTGTAAAAAAAATATGAATAAACCGTGAATATTTTTTTTTTAATAAAAACTACACACAAATTATTTTCATATTGCATTCAAATTTCCTGCTACTATTGTCGAAAAATATATAGTTATTATGAAACGAAGAATAACAATCCTTGGTTATTAAAAAAGAAAATAATTGTATAAGAGTACAGTAAAATATCATTTTATATTATTAATTCGTTACTTAGATTTGATTAAAAAGTATTTACTTTTTACTTGGAGAGATGAAGCCTAAGAAATGAATAAAAGTTTTTTTAATTTTTAATGATTAACCCTGGAAGTATACTTAGGACATACATGCATAGAAACTGATGCCAGAACACGTCAAATCCTCAAATTTAATTCAAAATATCTTACTCGAACTTAAGCACAACAAGTTCTCATAGATTCTGAACTACATGTATTCTTTCATACGTTCTTGTGTTCTAAACATGTTTAGAGATAGAAACAAAACAAACAAAATATACGTACAACTTTATTCTCAAGATGTCAATTTCCACAAAGAAGCTGGAGTGCGTTAGATTCTAGGATGTCGAACGGATGACAAAAGACACGGCGTGTTTATCCAGGATTAATTTTTATTCGACTAATAGACAACGAAACAAGAACGTCAAATAATAATTGACTGGAGCGTCTTCGAAACTGTTAGACCGCGGGATAATGAAATGACGACACCAATAGGAAGGAACGAGTACATATAATACAAATATATTTCTGCGGTGTGTTGCGTACCTCGCCTCTAGACACTTATAACATTAATAATAACTTACGGACGCGATCGTTGCTGTATACATGACACCATCAATTTTTCTGTCGTTTTATTGCACACTAAAAATACCACAGATGCATTCGTACAGTATCAATCGCGATACAGCTGGTTGTGTACTTTCGCATACCTTACGTAGCTACAATAAATAATATTAGTTTCTTGTTATCCGCTCTCCACTGTCCAACCGACCACGTTCGTCGACGAAGCGGTCGCGGTTTCTCGTTGACAAAGTATCTCAACATCCTATTTGCTAGACAAACACAGAGACAACCGAAATGAAAAATTTCGCAGGACTTTCGGGCTCCCTTTCTGACTATTGTCGATCGTGCCGTTCAACCCGTTCGCTGCCGGCGTCGAATAGAATATGGATACCAATCGGCTCCGATAGAAGTTGCTCTTACGCTTATATATAAATACACATTTTTTTATTTATGATAGCAGAAATAATACACTTTCACCTTATAGCATCGTAAAGTATTATATTGTTTACTTGTAATAACTAGACTGGAGATTCTTATGTGTTTATCGTAATTTTGTTTATAATTAAATACTCAAATACTTCGAATGAAATCTCAAATTACAAATGTATAATTAAAACAATTTTAATTTACATACAGATTCGTAGTCTAGTGGTAACTTAATTAATTTTCAAGCAATCCGTGGTATTCATTGAAATATATTAGATACTGCGGAGCGACGCCGATAGGAGCCAACGGCAACGAACGTGTTAACGACACAGCTCGATCTGTAATCGTACGAGCACACGCGCGCATACACACACATACACATGCACGCACGCACTCAATCACGCGAGCAAACGCGTCAACGACACGATTACACCGTGTCGCCGAGTAATCTGACGTTCATTTCGTGAAAGACGAATTGTCGAAAGCAGAGTCTCTCGCCATCGGATTCTCATTTCCGACGGTTCTGTTGGATCTATTTCGGGCGATCGTGACACTCGTCTGCGCGTAGAAACTTGTACGTCTCGCAGGATAATGGAAATCACACCGACAAACTAAAATACAAAATCTGTACACGGTTGGAGAACGTTGCTGGTGAATCTCACGCTCCGATTTTATGCGTTGAACGTCGCGTGGGTCGTCAGTGACCCTTAACGAGGTGAATTACAGCGGTTCGTTCAGCTAAATGATAATTGTTCGCGAAGTTTTCAATGTCATTAACGATGTGACGTGACGCGATGACATTTAGCGAGATGAACGCGTAAATTGTGATGATTAATTTAATTAAAAAACTTTGCACGTTATTTTATTGTTACGTATACAGTAAAACTTCAATTATCTTATTTAAATGGGTGATTAAGAGTTCAGATAAATGGAGATTCGAGGAGGAATTCTTCAAAATAAGTTCAACCACATATTCATATTAAACTATCAAAATTAATATTATAACTTAATGATGGTTTTTCAATAATTATCTATGTGAGATATGTAATAAACTGATTCATTCGTTTTATTTAAATGAGATACAGAATCCTCCTATATTTTTATTTATTTCCAAACGATTCTCGTTCGATTTCTCCCTATGGTCGGATTACCTTGGATTTTCTATACTTTGTAATCGCACATATTTCGATGTATAATGTAAGAATTCAAATTTTCAAGTGAGCGGATAAATAAAACATTGGACGATCGAAATCGAGAAAAACAGCGATACGTTTAATCGAGGTTCTGCTGTATTTCATTTTTTGAACAGTTTCAGCGTGAGGAGTAAGATATTGGGAAATTATTCAGCAATCAACATGTTCAATAATACTTGCCGCTTGTTACTTGTTCGATTACAGAAAAAGCGGCATGAATTATCGGAACGTGCATGTTCGTCGAGCAGTAGGCTTATGGAAAGCTTGTCACATACACAGATGTAGGGAGAAACACATCGAAAAGGTCTGAAAACTATTCGAGGAGCGATTTAAGCATTGATCGTTTTTCAATTTGAGCCAGTTTGATTACGAAAATCGAATTCCTAAGTGTATCAGAATATTATAGCAAAATCGTTAGATTATTATATTTTTACGACACTACGTGATATTGTGTTTCGTATCGTTTTCAGAGATTATGGTCAGTCTTGGAACGTGCGAAACGAAACGATACCGGCTCTTCTAGTAAAACGATGCCACTCTTAAAATTAGTGCAATATGTTTCAATACCATTTTCATCGCTGCTTCCATGTGTATTTTACAATTAGGTGACGGGCTTGTGCTCTGTTTCGGAAGATTTCACGCTGAAGGTTAATGTTTTTCAGTTTGAGATAACATGCGGTGGTGGACATACAAATATTGTAAGGTAAGAATGTACATTGCGTTTTACTTAAGGAGAAGTCATAATATTGGGGTCAATAAATGTAAACAATTCTTTATGATACCTAGAAAAAAAATGTTTCACGCTGGTGGTTTCATTGTAATTTATGCAATTTGATTGTAACTTTCACATTACGTGAATGTTTAACTTTCTGGTAAGATAACAAGGGCGAACTTTCATATTATCAAGCTGGTCAAGAGATGGAATGAGAGGGACAACTAATTAAACAAAATTAATAAGAGAAACATAATTATAATTCTTTACATATTTAATAGTAAGTTTTCTTAAGTCTCTATATCCTGAAAGTACTTCAAAGTACAGTTTCATTCAAAATGATACTATAAATTAAATAAGTTTAGGCTGTTTTTAAATATAATTTTATAATAATATTTCATTAGTTTATGCTCTAATGATTAAAGAACATTTATAGCTGATAATAATTCTAAAATAAATGATGTCCAAAATGTAATCTCTTACAATTGAGATTTATATGGTGCATCGTACAATTTGCCACTTGTGCAGCAAACCCAATTTAAAGATCAATTTATAGATCGCTAACAAGTACTTGTTCCCATTCTCTTGATCATGTGCCGGCAACATTTCATCTGTTCTTTTTAATCTATAGATATTAATGTTCTGTTTCTTGCATACAGAATCAATATCGTATTTCTTGTCAATGATCCCCTTACCTTAAAAAATTTCTTTCCTCATTTCTAAATCCAACTAAAAGTATATTGTACAAAAATCAATGATCCCAATATTATAACTATTTACAAGAAATTTGAGATCCTTATTCAGCGATAGGTCGTGCTGTAGAAAAGACAAGTGAACCATTACAACAACAATCTCTATGATGAAGTAGTCCAAGCCGAAGGATATCCGCGGTCCGAGGAATCTAAACGACATTCTAAATCCGTGTGGTATGGGAAACACGATGAACGGAAACGAGGAACGCGAACAAAAGGGCTTCTTCGTGCATCAGTTGACATCGTCGGTGCGTCGGTAAATACTTGGTCTCGCGTAGAATCACTCGACTAATCGATATCAATTAATTATTGTCAAATATGCTATATGTTGATAACATGGTTGATATTTTCATGGATCGTCGGAGTATCGTAGAAAAAGTAGACGAGTCGCTTAAATCATTTAAGCGAATAAAACGCGCGGAAGGTATAAAGAGCTTAAAAGACTTAAACAAAAGTACCCTGGACCAGGGGAAACTATACGAAGTGGCCTCTCGAATTTCGCAACCCCCGATTTAGCTCACCGACAATTGAACGATGCATTTCCGAGACAATCATCGCGGCGAAGCCTCAAAAAATTTCCATTTCCTCTCGGATAAAAATATTCCCGCGACACCGAAATTACTCTTTCACATTCGACTCCCCGACAACAATTTCCTCGCGAATAAAAGCGGACAAACAATCTCACCGAATACATAGTATCACCGATTCTTTCATTCAACAAATTCAAATACTTCGACCGTTCCCCTTTTCATGTAATTCGGAGGAACAGATACTTTTCTATCTTCTCGATTTGAGCGATCGCGTAACAACGTCGCTGGAGAGACATTTCAATTCGAAAAAGATTACTCGCATCCAGCGTCTGCGATCTGAATAAATCCCCATTACGGTTTCACACGAACACATTCAGTTTTACGTCGGTTAATGAAACGGATAATGAAGTACGTCAGTTCTTGCGCAGCGTCGATCGATGGAGAATGATAAATTCGTTTTGGCACAATTCATTGGATTAGTCTCTTTCTAGTTTCCTTTTAGCGTCTACGTTTATGTTAGGCCAGTGTCGGTTGTATAATAAGCTCGAATCAACGCTCTTCCAGGTATCGTACTTCATTACGGCTTCCTAGTTACTGTTCCTCGGGGCACGTACGCGCGTCCCCGGGGAACGATAGTCCTCTCAATATTCCTCTTCGACGAACAGTGAAATACATCGATAGTAAACGGAATCGCGTGACAAACACGATTCAACGTCGCGAAACCTTCTCTCGATCCAGTGCAAAAATACAAATCTTTTGTTAAACGATTTCCTGAAACCCGATTTATCGAAACAACACGAATCGATCAATATTTGCTTCTTTTTCCCGAACGAGTCTATGTAGAATCTAAATAGTGAATTTCAGAGTCTGAAGGCTTCGGTTTCAATGGGGCTTTGTTTGTACTCTGATCTGGTTCCAGTAAATCGTTTACACGTCTCTGTCACACCTTGGTCTAAAACGATTCAACAACTGTCAAACGAACCACTCGATCCAGAAGTCTGATCGCTCGTCAGCATCAAAGGTAACTCGTGAAAAATACCTACTCGGGTTCTATCACGCTGTGGAACCCGTACCTCTTGGCACCTTGCAAATAACGAACCTCCTTCATTCTGCTCTTGATCCACTCGGCTACAACGAGCCAGAGAACCTTCCCGCGTTCCCTGAAAAATCGTCGGGCGAATACGTCCTGAACAGCCACGATCGGACGATGCCGGACCCGACCACGTGCTCTATGCACATGTAACAACGATTCCCACGGCGTGTCATGCCGACGTGCGTGAACTGCGACCCTTGCCTGCAGATCGGGAAATTTTTCGGGGAAATTAATTACAGGATGCAGCTTTCAGTTTCTACAGAGTTTTCAGTGGAGGATGTTTTCGATAACCATGGGAAATATCGGAAAAACCATTATTTGGATTAAAAGTTTCGCGTGATGAAAGTAGATATAACATTAGTCACAAAATTACAAAATCTTAAATGTTTCATTGTGAATAAGTAAATGTACCAGGTGTTATAAGAAAGGTTTAAATAAAATTTTTAATCAAGAAGAGTTTATAACAAAATTGTTAACTATTTTTCTCTGTAATTGTATTCTTAACCTATGTTTATTATATTCTAATATTAAATATAATTATATCAAATATAAATGTATAGAATGGTTAAAGTAAAGTGAACTGGAATAAAGTGTATATTGAGTGATGTTTAAGAAGTATGTTATATTTGATCAATAAATTAATCACCCGAAATTGTACAGGCATTATAAACAATGGTATCTGTATTTAAGGATGTAACATATACACATTTGAAATACACGTTACTGCACGCAGTATATTTAAATAAGACAATATTATTTTCAGAGAACTCACCGAGGGTCGTACTAGATCACATCACACCTTCCAAAGCAGCAGATGATTGGTCGAGTCTTCGCGACCAGCCTGCAGCTCAGCGGAAGCTTGAGGTCCTCTGAAATCCTCGTAGCCATCGCCGCCAGATATCACGAGAAGTTTCCCGCGATTGATGTTATTTTGTTGGTTCTTGTTGGATTTCAGGGAGTATCGGTTCACTTTCGGACGTGGATCCGGTTTGGATGGACTCGATGTTTCCACGCATGTTAGGAAACGCACGTGGCCAGTGTGTCCGTGGGGAATACCTGAGAATAAAATGAAATATCATTGATTAGTAATACATCATTATTCTTCGATGAAATATTTAATTGTTTGATGAAATTTGTTTTCTTAATGACAAATCTTTATGATTCCTTTTTCATTATATTTTATAAACTAATCTTTTTACATACACAATCTATAAATCGTCGTGATGGAAAATTAAATCACTACCTAAACTTATTCATATTACTTTCATCTCGGTGACATTCGTAATAGTAAAAGTAATGTTTGGATAATTCTTTATAAATTACTCCGTCAAAATGTGAAGTCACATAAAAATTGATTTGCACCGATTAGTAATAGCTTCATCAAATTTGAAGTCAAAATAATAAATAATAAATAAGTAATAAATAATAAATCCAGGTTTAAATCAAGTCAAGATTACATAGCACTAGGTTTTAAGAGGGTTGGGCTCCGATGTCAAGGTCAACTCTCGCCTGATTTATTAGATTAGCTAGTGAGTGCCTTATAAATATCACGTGCTTGCACGTTATCGCGTCAGAGATGCGCGAACGGGTCCAAAAATTTCCTGAATGATTGATCGAACTTGTATCTTCGTGGTGTCGAGGCAGACACTTCGCGAGAATTGCCTAAGTCCAGCCAGCGTCTAATTATACCGGCAGCAATAACGATGCTCGCTTATAACTGATCAGATCTGACGTCAATACTCACCAGTTACGATCGGCGGCTGGGACATCCTCTGAGTGGATGGCTTTATATGGGGAATTGGCACGGTCAAGAGTACACCGGCGCTTGTGCCGATCCAAAGCAACTCGTTGCAAGCCAAAAGTGCGGTAACTCTCAGACAGGCAGCCTTGTGCTGTCGTATTATGTCATCGCAACCTGCAGCAAGTTTAAAGCTTCCGTTAAAATAAATACCATAGTTAGGGGATAATAATTCAAAGTATTGCGTCTGAGTTCAATACGAGAATAGTAGAGTCAGGGAAACGAGGAACAACATAAATTAATTTCTAATTTTAAATTGATGAGTTAGTGGAACTGTGCAATTTATATCTAATTAGTTGTTCTTCCTTATTCTTAAATCACTGATACATTTAGCAATAAATTAACTTCCGTAGCTCCGAATCTTAATGAGAATTATGAGCCGCGGAAAAGTGTTTTAAGAAAATTAACAAGATTTTGATAAAAAATAAAATAGCTTTTCCCAGAGTATATTAAACATACTTATCAACTATAAAAAGAAGCCTCTTATTAATCTATTGCAGAAAAATGTGTGCAAAGAATTATTATTTAAACTTTCTTGTACCATGTAGCTATGTAACCGAGTATAATGTTTTTCATATCATCAAGAAATTATTTGATTAGTCAAAATTTGTTAATTGTTGCTCAAGATTATCTTCCTTCACTAAATATTTAGTTAGGATATTTATTAATCATTATGAATTTCATTACAATATAAAATAATTTTCAAACAATTTAGCTTTCATCCACATCCAGGTAAAGACTTACTGGTAAGCATTTTGGTGACAGCTGGAGCTATATTGATGTCTGTCAAGCACTCGTAACTGGTAGAATGGAATAGTCGCAGCACGGCACTGTTGTGCAAAGAGATCCAGACTCCCAGACCACCGGAGCTCGCCATGCAGGAAACTGACATGGACGTGTCGTTGCTGACAGCGAACGTGTGTTCGATGTCGAATGTGTGGATGTTCACGATTTTCACGGTATTGTGGCAGCCACACCAAAGTTTCCCTGCTACCGGAAGCATCCTCGTGATCGGAGACGCTGGTGTCCCTACCGGCACGGTCGTTGGTTCTGGTGTGTTCCAACCACCCACTACAAATTTACGATCTTCTTAACTTTTTAGTTTTATCTATTAACTTCAATTCTCGAACAATGAAACATAAAACAGTTCTCTCATCTCGAAATCAAAAACACATGCACATGGGGTATTTCAATTCTACTTCATTTAAAAAATAAAGATTTTATAACAACTCTTGTTAAACTTACAATGATCTCGAGCGTAGACAGTAATGTCCCCGTTAGCAAGTGACACGAACACTTTGTTATCCAAATATCTGAAAAATAAAATGAAAAACGAAAGTCATTTGTAATTTTAATAATTGAGATCCTATAAATGTTATTATGTTAATTCTTGCAATTCTTTGTTCAATTAAATTAAGAATGATAGTAAAAAAGTTTACATAAACATAGAAACCTAATCAACTAAATAACTAATCTAATATTTTCAACTATAAAGAATTAAAAAATTAAACTAAGTTAACGATTCTTTAATCTTGAACAAAAGATTTGTGAAATATTCACAGAAATCTTACATGATGCTATGCACGCTGCTGTTATGCTGTAGCTTCACTTTGTTCTTCTTTATTCTGATATTATCGTTGCAGTTGTAGACGTGTATGCATCCGTCTTCCGTCCCTAGCCACATAGTGGGTTGATTGGTGTCCTCCTCTGTCGTAGAACTATCAATACTTGGTACGTCGCCGCCCAAGGTCAGGCTACCCGTATCTGCACATGGAATGTCGTCCGAGTCCGAGTCCTCGGAGCTCGAGCTGCTGTAAAATGATTTCCTTAGATTACCAATGAATTATATTTAACCATCAATTTCATATGCGAATCTAACTGCACTATTGTACAGGGTGATTCACCTAACTCGATTAGTTTAAACGAATACTAATTCGTAATCGAAATATTTTATCGTTGCGAACTAAATATATAAGTGACATTTTATTTTTATATGTTTATAGAGTAACCACCACAAGAAATATCATATTACAAATATTTATTCTTTTTTCAGACCTCTTAGAGTCTAACCATTGCTGCACATTGGATGAAACAATAATTGAAAATAAAATACGAGCTGTTATAGCTTTTTTCTATAATAAACATTTTATTAGTAGACACTAGATATTATGCATTTATGAGAAATAGGATTATCTGCAATGATGTACATTAAGAAATTTGCTACAGTTTAACGAAATTCTTTTATTTTATTCTCACTGAACCTTCAATAAAATAAACAAATTTCTGTTTGATTCCAGTGTTTGTCAGTCACAGTTTTCATGATTATTTATTAGCAACACAAGGGTGTTAAGTTAGGCGAATCATCCTATGGAGCTAGGAATCTATGAGTGACTATAATTATTTCAAAGTTTAAACTGATTTCAAAATTGAATTAAGCAACGTAAGTCATCGGATCGCTACTATTTTAACAGATTGACTCGTTATTTCAATGTACTGTCCAATCAATGACGGAATTCGATTTAATGTCAAAAATATTACCTATCTAACTGTATGTTCCCGCCACTGGCATCGACATCCTGGACCGATATGCTTATGCCGCTCTTACTGTTCGCGTACGAAGTGTTGTTAGTCACGCACGAATTCGATCTAAAATACAATACAAGTAAAGTAGAGACTCTTTCAACCCGCCTATACGGCATTACAGCAAAGCGTTACACTTTGATGACTTTTAAAGGTGGACTATTACGAAAAAAACACACTTTTGCTCTGCCAGTTTCATGCGTGAGATCAGTTACTAACGGTCATTCGGTTTGGATAACGATTCATAGAGTACCTTAGGCTTTTGCCTGTACTCTTTAAATAAAAAGAAACACCGTCTCCTTGAATTCTCTATACCCCGAAGCTACTTCAAAGTACTTGCACTAAAATTTTACTATAAATTGGATATTATTAAATGTCATTCAATTTAACTTGATTCAAATTTCTACTACTAATATTTGTACGAATCTTTATCTGTAGCACATACGTGATTTAAACTTGCAGTTTCGTAAAAATTCGTAATTTCGCACGAATTTTCATATGATACTTAAATGTGCTTCATCTTCAACAAAAAGAAATTTCTTTCAATAACATATTCGCCATTTTGTTCGACGACCTTCCATTACTACATCCACTAAAAAATATTCCCCAATATTAGGTTCAAACTCAAATAAAAAGAAGTCTCACAGAGATTAGCTATCTTCACTGATAATAATGCTCAAGTTTCAATCCAACAAACATCCACACAAAGATACAGATCAATCTCATAAAATGAAAGTAGCCGTTAAACATAAGTATGCCATGATCCAGGACATAAAAGATCAGATCACTTCCCGATTCCGCTTAAACCTTCCAGCGGCAAGGAATATTTCCTATTTTTCGTCCAAATGAATTATGAAAACCCATCAGCAGTACACACTAGTAACAATCACTATCCAGGCTGCCAAAGCCTCAATCCACTTAAAGCGTTTCATTATAGACAGGACGCGAACCTTTGCGTGCACGCCGGGATTCCCGCGACGCACAGAATCCTGGCGTTGCAAACACCGTTGCAGGACGTGACTTGCGGCGGTTCCGGCATTAAGCTCAGTACGCAGACCTGGCCGACGTAGCCGTCGCTATTGCACACCCAAACGTCCCTGGATACTTGTCCGTTGGTCAAAGTGGGCGCAGCGCAGGTAAACTGTAAGCCTGCACGAGTCTTTCGGATTGGCAGAGGACCCACAAACTCTGGGCAAGGTCTCTTATCAGCGGACAACGCTGTAAGTGGAGACACCGAAAGGTCAGACCTATGGTTGAATACAAGAGAGGCAGCTAGCTACTCACCTAGCTTCTGCTTGGCCTCGTTAAAGCTTTCCTCCCAGCTGGCCCTCTTGTCTGGCTTCGTGAACATAACGGAAATATTCTCGATTCCGGCTCTAAAACGAAAGAACGACAGTGCTGTCACAGGACGCTATGTCACGTTGCGATATGCAATGAAAACCTGGAACGCTTGGGCATCGTTCGTGGCGTTAGGCACGTGGTACAGAAACGTGATCGGGACAATGCAAAAATGGGGTATTGCAGGGCGCTCCTGCCAATGTGCTTTGCGAACGATTGAGAGAGTGGATTGTCAGTGATTAAAGTTCCGGTGAACGGTATACCGTGACAGGCTTTAGAAGGAAGTCCTGGTACATTTTGAACGGTGACGCACGACTGGTGACGAGTATTCTTGAAGTTCGTTGGGGAATTGGATAATTGATTCGTTTTTGTTAGCTTTTTTATGTGTATTTCAATAGACACGTGTGTACCTATGTATACAACTTATCATGAAGGTGTATGTTGTTTACAAAAAGTGAAATAAGTGGATTGTATGGATACTTTTACATGATCATTGTTTGTATTAGTATTTTTATTGTAATGGAATGTTACTCACTGTGTATTAAGCGTTAATTCCAAACAGGCCAATTGCGAATGTGCCGCATTCCTCTCGGCTAATTGACGTTGCGCCTGTCCTAGCATGTCCTTGATAATGTCCTCTAATTGTTGCTTCGCGCTATGCAACGTTGACGCCAATTCCTGAAGTTGTGTCAACGTAACACAGTCTTCTCGAAGGTGGTCTACTTCACGAGCCATTCGCCTCAAATTTTCATCTTTGGCTATAAACAAAAATCATTGGTCCGTTACTTTATTTCAAGTATTATATTATAGTGTAAACGATAGAAAAGAAATTTTATAAATACCTTTCATAACTTCTAGGTCGTCCAGTGCTATTCTCATTAACATTTTGTACTTATTTGCTTCCAGTAGGCCGACCAGACTGTTCGGGCAGGAACTTCTGGAAAAAGTGTTACTGAGTATATGCAAATAGGGGAATTATATTAATTATATTATATTATATTTTAAGAAATCTCTTATTCAATGCCATATCATAACATTGGACTCGATATTACTAAAAAAATTGATCTTACTGTTAGTAGTAGTTTCATTATAATTTATAGTAAATACACAACTCATAAATCCATAAGTTACTTCCGACGTAGCGAAAATCATTTACGTAACGATTTAATTGATATTTATAGCGTCAGAATCATATCATACATAATGTAAATATAAATTATTGTTAACTAAATTGACATAAATTATTATATTTTTTAAATTGATTATTCCACTGCGTATATTAAAGTAGTAAAATCTTTGAAAGGCATCGAGGAATTAGAACGGACACTCACGTTGACGGTTTTCTGATAGTTCCGCTTCTCCTCTTGATACTGGTGATAACAAGCAAATCAGAGAACAGGAACAACGCGCGTTCCTTTCTCGTTCCCTGGTTTGAGGCAATGGTGACCAGATCGTGACGGACGAAAGCTCTGCGATAAGAATAGACGTGTCTATTCAAATGGACTTTTCTTTTGTTTTCGTAGCAGTGTTTACCGCGACACGCATCAGTATTGGGAATCAATACGGTATGCACACATAAAGGTTGAATGGCACGTAAAATGAAAAACCGGGTGCAACGTTTTTACATGAACGCGACGAGGAAATGTTTGAAAGGATTGCACGCGTTGGTTTCTTTGAAAGTAAAAAAAGAAGTTCATACACAAAAGAAAAACCTGCACACTTGAAAAGATTAAAAAATGCGGACGACGATTTTAAATTTTATTAGTTGGGATTCCGTTTGTCTTTGCTAATATTATTTGATTTCATCACGAACTAATAATATAAAAAGCCGATACTGCTCCTTGTTTAATAAATAAGAAGCAATGCAACTTGTAACAGTTTCGTTCAAATAGATTGCTAAATTATTTTTATGAAAATAAATTTCAGTTTCAAATTTATTCAATAATCATACACTTTTAAATTCATCTACAGATCTTATAAATTTGTAATTTCTTTTTTTTTAATATTTCCAATACACCCTCTAATTTGTCCACAGAATGTGTAAGTTCATGTAAAATAATTATAATGGGTTAGAAATGCCTGAAGATACGGCCTTGGTCTACTCTACGGGAAATATGAAACTGTGACATGTCCTTGGACTTCAGCAGAATCGAGTAGACTTCACAGCTGATCCATTACAAACTTATGAAATTTGCAATCTAATGATAACTTGAAGATAACTACCTGTCGTTAGTAACGATGCCAGCAAGACCCTCTACGAGCGCCTGAACTTCCCGCAAAGTCGTTTGCTGTTGCTCCCACTCAAGGGACTCCCTTTCCGTGCAATTGATCTTCACAACTAACTCGTGTACCTCTTTCTGGGCAGCTTGAAGCAGCTCAAAGTCTGGATGCGATGTATCGGTGTGCTTCAACAGTCTTTGGATGAGCAGCTCGTAACGGGGTATCTTCTGCACCGGTTTGATCAGTAACTGATCTAATCCGAGTTTTCCCTTGTGCTCTCGTTCCATTGTCTATGACATGTGCAATAAATCGAAATATTAACTTTCCCAGCAATTAGCTCTGAATTAATGTAGACCCTACAAATATAGATGTTTAAGTGAACGATACTAAAATATAGGTTTTTAAACAATTAAATAATTGAAGGATCAATGTATGTAGAAACATATTTGTAATGGATAACACAAGAAAAGTCGTTATTCTTATACGAGGATTAATAAAAAATATTGATACTTCAATTTTCTGATTAAACATATCTTAAACAAGTAGTATACAATAGCAATTATAAATTGTGTAAATGTTAGTATAGTTTGATGAAATTTGTGCATATATGTAGTAATAAATATATATTGAGTATACAAGCTAGTAAAAATAATAAAGCAATATCTGTACGTTATAAATAATTTATTAGAACGTAGAAATTCGTTGTTCAATCATTTTTATAGCTCACTACACACATACACTATCGATTAAAAATTTGGAATAAGTCCATGAATTGATAGAGATAGAAAACGTTTATTATTAAGTCAAGAAGCTTAAGTAACTACAAATCATGTCATCTATTTCTAAAACTCCTGTGTTGAAATCGAAAGAAAGTCCGATTCAGGACATAATTTTGCAAAAAATCGATAAAAAGTTCCAAAACTTTGGCCCGTAGATTACATGTGTATACGTAAAAATGAATATTTTACAATTAATGTAAGAAAAAATGTCCTGCGAAAGTTTCTGCGAAATACGATCAAAAGATACACGATAGAATTGCTACAAGAGAACAGTGGAGACAAAACCTCTAATTGAAATGTAGAAAATGAAAGGGGATAGATCTTGTGTACCTCGAGGAATCGTGCGAAAGCCGGTTTCGCTTGACAAGTCGTCTTTATCGCCTTCCTCGCGGACTTCCAATTATCAAGGAAAAGGGTGTACGTCTCCAGGACGACTGGCTTCGTGAACTACAAAGAAAATGCCACGACAAGTTAGATCTTCTCATACATATTTTGCCCGTTCTCACTAATTTAAATGAATTCTATTTAGAGAGTTGAATTAAATTACAACAAATAAAAAACTACCTTCAAACGAAATTACTATGATGTTATCAATATTAAAGTTCTTTACTCCCTTCTACGAATGTATTTTTTATTCCGCCACTAATTTAATACATTTATGAAATATTAAGTAAAATCGTATAAGAAGTATAATATAGATAAACAATTTTATTTTTATTTTCCTTCTGTTACACAGATAGTTACAAAAAATTATAAAATATTAGATAGAAATTGTTACATTCATTCCTCAAAAATGTTGTAATGGTAATTACCAATAAACTCAGCTTTATGATCAAGGTATTGGGTATAATATAAGCTCATTTAAATGTTAATAAATAACTTAGTTAGTCAAATATATTTGTCCGTGATTTTGTAACATACTCCACGAGTTTGCAATAAAATTTGCAATCCACTTTTTACGAACTCTGCTTGCAAGTCTTATGAGGACAAATTATATTAGTCGAGCATCATTGGCAAACGGTAATTCTGAGAGTAAATTCCCGACTAAATTTAATCGAATTCCATTCGACAATGGCTGATTGTTTCCCGTTATAATAGTATATAGTCGAAACATACCACATCGAGAAAGACATCGCCAATTGTCTGCTTAAGTTCCCAAGTATCAAGCCTTTTGCGCAGTTCCTCCAGAAATACTTCGTGATGATTGAGGATAGAGGGAATCTGAAACCACGTGAATACTGTGTTTTAACAATGCCACCTCTTCTATTGATAAGGAACCATTGTACATAAAATAGACCAGATAAATGGCATCATTTACTGAACCACTCGTAGTTTTCAGCTTCTTACTAACGCTTAACACGCGCGGAATAATTTCGTTGTTCGATTAAAGATGATAATGTTCGATTTAACAATACAATACTGTTCAAAGAAACCTTTTTAATAGAACTTAATTTTTCTGATTCGGCAGTTATTAAATTTTTAATGTATTACCACCTATCTAATAAAATACTATTTGAGAGATAAAGGGGAACGATTGAAAATGATGGATGAGTGACCCACTTAAACTCGGTATCTTCTGGCAATTTCATGTTTGCATGAATAAAAAAATCTTCTTTTGATAACCGTTTCTTCTATTTGCATAGTGTAAGCTCAAACAATTCCGAAAATCAAGAACGGGAAAGAATTTATGAGAAATGGATATGGATTTAGTAAACTGCGTTAAAGGAATACGTTCTTTGAAACTGGGCATTCGCATTGCTTTTGGTATGTACGCGTGAAAATTCCAACGTATTAGGATCGAATGGAATTTCCAGCAAGTAGAGAAATCCGAACATAGCCAGCCTCAAGAATATAACGTACGTTAATCCTCTTTAATAGGAGATTTTTGAGTTTCTCCCACGCTTCTGAAAGTTTTGACTTACCATTTTATGATCTTTACTATTGATAGATAAGGAAAAAGCAAGAGGAATACAAATTAAAATTCTTATATGTTTGTTATTGTACGTATAATAACTAAACTATGAAGTTTAAGCAGTCGTACTGTATGTAACAACTATATACGCAAATAAAACATAATTATAAAATTTGATCAACCTTTCAGTTCCATAGATAAATATGTTTTTTATTCTAATCTTCTAAAATCGTATTTTTCATAATCATCTATAGTTTACTAATAAAATTAAACTAAGTATTTATAATTTTTATTCCAACGATAAATTAAGATAAAGTTATATTACCTGATAAAAGATTTCGTCCACCGTCGCTGCATCCACCAAGCCGGCATTTTCGGAACTCTTCAATGGCTGCAGGTATTTCTAAAATTTCACATTATTATTAATTTTCAAAGTAACAGTGCTTTACATTGCGGACAACAGTCCAACAATAGAACAACAGTCATAAAATATTTATTAAAACTGTGAAAATATAATATGTTAGTTCCAATAAGCCACGTATTTTCCTTTGCTCTCTGCAGTTTCGCCGACAGAGAAATATTTAGGTTAAACGATGCTTCTGTTTCTTTTTCTTGCGACTCATAAATAAGTACAGAGGCCCGTTAATATAGTCGCAATTCGATTCTCCGAATTCCACTTTATTAAAAAGAGTGTCACGATCGCGATGTAGAAATTAATGAAATACTCAAACATCATCATGCCGTGAGTTATTACTATACTGCGAATGTTTATACGCGAGAAACGTATGCAAGTATGCGACGAATATGCAAGTATACACGAATAATATATGCACATACGCATTCGTATGCAAATGTCATTGGACTTTCGAATGTAGTCACACTCTAGCCGTTAATATTAGTTCTTAATTGTAAAGATCGAAGCAGGTAGATATATGCTCAAATACACATGTATACAATGTTATGTGTAAAACATATGTTATTACATAAGGTTCACGCACAATAGTAACAAATAAAATAAATATTATTGCCATCTTTAAAAGATTAATCGCATGCTCAAAGAAATCCTGCTCCTCCAATTACATTCTACAAAAAATATATCCGCGTAAACACCCGCAACCTAATTATTATTATTTCAACTGGAAGAACTCTCAATTTCATAAATTGCGCAGCATCGTCCTTGTAGAAGAGAGGAATTTCGTGGATTTATAAAACGCGTGGGAGAGCCACTATTTTTCAAACAGATGCCTGCGCGATGAGCAAGCAAGGAAAATCGGCAGGTACCGTTCATCAATTTACCTGAAAATGCACTAACGCGCTACAAAAAAATTCGTTTCTCGTAAAAACAAAAATTTTGTAAATATTAAACTTTCGTGGTAATCTTCTAAACTCTAATAAAATATTTGCAGATTAACGTATCTTTCAAAGTAAGAAAAAAAGGAAAGGGCGATCTAGTTTAACAATGGAATTGCCAAACGAGCCAAAATGACTCAGTTCAGATACTTGAATTATAGACAGCTAATTATTTCAATCGAACGAAATTTCAATAAACACACCTTTGTCACTTTCATAGAAAAACACAGAACCAATCGGTTTGATTGTCCGACGTTCCCAATGTCAATACAAGAATCTAACTTTGAAAAGAAACCATTAAAAAAAACTAAATTTCAAACAATCTCATCCCATCAGAATATTATGCTTTTTACATTACCAGTTCTACATTAACCGGTACAATTTCATCTAAGCACGCCAGATCAAATCATTTTCCAACTGTGACCACTTCCACGCTTTCGACCTCAACGCATTTCCGCGCTCGATTGTGTCTCGACCTCTCCTTAATTATTTCCTGATCGCGGATTTAACGCAGCGCTCAAAAGATTTCAATCAGCCCCATTGAAAACGCAGACGCGTTCGTAAAATCGTTTACGAGGGCCGCGACCGATATATCGATACGCATCGCGAGACGCGCGGCCATTAAATTCAGACCACGCGCCCGCTCGCGAAGGTTGCGACCTATTTACACGTCGATTTTCAACGGTGTTTATGAAGAATCGTCCTTCCGTGATCATATCGAATCGCAGAGGCGGCACGGTAATTACGACGGACTAATTGCAGGCATTATTTATCGATCCGACGCCACGAGACGGGGGTGGGGACGGCTATGTTTCTCTCGCTCCCTCTCGATACGAGCACGTCGTTGAAAGCGGAGAAGCGCTCCGGACCGGCTTCTTGAAATGTCAAACGACGAGGAAAAGTGTTTTCTCCTTCGGGGAGGTTTTGTTACTACCGCGTCGCGTATAACGGTTTTGCATTTCTCCTTTACAATTTACGGGGAAAGTGTAATCTTTTGTGGGGTGTAACGATGACGCCTAGGGATAAGTATCTAGAAAAGCTGATACTTTGAAGGACATCGATTCTACGCTGTGAAAGTCTTTAAGGTTTCAGACTACTGCTCTTCGCCGAGAGTGATGTAGAAATTGTTTTACATTAATAACGTGAACTTTGATTGGCAATTGAGCGTTAGATGATTCTTGTGAACTTATCTCAGTAATGCATCTCAAGTATAAATTGACCTTTTACTCCCAGATTTTATTAAATTCTGAAAAATAAAATTAGATTTTCAGTTTTAAAAATTATTCGTCTGTTACGAAAGGTATATAGAAATTTTTTTATAGGATGATTCTGTGGGTGCTCTTTTATGGAGATTCTGAAATATTATAGGGGATGGACAAATTTTAAGGAATGACACCTTGCATGTACTATTCTCTTAGAACATTTTCAGTTTCAAGTTTATAACAGAAAATAGAATAGAGATAGATATGTTAAAGATTTTTATTAATTCCTACATCTTGAGAGATTTTACGTGCTATGGGATTTTCCCGTTTGAAATTATTTTACTGCACTGCAGGGCTATAATACTTCGTGTCCTCCTTAGATAATTACTTTCCCATAACGAAATCCTTATTAAGAAGGGAAGTCATTTTATTGAAAAGGACCTATAGGAGTCTGCTGGATGTAAACTTATAATTTTTCTATAACTACGTGCACTAACATATTATATAAAACATTAATTTGTATTCTTTTCCATTAAAAATTCATGTTCATAAATATTTCATATTTTAGTATATGTGTTTCCACATAAATGTGTATAAAAATTGATTAACATTTAACTAGAAACGCGAATAAGACATATTTATCCACTTCACTGGTTAAACAAATAAAATTCTCTACAATCTGCTTGTACAGCTAGATTTGTTACTAAAAGGTACACAGTTTTAACGTTTACAACATTCTCTTAATTCCAACAGTTTTCACAATAACCAACTAATTACATTTCCCACCCCCGACTTTAGGGTCCCTTTCATTTCCTCGACATCCGATAAAGAAATACTGGTAAAATATCTCTGCAGGAATTACATTTAACCAAAGTTTCAGCATAATCGTCAAATGTTACTCCGGTACATTCCCTTGTTACAGAGAAATTAGTTCAGAAGGGGTTGCTTTGTACAGCTCCGGGCGAGGTGCCAGTTCCCCACCGTCATGGCAACCTTCGTTCACCGTTGGACCGAAATCTCTCTGTATACTCCTGCTAGTTTTATTGCCTCATAATATCGTTACCTTGAAGTATATGTTAGTGAACGTTTGAAAATAATAGAGTTTGCAAGCTCTAGGGCGCACCGTTCGTCTTGACGCGTAAGTGGGAATTCCGTAACGTAGGACCATCGTGACGCACAATTGGGATAATAAGGAACTTAATTAATGCCGAATCTGAATGACGCAAAATAGAGATTTTAATGAAGACGTGTATCTATAGAGAGACAGTGGGCAGGGAATTTTACAATTGACCGATCGTCTTAAAGAAGTTCAACGAACAAGATTTCCGGAAACGTAATTCTTATACACTGCGATATCAAAATCAGATTTAATAGTAACAAATTATATACCGATTAGTCTTATATTTTACACTATAAGTATACTATTAGTCTCCATCTTTAAGTACTAATTGATGAAAACTGGAGATGAATAGATGAATAATGAATGACATAATTGAAATAACACGAATAAACTCACAAAGTCAAAGAAATTGACGTTAAGCAGCTTTCGTGAAACTACCACTTTTACGCCATAATTTCCACTAACGCTTAACGAAACGAATTATTTTTACTTTCTTTTCGACCTTTCATCTTTTAAAATGGAGCACGAAGATTTTCTGAGAAATATCACCATTTTATTGAAATTTCAACGAACTGCGGTCTATTAATGCAATCAATCTATAGTAGTTGGGTAAAATAGCAGCGTGGAAGGAAGTTTTGAACATGATCGGTGAAAAATTGAGCTAATTATACAATCGAAATTAATTTTGCAACGCGGAACAATATAGGATTGCAGCCGATAGCTAAACAATTCGTCGAACTGGTTCTCGGGGCAGTTTCGAGAATTTACCAAACTACGCTCGTAATCCGCGCAGCATATTTAATGGAAACAACCAGGAGAGATACGAGGCTGCATAACTTAGCGAGAAACTGCTCGGCAAGTAGATCACTGGAGTGGAATCCTTGTTCGAAGTAAATAAACGGGCAACGAGCTTGTTTACGAGAAACAAGGTCGTGGCTTCGATGTTCTAAGAACTTTCGTGAAGCACGTTTCAGTCGATATTCCAACGGAAGGGAAAATAATGGTCAGCAAAACGATGCCCTATAGGAATGTTCTACTGTGACCATTCTGATTTCGATATTTAACACGTTGAATGCCATGGGGGTCACCGGTAACCCCCAATTGAATCGGATTACTATAGTTCACTCAGTTAAACTATGATTATTTGAAAAGATTTCTATATTATAAATAATACTGGCTAATGCGGTGACATTCAGCTAAATGAACATGGAATAGTAATAATGCAATTCAATCAAATGATTTAATATTATATATTTTCGATTTGAGTATTTTGCTCTATGAAATCGTGCGGCATTCAACGTGTTAAATTATATAATAAATTGTGATTAAGAATATGTAGGTGTCAAAGTTTAATGTACCTGGGATTATTGAAAAATTATGATTCTTCTTGAAATTTTTCTAATTTGCGCAGAATGTTAATGTAGGTAATAAGTATTTCTTTTGCTCCCTATAAATTATATCGATGTTGTCTATAGTCCAGAGTAGTTATAAATAAAAATTTTTTGTTTACCGAAATACTCTTCTTACAAGTAGTCATAGCAATATTAATTATGCATAAAGAAAAATGAGAAAGTAAGTGATTTATTAAATGAAATCTCGATTTGCTCTAAGATTTTTGATTAAATCAAGAATTAAAATACACATCTTACTGCATTTGATTGAAATTTCTAATTAATGTGATGTACAGGTGAGCGTGCTGAGACTAAGTTTCACTCTCCAGTATGTCCATGTAGCTTCACATTGAATTTATAAGCGATTATGCGTTTTCTTTCGATTAATATATTCGTCTGCGCAATATTACATGTGTTTGTAATTACTTTTATCAGTTAATAATCGAAGCATAATTTCTGGAAAGCAAATTATTGTGTAAATTCATTCTGGAGTGAAACGCGCTTTCAAAATAAAATTGCAGAACGCGTTTCATAACTGCGTGCGGTGAAACTGATTTGTGTACATTATTCAAATATTTTACTCACATTGACTAGTATTTGCAGTGCCTCCACGTATGATCGCTCCGTATCATAAAGTTCCACGACAACGTGAGTTCTGGTATCCTAGAACAGAAATATAAAACTCGTACGTAAAATCAGTAATTCGTAAAATTGCTAGCATTTCTTCGACTGGCGACGATGAAAGCTTGAAGTCAGATTAGCACGTATTAAAGGAAATAATAGGCAATTACGTAAGCATGATCAATAACAGTGTAACCAAAACTATAAAGAACTGTTTGCATGTAGAAATAAAAGAAAGGAAAGTTTGATGTTTATACGAACTTTTTATCTGATAATGACTTATTTTACAGTGGGTATTACTTCGAGAAGTATTAATAAGTCCAATGAAATTCAATAGAATGTAAATCAATTTTTATAATAAAAAAGATCATTAGAATTCTTTCTCAACAATGATGACTCGTCACATAAAAGAATTCAGTATAAATAGTTTATGAAACTATTCAATTACGAAACCGTTTATGTACTACATTCTCATATTATAGTAACATTATAAACTTCTATCTTTTCTCTAATTATGTTCCAAGGAAAAAGGAAATACTAATTCATTGAAACAGTACCGAAGAATTCCATGTATTAGTATATAATTAACAAAGCTTACTGCCATACAAAATTGAATAAAGTCTAACGGTGATTTTACTATAGATTTAACTTGATAAATCTGTCGGTTTAAGCAATAAATTCTTATTTAATTATTCCTGTCGTAACCGGATTTTGAAAGAAATGCGAATGCGCATAACCAATGCGTAATCTGCTAATGATACATTAATTTTCAGCGGTTAAACATCTGGAATCGTGTCCCGAACAGCCGTTTGTTTGAGGGACGATGGGATGGTTACACGTTGATCGTGTTGGCTAGTGATAAAGATCACACGTGCTCACATATCGCGCGAGCACGTGCAGTTGGTCACGTGTTGACCGTTATTGTCATAACATTAACTACGAGAAAAACTGTTTCCATTACGTAACGTGTAAGACGCAACAGGTAATTTTACGTTCAAGTACCTGACTACAGCTTCGTAACCGGGGATTATGATATAAGCGTTGTTACATCTGTACGCGTGCATATATTTTCGTAATCAATGTTTCGCAGAGTTATCGGTACACGTGGTAGTATATTATTTAGGAAAGCCTGTGAGAATTATCTTACTGCATATGGTAAATGATAGAAGAAATTAAATGATCGACGTAAAAGTTGGCTACCTATTTAATTCGATAAATTGTCGAGAAGATAATTAAGAATGTTAATATTTTAATACTTTCTACGAATAATAATTTGAAAGTTAGTTTTATAGTCATTTTAATCTTTTTGAATATAACAGTATTTGTATTATTCTACTTGTAATGTGTAAAGAAACATTTCTACAAGAACTATTATTTTTCCTGAAATATCATTAATATTTCTCTGAAAATATTATAGATACTTTATACCCTATGACATCTTGACAGAAAAGGAGATTGTTCTAGCACATTTTTTCAACAAAATTTTCAAATTTCTATATGCCATCGGATGACTCGTGAATTACAATTACGATTAAGAATAAAATTTTCTGTGTGATATAAAGTGTTCGTAATTACAACAGTATTAAGAGGCGTGAACATTCTTATATTAATAACAATAATATGTATCAATACCATTTCTTGGAAAACTGAAATGAACTTGTTATCGAAGTGTATTGATACGATTACAGACATTTATGTAGGAATAATTAAAGGCAAATGGAATCGAACCAACAGGGGTTCAGTTGCAACAAGCACAAATACAATGTAGGTATCATAATTCATAATAACACATACATTATGAGACAATTAAACAACAGCTATTGGAAAAACAAACAAGAAGAATGAAAAGTCACTGGTAGGTAAAATCAAATACGAAAGACCAATTAACTTATCCTCCTCAATGAAAAGCTTGAAAAACCAACGAAGTCGATTAGTGACAACCAATTGTATACACACCATGTACCACATATTCAAAAAACCACTAAAACTCAGTCCTTCTCAAAACACAAACTTAATCAACCACAATACTTTTCCTTCCAATACAAAACAAAACTTTCGCGTGAAACCCGCTCCCGAAAGATCGCCAAAGAAAAAAACTGTTTCCACGAGTGAAAATCGCTTTAACAACCATCGCGCTGACAGTCGGCACCATGATTCCGTTTGCCCAGTTAAAACGAAATTGATTTCAAGCCGTTCTTCCAGAAAGAACGACCCTTCCAGCGCAACGCGGCCAGCGGTGCAAATCGTTCGGCGAACAACCTTCACCTTCTGACTCAACCTACCGTACATTTTCCTATAAATAACTAATAAAACGAAATTTCGCAAACGTAGAAAGTGTGGTAGGTGGATGTGCAAACATAGATTTCGAATCGTATATTAACTGACGCTGGAGGAGGAGAGCGGGTGGCAACACGAGGGGGGTAGAGAAAGAGAGAGAGAGAGAGAGAGAAAGACAGAAAGAGAACGTGTGCGTGTGTGTGTGTGTTCCTGTGTATGGCGAGCGAGCGGCGAGGGTGGCGTGGAAGGCGTAGAATATTCTGACAGAGCGTATTCTACATTCGCGTGGAACAACTAATAAAACGGGCGGTACGTGCGAGGAGGAAAAACTGTGGCGGCAGTAACAACAAACACGGTGCACGGTGCGCGCGCGGGTTACGGTGCGCACGTTCAGACACGGGGCCGGGGATTCGTGTAAGCATGAAAAGGAAAACTACCCACGCGGTCTGTGCTGACACGCTCGTTACTTTCGCTGTCCACCGACGGCTGGCTGATGAGTTTCCGACCAGCGTTCATCGTCATCCTCTTCTACCGCCTTTGCCGATCCTTCGCAATAACGTGAACTTTTCACTTGCATATCAATCGAGCGGACTCCTATCCGGATCGTTTCGCGGTTTCGAACGATGCTACACGGGACATTCAATGAGGACAATCAATTTCGTGGGATTAGCTGAACGAGTTTTTCGTCTACCTCCGCAGACCGTCTCGCTTTAAAACCGAGGGGAGGTATAATCTTTTCTTTCGATGGTGACTTTGAGTCTCTGTTCGTATTAGGCACGATAAAACGTTATTCAATGTTATTTCTTAGTGTCTAACTTGATAATAAATTTGGAGAAAGATAATCTGTGTTGGACGTGTAAGATTCGTTGTCATCTGATATTGTAGAACTTGCTTTTGTAGCAAGAGAGTGAATGAATTTGTTGTAGATAAATAGTGAACTTTTCTTGGATTTTTGATGGTTTTGTTTATAATATTTAGTTGTATTTTTGTGAATTTAAATGTTTGTGTGAAATACTTCAATGTGACTTGAACGGTTTTGTGAGTATTGATATATTCGGTGAAACTATTCCGGAATGTTACAGTTAAGTTGATTATCGTAGTTCGTTACACAGGGTGTCTCATAGACTACCGAAGAAACTTTGCGTGAGCATAATACAGTTAAAAATAAAACAATAGTGTCATTGAAACATAGGTCAATAACGGTTTTAATGTAAATTGTTAATCTTTTTTTAATGTTATAAATATGATGTTCAAGAGAAACCATAGTTTACGAATTGATAAAAATTAGGTTTATTACTGTGAATAGAGATTTCTAAAGGGTCAAGAGAACTTTTATCATACTTTGTTTCTCCTGTAATCTGAAAACACATCAATCACAAACCTACATTTACATAACACTTACGTTTCATTTTTAAACAAATACTAGAACACTTCTTGTAACTTTCATGGTCCCAACTTTAAATAGACAATATCGATATTCTACGTCAGTATAATCATAATTAAAGAATACCATGTGTAAAGAAGTGAAATGATACTAGTGAATAATGACTGAAGTATAAAATTTAAATTTTGATTACAAATAATTTGAACATTTAAGGTTAAAATGTATAATTAGTATTTTCCTTTCAAAAATTCATCGCGTGACTTCGTAAGCTCAAATTACACACTTGTTTGTTAAAATCAACGCGAAATCATTCTCGAAATACATTTACCTAGGTCACTTGTCACAGTAAAAATACCCTGAATCGTGTAAAAATTATATTCGTTTACAGAAGCGAGAGTTACAATATCGGAAAAACTGGCGATGTGAGAAAAGGAGGCTTCCTTCGATCAATGGTTCCCCTTATCAGCTACAAGCGTCATTAATTTTACACAGCCGCTTTTATTGGATAACATTTCCTTGACACCGCGATGAAAGGATTATTAATAAAGAAGAAAGTTAATTACGGGAACGTTACATTGTTCCTGGCGAACTACTCGACGGAAGATTGTTTCGCGTGAAACAAAGAAAAATCGTCCATAATGCAATCTATAGAAAGATTAAAGATTTAATCAAGCGATAAAATCAAATTGCACAGTGACTGGATGAAGACTTGCGCACATTCGTGTACCATTAATTAAGTTTCGAAGGTAATAATAATGTTCCACTTTGTTATCTACAGCTCCAACGAAGATTCTATTTTTCCTGGATTTTTAATTCTCCACTGACATTATTATCGTAGCATATTATTATCCTTATAGTACAGGCTACTATAACTTATTTATAAAACCGTTTAACTCTAGAATATAAAAATTCCACGGTGACATTTTTCCTAAACACTTTAACCACTAAAATATTTTCGAATCCTTCGGCTAAGAATTAAAGAATTATGAAGTTTCTATTCTTATGGAATTACAATAGAACAATAATATTTGATGACAACAAAAAATACTTCTGAAAATAATACCTCTGTGGGACAAAATTTCCTTCGCACGGTGTTTCCCTCTATTAATTAAATATACAAAGGAATACGAACGACAAATTCTATTTCAGGTCAACTAACAGAGAGAATCGTTTATAATAAAAGAAAACTAGCGTTAAATCGTCAATTGCGAAGTTAGAAAGGAAAATTGACAGGTGACAGTTCGCATACATCGATTTAAGGATTATCGCGGATCCCCTCGATTCCAGAAATTCCGATCACGAAATTACGAACGAAAGCTGTCCCGCGTCTACTCGAGCATTTCGCTCCGGAGTGATTCAGCAGTGCCACTTTAAAAGCTCG